GATACTTCTTTGGAGACCTTGTCTATGTTGCCACCAAACAGTAAGAGGCGATGACCATGGAGCTGTGTATAGAGATTCTGTAAATTGCTTATCCCAAGAGCAGGAGGCTAGTAAGCCTTGCCGACGAGCCATGGTAGTAGTTTCAGTAAGGGCTGACAGGTGCTCTGTAAGAAATTGGTGGTCTCTTTTCTGCATGAGTAGAGCTGAGTAGATCATTCTATCTTCCTCCTCTGTAGAATTCTTGAACTTGGTGATAGAGAGTTTCATTAATCGTTCTAGATCTATTCAATCCAAAGAACATTCTCCTGGAGATGGTATCTAATTGAAGTGAATTTCGCGATCGTCTACTCTGTAACTTCTGGACTTGGCATGGCTGATTAATTTAAAGTTGTCATCAATATCCTAGGCCATGAAAAAGGGGTCCATATTGTGTCAGCAAATTTCTTGGCATTGAAGACCGGAAATGTGTAGATTGGACTTTCAAAGATTTGGAACAGGCTGTATCCAGATTAGCTGGTACCACTGCAATCGGGTCAATAGGAGGTAAGGTGATATTGTCTACATCATCATCCTTCATCAGGTAAGTCTGAGTTGAATTCTCGTTCTTCGATGGGAAGCAAGTTGTAACTCATTCACCATCCAGTATCTAATCTCAGCATCTGAGAAAATGATACCTTCTTCCTCTGATGTAGGGTCACATGTAGGAGTCCTAGATCTGTAGGAAGATCTAGGAGAGGACTGTGGTGAGCGGACTGGCAGTGGCTAGTGTAAGGAGACCTTGGAGGAGACATCCTCGGTGAGCGCTGGGGACTTCAGCGAAGCTCTTCTAAATCTTCTGGGGTGAGGTAGATGTCGAGCCACTTAGCCTTCTAGCGACCTTGCGAATGTGTCGGGAGTCAGTGTCGAATCGACATATGGCTTGCCCATGAGCGACCTCTGTGTTCTACAGGGTGTGGGCTCAGCGAAGCTCATTCTCCATGTCGATGTCCCCGCAACTGGAGAGGCTCTAGCTCCTTGGCGGAGGCTGCCTGGGACTTCCTTTGCGAAGTGATAAGCTATGGGCTGGGTTGCCCTTCAGCGGAGGCGTTTGTAGGCTCTGGGGCCCTCACTTGGCCAAGCCAGAGCGAGCTCTGGGGCCCTGTATGACTTATTATGGGTTGGGCTCTGGGGCCTCTGTAAACCCGTCTTGGTCCTCCATCAGTCTCATGATTTGGTTAACCAGGTCGTCTGGGGACGGGTCTGCTGGCGTTGAGGTGGCCTTTCTGTGAAAGTAGCGGGACCCTCAATCATAAACTCAAGCGTCCAGCGTAGGCATCTCTGGTTGCGTGTTGATCTGCTCTGTAGTGGCGGTAGCAGATACTGGGCGTTTCTTATGGCGTACATCTGGAATGATAATCGGAATGTCATCATCATATAAACATAATTCTGAGACAGGTAGAATATCGGAGGCAAAATTATTTGTAGCTTTTAGTAGATTTCCCTTTTGGCGAAGCTGTGGACCTGGGGTTCTAAAAGCGTGCGTTGAGATGATGATGTGGGCGCTTTCCTAGTCTTAGACTGTGAAGGCGGAATGTCTAGAGATGCAGGTAAGCTTCTTGGACATAGCGGACTCGTCCACGCTTATCCCCCAAGGAAACTCAGGCAGGCCACCAGCCCGGTGGTGGTCGTCAGATCAACAGTTGACAGGGTATATTAGCTTCCGATCTATTAGCCATGACTGAAGATTGTTTGCGAGATTTAACTGCCTTCCGTCTCAAAGCGGAACATAAATATTTATCAAAGGCAGAAATTGGTAGAATTAATACATAATTTACAACGAGAAACAATAGAACATGGAGTAATGCAACTAAGGCATTTTAAATGTGGATCGGTAGCGGAATAACGTAGTTTACAACCTGTGCAGATTCTCATTAACGTAAACTGCTGAACAAACACGGTGAACCATGAATAAAACAGCAGAAACACGACTAATAATCAGTTGTTGAGTTGTATTAGATATCCGTGCTGTAGGATGTTGGATACATATGGATCTTGTAGTATTCCCCAGTTTTCCCAGTGTAGCTGAAGGCGTCCACCCACTTGAGACGGTTGTACTGGAACGGCTGGGGGTGGAAGACTCCAGTCGTTCCGAACCTGAATTTCATCGTCTAAATCCACGGGCACCTCTGGATGATCTGCCTCTAGCTGATCCTCCCCTAAATTTGTTGTATGGGCAACGAAAAGAATCCTTGGGATCTTTAGCTGCAGCTAATTTCGTGTTCCGTGCTTTCTGTAGCCCCGAAAACTAAGACTTGCCCGAGTATCTCTGTGTTGACTGTTTAATGACGTTCGCTAAGGTATCCATGGATCTGATCATAAGTACCTCTCTCGAGTCTTTAGATACTTCTTTGGAGACCTTGTCTATGTTGCCACCAAACAGTAAGGCGATGACCATGGAGCTGTGTATAGAGATTCTGTAAATTGCTTATCCCAAGAGCAGGAGGCTAGTAAGCCTTGCCGGCCGAGCCATGGTAGTAGTTTCAGTAAGGGCTGACAGGTGCTCTGTAAGAAATTGGTGGTCTCTTTTTCTGCATGAGTAGAGCTGAGTAGATCATTCTATCTTCCTCCTCTGTAGAATTCTTGAACTTGGTGATGAGAGTTTCATTAATCGTTCTAGATCTATTCAATCCAAAAGAACATTCTCCTGGAGATGGTATCTAATTGAGCGAATTTGCGATCGTCTACTCTGTAACTTCTGGACTTGGCATCGCTGATTAATTTAAAGTTGTCATCAATATCCTAGGCCATGAAAAAGGGGTCCATATTGTGTCCAGCAAATTTCTTGGCATTGAAGACCGGGAAATGTGTAGATTGGACTTTCAAAGATTTGGAACAGGCTGTATCCAGATTAGCTGGTACCACTGCAATCGGGTCAATAGGAGGTAAGGTGATATTGTCTACATCATCATCCTTCATCAGGTAAGTCTGAGTTGAATTCTCGTTCTTCGATGGGGAAGCAAGTTGTAACTCATTCACCATCCAGTATCTAATCTCAGCATCTGAGAAAATGATACCTTCTTCCTCTGATGTAGGGTCACATGTCGGAGTCCTAGATCTGTAGGAAGATCTAGGAGAGGACTGTGGTGAACGGACTGACGAGTGGCTAGTGTAAGGAGACCTTGGAGGAGACATCCTCGGGTGAGCGCTGGGGACTTCGGCAAGCTCTTCTAAATCTTCTGGCTGAGGTAGATGTCGAGCCACTTCTTAGCCAGCGACCTTCAGCGAATGTATCGAGTCAGTGTCGAATCGACATATGAGCTTGCTTCAGCGAAGCGACCTCTGTGTTCTACAGGGTGTGGGCTCAGCGAGCGCTCATTCTCCACGATGTCCCTCGCAACTGGAGGCTCTAAGCTCCTTGAGGCTGCCTGGGACTTCCTTTCTTGAAAGTGATCGCTATGGGCTTGCCCTGCCAGCGAGTAGCGTTTGTGGGGCTCTGAGGGCCCCAGAGAAGCCAAGAAGGAGAGCTCTGGGGCCCCTGTATGACTTATTATGGGTTGGGCTCTGGGGCCTCTGTAAAACCGTAACGGTCCTCCATCAGTCTCATGATTTGGTTAACCAGGTGAGTCTGGGGCCGGGTCTGCGCTGGCGTTGAGGGTGGCCTTTCTGTAGAAAGTGGACGGGACCCTCAATCATAAACTCAGTAAGCCAGCGTAGGCATCTCTGGTTGCGTGTTGATCTGCTCTGTAGTGTGGTAGCAGATACTGGACGTTTCTTATGGCGTACATCTGGAATGATAATCGGAATGTCATCATCATATAAACATAATTCTGAGACAGGTAGAATATCCGGAGGCAAAATTATTTGTAGCTTTTAAGTAGATTTCCCTTTTTGAAGCTGTGGACCTGGGGGTTCTAAGCGTGACGTTGAGATGATGTGGACGCTTTCCTAGTCTTAGACTGTGAAGGCGGAATGTCTAGAGATGCAGGTAAACGCTTGGACATAGCGGACTGCGCCCCACGCTTATCCCGAGGGAAACTCAGGCAGGCCACCAGCCCGGTGGCGGTCGATCAATCAACAGTTGACAGGGTATATTAGCTTCCGATCTATTAGCCATGACTGAAGATTGTTTGCGAGATTTAACTGCCTTCCGTCTCAAACGGAACATAAATATTTATCAAAGGCAGAAATTGGTAAATTAATACATAATTTACAACGAGAAACAATAGAACATGGAGTAATGCAACTAGGGCATTTTAAATGTGGATCGTGGCGGAATAACGTAGTTTACAACCTGTGCAGATTCTCATTAACGTAAACTGCTGAACAAACACGGCTGAACCATGAATAAAACAGCAGAAACACGACTAATAATCAATGCAAGTTGAATAAGGATACTAGTTACACCTCTATAACTGAATATAAGAGGTACTAAACTAAATATAAATAAAGGATATAGTGTGTTGGGAGACACAGGCGCTCTCACGTCCAGCTCACTGGGCGAAGAAGGAGAGAGTGAGGCACATGGGTTGAGTGGCGCCCTCGTTCCCGAGCTTGTGGAAGGGAGGTAACTCGTGGTGAGTACTAATTAGTGATTTTTTAATTGAAGGGAACTTCAATTGGGAGATACACGTGTTCCACTATGTTCGCAAAAAGAAGAAGACAAGCAATAAGCATGAGTCAGGATAAGGAAAAATAATTATTTTTCAATTGCTTCCAGAAACACAAACAACTGGGCCATGCTCTCTTTGCTTACTAGTGATTCCTACTTGTCTGACAATAGAGAGGGCAGGGCTTGAGCTTCATGAAAAGTGTCAATGTTTCTGAATTGGCAGACTTCTTTATCCAGATGACATTCTTGGTGTAAATATCCCAATAATCAAATTGTGAAATTATTAATCAACAAGCAAATATAGCTTCAAGCCAACAATGTTTACAATCATCACGTAAGGTACAGTAACAAAGTTCAGCAAAGCTAAGTCCTTGTTAGGTAATCAACACGTAACATGTACTGTGAAACTTACTTCTCCAGAGATTCAGACACTGCTGGACTCATCAGATGAAGGTATGTGTAGCCTGAAATATATCAATACATCATATAGAGCCAGACTGATTTGGATTAAAGGCTGCTATAAACACAATATCATATTTCACCATAGTTCCACAAACTAGGGAAGAAGTCTACAGAGGCATGTCTAACACGTTTGTTATTTAACAGAATATAAGCCAGGCTGGTAGCCTTAGACTATTAGCTGTGTTGAGGACAAGCAACTCCAGTGATGGTATTCCTCACTGATGTGTAGCGTCTGGAAGCTCTGATTCTGAACCAGTTCTAAATGCTTCACTTTCGCTATAAACTTGAACTGAACAGAACTGACAGAAAAAGCAAGGCTTGCTACAAACTCTGATGACTAGGGATACAAGGGTTACACAGGTTCACTGAACTAGTTGTACATAGTAGTTTATCAAGTCAGTCCACTGGAACAGTGCTAACAGATGCAGAATCATAATCTGGGCTAATGTTTGATTTCGACACCTTACAAACAGATCCTGCCTATGCACAGTGAGTCATGAGACCCTTGGCCACTCTCTCTCTACAGCACATGTATTGGAAATGTCCCTTAATGTGACCTCTGACAAGAGACATGCTTGTACATTACACCTCTTTTCAACATTACTTGTACATAATAATTACAGTTTTTCAGGTGACACTTTCACACTCTTACCTTTAGGAACATTGAACTTGCTGTCTTTCTTGAACCACATCTTGCAGAACTCATTGTCCACTACTGGGTAGGGGAGCTGTATGTGACATGAAACTATCAGTCAGATGGAGGTTACTCACTTTCACTAGTGGTCACATACAGGTATCAACTTATCCACCTTTCAGGAATCAGTACTAAGTATTGATAGGGTCTATGTCATTAAAGGTTTAATTAGCACAAAAATACATTAAATATTATTAACAAACTATTATTGGATTATGATTCCATTAGTATTTAAATCTTTAATTAGTTTAAATATACATCAAATAATATGTTTGCTGGCTAGTTTTATTGTGTCAATTGAGACTGTTGACGCTATACACCAAATGTTGTGACCACACATCAGACATATGTACCTTTGGAGTATCTTCACTCGATGGGTGCAATGTGAAGTCAGTGGCTAGAAACAAACACCACACACATATATTGACAGAACACAGCTGTAGAATAAGATATACCCTCTTATCCACTGTTTCATTTGACATAAAACACACAACCATAAACACAAATGATTCCAACAGGTGAACCTTTCAAACATAGTTTCAACAGTGAGTGAGTGAGTTTAGTTTTACACCATACTCAGCAATATTCCAGCTATATGGCGGCGGCCTGTAAGTAGTCGAGTCTGAACCAGACAATCTAGTGATCAACAGCATGAGCATCGATCTGTGCAATTGTGAACCGATGACATGTGTCAACCAAGCCAGCGAGCCTGACCACCCGATCCCGTTAGTCGCCTCTTACAACAAGCATGGGTTACTGAAGGTTCATTCTAACCCGGACCTTCACGGGTTGAGTTTCAACAGAATTTTCATTCATATATAAATAATACTCAAACAAGATTACCCAGTTTCTTTCAATGACTATAGTTAGTTTCCCCTATAATGACAGATTAACTATAATCATTTAAAACACTGACAGTTCCTTAACTTCTTTGGAGTAGCATAATACTGGTTTGGTTGACTCAAATACACAAATTACCCTTCTGAAAAAAACCCCCAATGATATGTGAAATGAAAGATGAGGACTTCACTCGATCCCGTTAGTCGCCTCTTGCAACAAAGCATGGGTTGCTGAAGAACAATTCTAACCCAGATCTTCAATAATAATTTGGTTCAATGACAGGTACAGAATACATTAGAATATAAGATGAGTACAGAATACAGAGTACTTGTCTTTGATTACTGTGATTACAAGTAACCACTTCCATCCTGAATCTACAGTGTATCTTGATTAAATGTAACATAAAAAATAGTGTCGATAATTCAAAACATATGAATACATACCTATATAAATATTTGGTTCAGGAAAAAACAATTCTGGGTTTTCTTTCAGATCTGCAAACATAATTGCATTCTGTTAAACAATATACATGTACCACCAAAAAGGTGACAATTACTACAGACTATACCCATTCTCAACAAGAGAGAACAATTGTTTGTTACTCAGTTTGACAATAAGCTTGATTTACAGTTTGGCATGAGCAGACAGAATAATTTTTCACTTTAGACTATATATTACAGTACATTGAGAGTACTTACTTTCCCATGTCTTTCTCCATTCAGAATCAACTTCTGCAAAAAAAACAATAATTTTTGTACAGCTCATCCTTGGGAAAAAAACCAGCAAACATTGAATACCTGCTACAGTGTACACAAAATCTCCACTTTGTACACACATGAACTACACCATGCACCCACCTGTTATACTATACAATCACCTAAAAATTAGCTGTACTGTAAACCCACCTGCTGTACTGTACACTCACCTGCCATACTGTACACCCACACCCACCTGCCATACTGTACACACCTGCTGTACTGTACACTCACCTGCTATACTGTACACCCACCTGCTACACTGTACACCCACCTGCTGTACTGGACAGCCACCTGCTACACTGTACACCCACCTGCTACACTGTACACCCACCTGCTACACTGTACACCCACCTGCCATACTGTACACCCACCATCAATACTGTACACCCACCTGCCATACTCTACACACCTGCTGTACTGTACACACCAGCTCTATTGTACACCCACCTGCTGTACTGTACACCCACCTGCTACACCGTACATCCACCTGCTGTACTGTACACCCACCTGCCAAACTGTACACCCACCTGCCATACTGTACACCCACCTGCTATACTGTACACCCATCTGCCTTACTGTACACACCTGTTGTACTGTAGACCCACTTGCTGTACTTCACACCCACCTGCTACACTGTACACCCACCTGCTATGCTGTACCCACACCTGCTATACTGTACACCCATTTGCTATATTGTACACATACCTACTATACTGTACACCCACCTCACCTATACTGTTCCCCTGATATACTGTCGCCCACCTGCTATACTGTACACCCACCCGCTATACTGTACACCCACCCGCTGTACTGTACACAGCAGCTGTACTGTACACCCACCTTCTATACTGTACACCCACCTGCCATACTGTACACCTACCTGCAGTACTGTACACCCACCTGCAGTACTGTACACCTACCTGCAATACTGTACACCCACCTGCCATACTGTACACCCACCTGCAGTACTGTACACCTACCTGCAGTACTGTACACCCACCTGCCATACTGTACACCTACCTGCAGTACTGTACACCCACCTGCCATACTGTACATCTACCTGCCATACTGTACATCTACCTCCCATACTGTACACCTACCTGCAGTACTGTACACCCACCTGCTATACTGTACACCTACCTGCAGTACTGTACACCCACCTGCAGTACTGTACACCTACCTGCAGTACTGTACACCCACCTGCCATACTGTTCATCTACCTGCCATACTGTACATCTACCTGCCATACTGTACACCTACCTGCAGTACTGTACACCCACCTGCTATACTGTACACCTACCTGCAGTACTGTACACCCACCTGCCATACAGTACACCTACCTGCAGTACTGTACACCCACCTGCCATACTGTACACCTACCTGCAGTACTGTACACCCACCTGCCATACTGTTCATCTACCTGCCATACTGTACATCTACCTGCCATACTGTACACCTACCTGCAGTACTGTACACCCACCTGCTATACTGTACACTTACCTGCAGTACTGTACACCCACCTGCAGTACTGTACACCCACCTGCTATACTGTACACCCACCTACTGTGCTGTACACACCTGCCGTACACCCACCTACTGTACTGTACACACCAGTTGTACACCGACCTGCTGTTCTGTACACACCTGCTGTACTGTACACCCACCTGCCTCACTGTACACCTACCTGCAGTACTGTACACCCACCTGCTATACTGTACACCCACAGTTACACTGTATACCTACCTGCTATACTGTACACCTACCTGCTACACTGTACACCCACCTGCAATACCGTACACCCACCTGCTATACCGTGCCCACACCTGCTATACTCTACACCCACACTGTTACACTGTACACCCACCTGTTACACTGTACACCCACCTGTTACACTGTACACCATTCTGTTACACTGTACACCATTCTGTTACACTGTACACCCACCTGTTACACTGTAAACCCACCTGTTACACTGTAAACCCACCTGTTACACTGTACACTATTCTGTTACACTGTACACCCACCTGCAATACCGTACACCCACCTGCTATACCATGCCCACACCTGCTATACTCTACACCCACACTGTTACACTGTACACCATTCTGTTACACTGTACACCCACCTGTTACACTGTACAACCGCCTGTTACACTGTACACCCACCTGTTACACTGTACACCATTCTGTTACACTGTACACCCACCTGTTACACTGTACACCCACCTGTTACACTGTAGACCCATCTGTTACACTGTACACCCATCTGTTACACTGTACACCCACCTGTTACACTGTACACCCACCTGTTACACTGTACACCATTCTGTTACACTGTACACCCACCTGTTACACTGTACACCCACACTGTTACATTGTACACCCACCTGTTACACTGTACACCCACCTGTTACACTGTACACCCACCTGTTACACTGTACACCCACACTGTTACACTGTTCACCCATCTGTTACACTGTACACCCATCTGTTACACTGTACACCCACCTGTTACACTGTACACCCACACTGTTACACTGTACACCCACCTGTTACATTGTACTTGGTGTTATACCATGCCTCCTCACAGTCTGTTTCACCTATGACAGACTTGTCTGTAGACAGCAGAACAAAGTTTGCCTTGTCTGGTCCAAGATATTTTGTGCAGTCACTAATCAACTGAAACAAATCTCTGTTATATTAAACTTTCCAAATAATCCATTCAATACATTTCATTTCATAACAGGATCCATTTACCATCAGAAACAATTTCTTCTTTATAAAATATACAATAAATCATGCTGCAAAATGTGTACTCCTCCCCCAGAGAGTACCCCCATTTCACTGGGCATCGATCAAATCCCGACTTAATATTTTTTCGAAATCGGGGAGAATCCTGAATTGATCTGTAATTGAATGGCAGAAATCGTTAATTGATCTTTAGATATCAGCAATGGTCTGGAATAGATCTCTATGATCGGGGAGAGCGGGAGCAATCTTTGAACCGGTTCAAAAACTTGTCACGATCTAAGAAACTCGGCTGTTGATCGAGTATTAAACGGAGACAGCGTGAGTTCATTGGAAGTCAGCAGTATGTTGATCGGATGCAGCAGGAACGCATCGGGAATGTATCGTGCAAACAGCGGGCATATTCTGAGGGGAAAATCACTGAAGTCAGGTCATTACCCACTTGTGATACTGAGTGAGTTCATTAAACATTGGTGACACCGAGGGAGTATCTTTGGTTCCAGTAGTATCTTTGGTGGCATTTAGAAGTTTGTGTAAATAACAACAAGCACGTGTTATGGATTTCAACTCCTACTTATTTATAAGTACGACGTTTCGGTGCACAAGTTTCTAGCTTGATAGAGGTGGTAGAACATGCACCGAAACATCGCACTTATTAATAAGTATAAGTTGAAATCCATAAAATATGCTTGTTGCAAGTTCCAATAGCATGGGATTTTTTTAATAGTGTACATCAGTTCAACATTCCTTTGAAGTGAGAATATAACCAAATAATGAAGGAAAATGACACACACACACACACAGACACACACACACAATCTTCTAAATCTTTGCTCGAATCATTTTCTCCTGCCATGGGACTGCTACAGCCTCACTATCTAAATATGGTCTGAGATATTCTCTTTGTCTTTTGGCTTCTGTAGTGTATCTGCACTGATCCTTCAGTAGAAGTAAGTTCATGCATGTTGGCATGCTGCCTCCTTTCCCCTGGGATAATATTGTATAATATCAACATCCTCCTGATCTAGGTCGGCATCATGCACACCTGGATATCTTATCCTCATGATGTTATGTGAACACACTGCTGCCTCAGCCATGCACCTCACTACGTCTGGACCCAGTTGCAAAGTTGTTTGGAGCGCCTGCCACCTGTTTGCTAGAATTCCCGAAGGCATTTTCAGCTACCCTTCTCGCCCTTGACAATCCTTCTCGCCCTTGACAACCTGCAGTTGGTGATCAGCTCCTGTTCAGAGAGTCCCCTCCTCGAGTAAGGTTTCATTACATACGTTCGAAGTGCAAATGCGTCAACAGCCAGGATGAAGTAGGGTGTGTTTTGGTCATCGTTAGGAAGTGGATCAGCAGGATGGAAACCAATTGAGTTGTCCTCAAAGCATTCCTTGAGTTCAGAATTGTTGAAGATCTGGGCATCAGACATATACCCCAGGCCTCCCACGTCAATCCACATGAATCTGTAATGTGCGTCAACCAGTGCAAGGAGGACAATCGAGTAGAAGCCCTTGTAGTTATGATACAGGGATCCTGATCTGGGAGGTTTACGTATGGCAACATGCTTTCCATCAAGGGCCCCAATGGCATGAGGCATGTTCCAAATGAGTTCAAAGTATAAGCTCACTCTTCGCCATTCCTCAGATGTAACAGGGCAGTTGATCACCTCATCTTTGTAGTGTTCCACTATAGCACGACACAGATCAGGCAGGAACTGTGCAATGATGTGCCTGGAGACTCTGAAATCATAGGAGAGGGTGGGGTACTTATGCCCAGACGCCAGGTGCCTGAGGGTGACTGCCAGCTTCAGTCCTGGTTCAAGGGCTTTTCTGAAGTTCGTGCCCGATTTCTCCAGCATTGGACCAAGTGTGTTGAGCAGCTCATCAAACATGAGAGGAGGCATCCTCAGGTAATTGAAAAATGATGAGGTATCTTCAAATCTCAACTCACGCATCAGTCTATCATAGTATCCGAACATTAGTTTTCTCTCTTGAGCTAACCAAGGGCGCACCCAAAATGCTTTTCTTCTTCTTCTTCTTCTTCTTCATTTATAGCAACTGTATCATCATTTGTCTCTGGTTCAGTTGAAACTGGTGCTGGAGGATGAGCAATAGTTGGAAAGTTTGGGGTCCATGTTTTCAATTGCAGCTGTGAATGGAGAAATGAAGAGCGGCTGCGACTTTGATACCCAAATTTCAGGCAAATTAGCCAATTTTATCGTGACATCATCAAATATTAATGGGGAGTTGATCGGATAAAGCGTGAATAGAATGGCAACTGAACGCCATGGGCGTATGTCCAACGTCATCGGATCGGCAGTGATCGGATGTTTATCTTCACTACAGCGGTTTAGAACGTGATGAGAACGTGATCAGAGCGTCACCTGAGCATGTTGAATCGGGGAAAGTTGGGACATGTTCACAGTCAGATCGGCCGTTCAGATCGTGCCTAGAGTATCTGTGCATCGTATCATGGTCGCATAAAGCGTTCGTTGATTGTATGTTCAGCATAGATCAAGTGTAATTGCATACATCTGGGTATATTTTTCCACGATTGAGCCTGCTCGAGTGTGGAAACTGAGATCGGCATTGATCTGGATGGGCGCTGATGGGTCGCCGCCCAGTGAAATGGGGGTATTAGTGTAATCTGTCACTAACCTGTGGGTCATACTCAAACAGCAGGTTCCTGCCAGTGAGGTAGTGCTCTGGTGTGTATGTCTGCATGCTCTCAGCTATCTCTTGAACATCTTCCATTGGTTCCCCTACAAACATGAATCTGTATTACAGTTTTATTGAGACAAAGTCGTGGCCGCGAGAATTTATTGTATGCCACTTTTAGCACTATTCCAGCAATATCACATCACAGTGGAGGACATTAGAAATTGGCTACACAGTGTACACACATTGAACCCGGGTCTTTGGCACAATGAGCAAACGCTTTAACCACTTGGCTACCCCACGTAAAGGAAGTTAATGGTACTCAAAAGTAGCTCAAGAACACCAACTTCATTTCACCAAAGCCATGACAGATTATTTATTATAATATGAAAGAATCGGATGTTTCTTGACTTCTTTTGAATAGTATATGTCTACATGAAATCCTGCTGATGAGGTAAGTAGGAAACTCTTTACTCCATGTTTCTGCATATAGTCTGGCTGCATTATCCTTTATCTTTCCATAACCCTTCGTCCTTAAGTCAGTGAAAACCTCCCTCTTCCTTCCGTCCAAACTTGAAGTCCACAATCTGATGGAAGGCCCCAAAGAAAACTATGCATCAGATCCTTCAGATCCTAGTACTCCATCCCCCAGATCCTAATACCTGGGATCATCTGGTCCCTCAACACTCACCTCTTCCTTCCATCTGAACTTGCAGTCCTCAATCTGCTGCAGTTCCAGGTACAGTCTTTGCTGTGGGCCTTGGTTCTGCAGCATTAGGATGTACTCAAAGACAGCATTGCACACCTGAAAACATGTACAGTATCTTCAAGCAAGACTCTGGGTCCATAGTTAGAATCCATGAAACACGAGACTTAGACATTACCGCTAGATGTTCTGAGTCACTTCCCAATGCCATATTTAGGGTTGAACATGATTGTACACTGCTGCATGAAACTTTCGTGGGAAGAATTCTTGTAATTATCTTGAGTGGAGAGGAGTGGAGCAGAGTGGAAATCAGTTCACTGGAGTGTTCAAGAAGAAAATTGTAACTAGATCCCCTGAATCACAAAGCCTGAGTGAGTGTGTGAGCATGGTTTTTACGCCGCTTTTAGCAATATTCCAGCAACATCAGCGGGGGACACCAGAAATGGGCTTCACACATTGTACCCATGTGGGGATTCGAACCCGGGTCTTTGGCATGACGAGACAACGCTTTAACCACTAGGCTACCCCACCACCCGAATCACAAAGCAATGGATGTTTTCTTGGCTTGTTGTTTAACACCACACTCAGCAATGATCAAAAGTGTCAACCAAGTCAGCTGACCTGACCACTCGATCCCCTTAGTTGTCTCTTACGACAAGCACAGGTTGCTGAAGACCAATTCTAACCCGGATCTTTACTAGTGGTGACAAAGCCATGGAGTTTATCCTGCACCAACTCAACTACTCAGCAGTCAGTGTTACCCCTTGCCATTCCACAAGCACAAGTAGCAGGAACATCTTGCCCCATAACACCAAGGTGAACATGTCCGTAAAACATGTCACATGTCAAACTGAAGAAATACTGGCACCTCACCTGTAGTATATTGTGCAGGCCTTTGGATGTAAGTGTGATGCTGACATAGAAGAGAGACCATGTAGAGTTGTGGCCGAACCCATCGCTGTCACTGCCCCCCATCATGGCCAGGGCATACAGGCTGAAGCACAATGTACCACCATTACTCACTGTATTGGGCTCTGCATATTGTAAACACGGCCAAAATCAATGTTTCTTGTTATATCAATGACTGATTTGGAGCCCTTTAGTCATAATTGTTTTCCTCTTGTGTGACACAACAGCTTCTACCAAAGCCATCCAGTATTGTAATACTTTATGCCACTAGTATATATTTGCTGTGCCTCACTATAGATAAGGTAATCAACTATAAAACTACTAAAAACAACTGAAAAACCCTCAAATACACCTATTTACCACACCTATTTACCCAGGGGTGGAAATAACCCATTGCCCGACGTCCGAGTCCAGTGTTTTTTCCTGTCGGGCAAGCAAATTTGTATATCACACTGTACCGGTGTCCAGTTGACTTTCCAATGTTAATTATGTTGTTTATTTAAAAAATCAACAAGAAAACGGCTGGTATAGTGGAAAAATTATCAGGGCAAGTGATTTTACATGTGCCACTGTACCGGAGTACACTAGCAATTTTAAAGTTATTTCCACCCCTGTTACCACACCTATTTACCACAGTTTGGGATGGGCTGAAACACACTGCAGTTATTACTCTGGCAGATAAAAATAGTGTTGAGTGGAGGAGGTAAATACCTTTCATTCCCTACTATATACTAGAGTCTGGTCATGCAGACCAGGGACAGGCAGCATGGGTCAATGCTATCAGTTTTCACATGCAAACCAACTGATCCTTATTACTCTGATCTTTGGACAGGATCTATTTCAAGGGGTCAAGGCTTGGTCATCATTTTACATAAGAAATGGGATTATGAGGAAATGAGTTTGTAACAGGTGTGTCACAAGTTCATTATTCGGACAACACACAATGCATTATTACTTCAATAATATATTACCAAAAATTACATAGAAAATGTGATAGAAAATTTCATGTAAAATTTAAATGGTTACCTACTTTTTCTTGAGATATGAAAGTATGCTTCCCTTTCCTTCATGTAATATCAGCATTGACAAATATTCTTGTGGCTTCTGCCTGTCAAAAACAAAACATCATTTGCATAACAAGAAAAAGGAGAAAGTCTTTAACCAGTTTAACAGTTCTTACACAAAAAACATAAGCTATAACTCAAGTCTATACATAGCTACCATCTCAAGTGAAGGGCAAGTGGAGGGCACCTGCTCCATTCTGTAGAAACAACATACAGTATTCAATGGTTACAACTAACCTGTCACTAAATCAAGGGTACAGATAAGCTGCATATATGTGTAAATTACACAAATATTTATGTGAAAACTCAATTCCTGTGAAGTCTTTTGCATACAAGTAAGCTTGAAGTTCTGTAAATACTCAATAAATGTGATCTTACATGCGTACTAACAAAAACAGACAAAATACAAAGGTATTTTGAGAGGTTCTATATCAGCCTCTGAACTTGGCAACTTGCATTCTTTCTTGTTTCTCATATATAACAGAGCAAATATAAATAACAAACACGTAAACCAACATTTAAACTTTACATTTTACAATTATTGGAAAATGGCAAAATACCCAATTGAGTTTGAGTGAGGTGGGTACAATATATTGGTGACTCAAAGGAAAATTAGGATACCCAATTGAGATGAACACAGGCAAGTGCATAACTCAATGACCTAAAACGTCATCTGTAGCTCTGCTAAATTTAGCATGCATTAACTGCAGTTTGTTATGCACATTTCAACTAAATTATACAGCAATTGGCCACGGCAAAACAAGAGTCATCAGAAGATGACATATTCCCCCAGCACCCACATATTTGAAAGAACAAATCATCTGACTGTTACTTAAAGTCCAGCTTGACTTTTATTTCAACTAAGTCCAAATCGTTTCCATGGAAATCATGAGAAATATAAATGCCAAAAATCTGTAAATAGCAAAAGGAACCATTTCAAAATTTGCCTAAAATATCTGCCAAGTTCTGTTGAAAGATACTGAATGCTTTTCGAGTTGTGCACTGGAAATGAAGCCTACTCCTTGCTTTTGGGACAAAGTCCTAATTGTTTCCATGGAAACCAGGGAAAATAAATCGCCAAAAATCTGCCAAATAGCAAAAGGCACCACTTTGGCATTTGCCTCGCATATCTGCCAAGTATTACTGAAAGATATTAAGAAGTTTTCCACTTGATGTCGGGAAACAAAACCCACCCCTCTCTTTTGAGACTAATTCCGAAAAAAATAAAAATGACAAAAATCTGTAAATAGCAAAAGGCACCACCTTAGGTTCTGTTTGATACATCTACCAATTTTTGTTGAAAAATATTCAACACTTTTTGAGTTATGCTCCAGAAACAAAATGATTACGGACGGACGGATGGACAGACAGACGAGGTGTTGACTATATCCTCCCGCATTACATGCGGGGGGATAAAAATTAGTTCGTATAGACATGAGTTTGTTATAAGTGTGTTTATTATAAACATAGTTGACTAACTCAACATGGACTGGTCCAGCTACTGATAAGAAATGTCCGCAGAGGATACCTGATAAATGATCTCAGACAGGTAAACTCATAGTGGCTATTGACATCACCTCACCTGTACTTGTCTACCAAAGATGGCAAAGACCAGGATATCTCAAGTTTGTGATTGTTCTCCATAGGTACAACTGAAAAAAGTAACATTTAATATTTTGTTATTCATTTCATTATTCCTTATTTGTACTTATCAGTTGGACTAATACATCACATATTAAACCTTCTATTAGACAATAAATGTCTCTAAACAATTCTTTGACAAACTAAAAAAAATTTCTCATCAAGAATGATTCTGATGCAACTATTCCACAGTTAGGTGCAGGAGCATACATAAGTGACGCCAGAATATCTTAATGGTAGCATCTAACACAACCCAAAGTTCACTTGGAAAATGGTGAAAACATAGCAAGGGAAGATATTCTTTCAGATACCATTTCCAGCATAAGGAAGACTTACCATTACACTGACTGACTGACTGAGTTTTGTTTTACGCCGCTTTTAGCAATATTCCAGCAACATAACGCCGGGGAACATCAGAAATGGGCTTCACACATTGTACCCATGTGGGGATTCGAACCCGGGTCTTCGGCGTGACGAGCCAACGCTTTATCCACTAGGCTACCCCACCGCCCCCTTACCATTACAAGGCAAACTGATGTTTGGTCGTGTGTTCATACTGTCACTGGTTTGTCAGTAAGGGATAAAAGTCTGCTTGATAATATCCTTCATATTCAGCCTTTTAGTACTGGTAAGTCTCATTTGTATGTATAATAAGTTAAAGTCAGGCCAAATTGTACAGTGTCCTTGTACATGATGTCTCACCTCGGTAAAATTTCTTGAAACCTGCAGTGTCAAATGGATCCTGAAATGACATGAGCATTATATTCTAAAATGCAATGTGCCATGAATAACCAAAACATAGACACAACACTCAATATGTTGAGTTTAAGAAAAGGAAGAGTGGGTGAGTGAATGCTGCTCACATGTCAGTTCCACATATTTGTCATAATTCTATTTGACATGGCAAGCTTGTTGGTAATCCATACTTTCAGCTTACCATAAAACATGATCATCAAGGCTATAAATGCAAAAAACCCTGTAGAGGTTTCTGATTCTTTGAAAAGAGATCCTCCTTGGGGTATTTATAAGCATTAAAATGTCCATTTTAAATTCCTACGACAGTTTAACTATATTTTTCAATAAAATATTTACAAAGCAAAAAACTTGTTTTTTCTTGTGAGACCACCCGTACAGGACCCCTGGGCCCCAACAGCCAAGAGCAGGTAACTCTAAGCGTGAACCTCGTACCTCACTTTTCATGCTGAATGAACGCAGACAGAATGAGGGGAGGTGGGTGGTCCTACCCCAAGGAAGACTCTTTTCAAAGAATCAGAAACCTCTACAGGTTTGTTTGATTCTATGTCAAAAGGGATCCTCCTTGGGGAACATATAAGCATAAGACAGACTCCCATAGACATAGAGTCGGGAATGGTATTCTGTCTGGCATACAATACCCCTCACAAAGCAGAATTCCCCAATCGACTGAGAGAGTGAAAGACACACTTACCCTGTCAGCTGACCGCCGCTGTCAATCAGGCGGGGGCGTGGTTAGGGTGAGGGACAATAGCTGCCAAGCTTAATAGCCTGATAGGCTGAGAGCATATAAAAAAAAACCCGCCCCCAACCAATGAAATTTGGTCACCTAACCCCACTATAAACCCAGTAAGCTATGCATACTGAAGGTGAATAGAAAGGGAACGTTAAAAGGAATCGTAAAAAACGAATCAGGTAAACCATCACCAAACCATCACCAGGGGATAGAACTATATAAACCTTCACCAAGCAGCAAACGCAATGGAATACTAGAAAGCTCAATCGGCTAGAGAGTCGCAACCCTGCCCACTGGTAAGAACCACACGACCAAACTGAGCACGCTCTCTGGAGTGCTTATAAAGTTGGTAATGTTGAATAAATGTATTCAGATGGCTTCAAATAGCCGCCGAGCAGATCTCCTCAATGGGCAGGGCCTTACGGATAGACGCTGTTTGTTTGATATAAGCCTTGAGAGTCTTACGGACATCTAAGACGTGAGCACGTCGAAGAGAGGTACTGGACGATGGAGGCTGCAGTAAAGCAGGAAGCTCAATAGGTGCCGTTATGTGAATGGAGCCAGCAATCTTAGGATGGTAGGAGTCTGCCAGACGTTACCGCCACAAGAAAAGCTGCCTTCCAACTTAACAGCTGGAGTGAAAGAGACGACTGACAAGTCCCAAAGGGGACTAATCCGCCGGACAGTCGGACGGATTCTGTCCACGCCTGCTAAGAAGAATCCCCCTGTTTCCACACCAGCGCGCACAACAGGCCCATCTACTCTTGTATTGAACGTTTGTCGAATCTCTCCGCGAAGCCAGAATTGTGTCTGCAACTGATGTAGAAATTCCACTCGCCTGGAGGCGATTCCTGACAGTGGCCAAGCCACCCACTGAATCCTGGGATTGGGTTGTGGCGCTCCGTTCTGGGATAGTAGATCCGGTCAAAAGGGTAATAGTACAGGAGGCTGAGCCAGAAACCTGAGGATTACCGGAAACCAGCGTTGAGCCGACCAAAGAGGTGCAAGCAGCACAAGCAGTCGCGCTGGTTGGGTGGTTAGCTGCGAGAAGACTCTGGGAATCGGCGGTATGGGTGGGAACGCCCACAGAACCCTGTCCGTCCAATCGAGCTGGAAGGCATCGGAGGCGATGGCTGTCAGACCCGGTATCCGGGAGCAAAACACGGTATCTGATTAAATTAGCTCCAGAGGCAAACAGATCTACCTGGAACGACCCGAACTGGGAGATAATCACGAATATTCCCTGATCGAGCATCCACTCATGGGGGGCCAGGATACATCGTGAGAGAGCATCCGCACGAACGTTGTCCACCCCCAGGAGCTAGACAGGCATCACCTGAATGTTGAACGGATCGCACCAGAGCAGAAACTGCCACGCTTCCTGAAAGAGAGTCGGTGACACCGTACCGCCTTGCTTCAGAATATAGGTCATCTCCGTTTGGTTGTTCATTTCTAGACGAACCACCCGTCTCACCCTGTGCGGGAGGAGTCCATTTGAATGGAGACCAACGGAATCGGAAACTCCAAAGGGAGCCCTCTGGGTAAGTTCCCGGCATCTGTCCACCACCTGAGATGAGGTAATAACCACTCCGGAGTCGTGAGAATCGTTGTAACTCTCCGAATGGGACCACAGTTGAGCTAATGCTTGCTAAATCGGTCGCATCCTCAACCTCGCACGCCAAACTACGTCAACTGTTGCCGCCATGTAGCCCAGCAATCGAAGCCATACTCGTGTTGGTAGCATGGGGGATGCGAGGAACTGTAACGTTACCTCCTGGACTTTGGCTCCCGGACAGGGAGACTAAACCCCTCCTGCTCTCGAACCGCGCCCCCATAAAAATCAGATCCTGTGTTGGAACTAGCTCTGACTTCTTGAGATTGATAACCCACCCCAGCTTGGCGAGAATGCTCATCACGGAGAGTGTCGCATCTCGGCTCATGTGAGTGGCAAGCGCTCTGAGTAACCAGTCGTCCAGGTACAGGTGGCAACACCGACCCTGTGCCCTGGCGACTTGCGCTGGAATCAACATAAGTTTGGTGAACACCCTTGGCGCCGTGGAGATGCCGAAGGGGAGCACATGAAACTGACCGTCGAACGAAAACCAAAGGTATTGATGAAAGTCGGGATGCATTGGAACATGGAGGTTTGCGTCTTTGAGGTCGATTGACGTGAGCCAATCGCCTACCTCTACAGATGAGATCACTGATTGCAGTGTCCCCATTTTGAAAGACGGTAGCTCGATCATATTGTTCAGACCTTTCAGATTTAGTATAGGACTGAACCCTCCACCCTTCTTGGTGACTAGGAAATAAGTCGAGTAATAATCCGCTTCTTCCTGCCCCGCCGGGACCACCTCGATGGCTGCCTTGTCCTGTAATGACTGGACCTCGGCACGGAGTATCTATGTCTAGACGCAGTCACGACAGCATGAAAAGTGAGGTACGAGGTTCACGCTTAGAGTTACCTGCTCTTGGCTGTTGGGGCCCAGGGGTCCTGTAGGGGTGGTCTCACAAGACAAAAACAAGTTTTTTGTTTTGTAAATATTTTATAGAAAATTGTAGTTACAACTGTCGTAGGAATTTAAAATAGACATTTTAAAGCTTATAAGTACCCCAAGGAGGATCTCTTTTGAAAAAGAATGTAAAATTCATATCACAGTGAGTCAGTTTCATGTGCAAAGAAAATGATGGAAGTAATGTAGGTATTGGATGTTTACAACTTTGGTGAAACACATGAGAACAGACATGAAACATAATCTGGGTAACAGGATTCAAGCCCATAATCACAGATTTTTGGTGTGATCAAGGGACACAACTCTGCATGACAAATTGAGGTGTCTTAGAGGACTGAGCGACCCCTCTAGACTGACCTTAGGGACGATCATAATTTATGGCTAGGGGGATGATGATTTTTATGGAGAAGCATGTACAATGTGAATTACCCCAACTAAAATTTATGCACAAAGTATGTGACCCCGTCTGTATGTCATGAACAAAATCAATGACCACCCCCTAGTACATGTGTACAGAACTGATGACCCCTTATACCTCCCCAGAACAAAATGGATGGTTCCACACCCCACCCCTCCTTAAAATCATCATCACCCTTAACCATAAATTATGAACGGTCCCTGAACAACAAAATGACTCCATGTTTATATACAATGAGTGAGTGAGTGAGTGAGTGAGTGAGTTTTACGCCACATTCAGCAATATTCCAGCTATATTACATACAATAAAATAAATCTTCACCAAACTGACCACAGGCCCAAATCAGTGTAAACCAAACTTACCTTCAAATGGCTGAATGAGGGCCGAGGTATGTTGCTGAAATAATACAGACAGATGCTGGTAAAATAACCATTACAGTATGTTCTGATGAAATGAAACATTACTTAATCACTCAATCAGATGGAAATACTTTTACAAATTTAATAAATCTAAGCAATACACAATACTATATATCAAGTCTGAAAGTGATTGAGTGAGTGAGTTGAGTTTTACGCCGCACTCAGCAATATTCCAGCTATACGCCGGCGGTCTGTAAATAATCGAGTCTGAACCAGACAATTCAGTGATCAACAGCATGAGCATCGACCCACGCAATTGGGAACCGATGACATGTGTCAACCAAGTCAGCGAGCTTGACCACTTGATCCTGTTAGTCGCCTCTTACGACAAGCATAGTCGCCTTTTGTGGCAAGCATGGGTTGCTGAAGACCTATTCTACCCTGGATCTTCACGGCTCTAAGTCTGAAAGATTCTGACATGTGATTTGGAATTTTGTTTTCGCAAACATCTGACTATCCTGTCAATTTGTTCATGGATATATTCCACAGAAGACACTTATCCTCATACACTAAGGCCTAGACTAGAATTCACATTATTATATCACAAGACTATGCAACAATGAGCTGTCATAATTCTTAAAGTTCCATATCAGATCAACTGCACACATAATATTGGTGTCAATAACACAGAACAGCCAGAATACTTTCTCATCATAGAAATCTTTTTTACTGAATCATCTCCAGTTCTACTACTCACTGTAAGGAATATCTGAGAATATATCCACTGCCCATTCTTGTAGTGTGTCAAGGCTGTCTGCCAACAAGAACAAACAAGGTGAGGAAATATTTGGTAGCAGAATGTCAAAAACATGTCTAAACACTTTCACACAGTGGAACAGGTTATCTTTATTTCTCAGAACCACATAAAATATGTCCAGTCAGTTATACCAGACATTATTGAATATTGTCTGTCAGTTTCATTTCCATATTTTGCATTCATATTTACAAAAGAACCTGTGAAAGCATTGTCTGTTTCGCTTTTGATTTACTATGCAGAACCCATTTCACAAAGCTCTCGAAAGCCTAAGATCTCGTAACTTTTCTCGTATCATTCGTACTCCCTATGTTACAGTATAGGAGATACGAATGGTACGAGAAAAGTTACGAGATCTTGGACTTACGAGAGCTTTGTGAAACAGGGCCCAGGTCAGTGACAAAGGTTTACACTTTACTTATTAATATTCATATCATTTGCTTGTTGCTGTTCCAGTGATCAATCCACGGCCTACGGAAGCCTATTAGGGCCATGTCAAAAAAAAATTCATATCCCTATTAACTGGAAATATCCCCTTAATTACTGGAAATTTCCACGTAGTATCTGGAAATTTCCACTTACTAATTGGAAATTTCCACATAGTAACTTGAAATTTCTACTTAATAACTGGAAATTTCTACTTTATAACTGGAAAATTCCACTTAATAACCGGAAAATTCCACCTAATAACTGGAAATTTCCACTTAGGTTTCTGGAAATTTCCACTTAGTAACTGGAAATTTCCACTTAAATGGTATAAATAGAGCCTACAGCAGTATTTGAACAACTATATAAAGATCAAAATATGGAGATGTGCGTTAAGATCATTCAGACATACGTATGCTTAGGGTTGAGCAATAAAGACATTCTTTACTTTCTGGCTCATGATCACAAGATTTTGATAAGTGAACACACGCTGAAAAGAAAACTTGCAAAAATGAAACTCTATCGAAGAAAAGGAAAATCAAAAGTGGTTGATGTCGCTCTCTTCATCCTGTCTGAATGTGAAACCTCTGGTAAGTTACATGGCTATCGATGGATGCATCAAAGGTGTCGGGAAAATGGTTTGACTGTTGACAAAGAAACTGTAAGAATATTGCTTGGTATCGTTGACCCTCAGGGTGTGAAATGTCGCAGTAAAAGAAGACTGGAGCGCCGGAAGTACTTTTCATTGGGACCTAATGCTGTTTGGCATATCGATGGAGTGCGACAAATTGAAGCCATCACGGGAATTTGCATTCATGGATGCATAGATGGATTTTCACGTAACATCATATGGCTACATGCATGGAACACTGAATAACAATCCAAAGCTGGTAGCAAGTTATTTCGTTGAAGCTGTATCAACATATCAAGGATGCCCAGAGAATGTAGCTCTGATGCTGGCACAGAAAACGCAACTGTTGAGCAGATGCAGTACTTTCTGAGGAGCGATCATGTGGACAGATATCGGCTGGTAGACTGAGTTACGTGTATGGGTCAAGTACAACAAACCAAAGAATAGAATCATGGTGGGGCATATTGAGAAAGCATTGCATTCAGTACTGGATGGATCTTTTCACTCACCTCAAACATGATGGATACTTTACAGGAGACCTCGTGGATAAAAACCTGATGCAGTTTTGTTTCTTAGAAGCAATTGAGGTAAGTTCATTTACACGTTTATTTTCACCACGTTAATGGTTTTATGACACTATATATGTTTTATCTTAATTGTACTACTTTGGTTCAGGTTAGTTATTACTAACCAATAACTGATTATCTTATTGCTTCAGAATGAAATTCAAGAAGTGGCTCGTACTTGGAACTTCCATCACATTCGTGCAAGTAAGAACAACCCAGGTCCGCATGGGAAACCGGCTGTAATGCATGCTATGCCTGCTTTATATGGTGTTGTGGATTGTTTAAAGCAAGTAACTCCGGATGCAACTGAAGGGATGAGGTCTGTAGTGATGCCACTGTATTCGAATTATGCAAAATCATTATGGATGAAATGCAGTGGGAATTCCCGGAGAAGAAGGACGATCTGTGTGATCTCTATATTGCACTGAGGACAGAATTGAAGAGGCAGCTTGCCTAGCTTACTGTATTACAAACAGTGTTGTAATGCCTGGGAAATACACATTACAATTACAAATACTGCAATGATGCATTCACTTCTCACAGTGAGTGGTATGAATGGACTTTAGATGAGGTTTTTATGTCTGCATGCAAAGCTATACTTTATGGTGGTTTGGTAATTTGAATTGTACGATTTCTGAACATTGTATTAAAACAATACCATGCCAGTGTCAGTGTTTATATCATTCTAAGGATCACAGTGTCATAATGGATGGCAGTGCAATGACCTAGGTTGCAGGAGTTTCCAGGTTCGATTCCATCCCCGTTTTCATATTTCACTAATCTCCAGCATATATGTTTTGAAAAATTTCCATTAGAGCCCTGGGTGCCGTTGTACAAAACAACCTTATCGCTAAGACTACCTTAAGTCTATGTTAAAGTATAGGAGTTACGGTCACCTTAGAGCTAAGATCGCTTTGTACAACGGCACCCTGGACGCATCCACCACTCTCAGTGTAGACAGCTTGTTGGAAAAAGGCCCACAAAGGGAGGAAATTATCAGGCCGAGTGGTGGATGCATCCAATGTACTAGTGCAAATTTATCAAAAGATATATGCTAGAGCTGGTAGTGTCAGTATGGATGTTATTGTCAGTATGGATGTTAGTGTTAGTGTGGATGTTATTGTTAGTGTGGATGGATATTATTGTCAGTATGGATGTTAGTGTCAGTATGGATGTTAGTGTTAGTGTGGATGTTAGTGTCAGTGTGGATGTTAGTGTCAGTCAGTGTGGATGTTAATGTGAATGCTAGTGTGGATGTCAGTGTCAATGCGGATGTTAATTTCAGTAAGGTTGCCAGTCTGTGAAAGGACTAGTTTGTTGATCACACCCTCTTGCCAAATTGCGCAACTGATGTTTTTCAAATATGAATTGATTGACACTCTTTGAGTAATTATAGTTGCTTTCATAACATGCATGGTTAATTTTGCTGACCATGTCTCAATTTCAAATCAGAGTGATAACATCATAAAGAACAAAATTTCGTAATAAATTTGAGTCTCAAGTTACACTCTCACGTGAAAAGATTAAGCATTTGTTCAAAGAACGCTTTGCTAAAATATCAACACATTTATCATTCGATGTAAGAAAACAATCATGTTTTGAAGTAACATATTAAGAAACCTCTTTCAAAGTTCACACTTGTAGGCACAGTGACCATACACTTTTCTTCAAACACATTTTAAGCAGGCTGCCAACAGTGAAAATATTACTGAAGTTGAATAATGCAAATGATCTCAATTTGATCATTTGATATTGTAATAAAATTGTAAAAGAAACTTCCATCGAACGAGAAACAATCTTTGTATAACTCATATGCATCATGATTCGATCGAACTGATAAATGAATTTCTTTTGTAACACAAAACTGAGTATAACTGTAACAATTCTGTATCATCCAACAGCCTTCAACACAGTGTAAGTCGTCATACTGATTTCCAGTGCAAACGTGTGTGTCTTCTACGAAGTCCATTAACCAGATGTCACTCTTCAGCACTGCAGTGAACTCCGACCTGAACTGAAGATAGCTGTCGTATTGCTCGGGTAGTTCCAGCACATATCCACAGGTGTGAGCAACAGGTCGGACGCTGTAGTCCCTTCAATGTGTTGAATCTCACAGCGAGGGATTTTTTGCTTTCCAGAAGCATCAACTAGCAGAAGGTCAGAACCGGGTACAAAATCTGAGTAGCTTTGCCAACATATCAGTTCAAGTTCTTTCACAAACTTGATAAGAAATTTGGGAAGTAGCTGTTTGACAAACTGACATACATTCTGGAAATGAGAAAAGAGAAACGACCACCTTTCTGACATTTGGAATCAAGTTGTTGTAGAGACTTTTCTAATGAAGTGTCACCAAAATCAAAGAAATAGCCAAGACTGGTAAGCTGGTCAAACCAACACGCTTTCACATACATTGGTTCTTGAATGAGTTCCTTATTAATGCGATCTCTCCTATTACCTTGGTTAGGTTTTCAGGAGTTAGGATGACCCGATCCATCGTGTGTTGAGATTATATGTCGATGATGTCCTCTTGGATTTGGTCATCAACATTGCCCTCCATGGCTGTTTTTCAAAGTATCTGCTTCACTGAGTGGCAGATATGACAGATACTCTGTCACAAGATGATTCTTCAGTATCTGAGAAGATGTCAGCGCCAAAGAGGCAGCAAGACATGAAGCCTTTTGACAGATATATGGGGAAGTATAAGCTGTGTTTTCCAGCCAAGATAAAGGGCGCTTGCAATGGCCTTCCAATCTGAATCACTAAAGTCATGTCTGATGAAAGGAACCTTCATTTCTCTGCCCAAACAGCAATTATCATAAAAAAGGCGACCAGAATTCCACCAGTGCATCGCACACACCCGACACCACCACTGTCCGTAGTAATTTCGCTCTTACCGTTTGGGAGGAATCATTTGAAACTAAAAGATCCTTGTTGAGGTCATATGTATTTTCTTTGAAATTCTGTTTCAGCTCCTGGAATACATGACCTCTGTGAACACGCATTTTTATGTTCTATGGTGGGATGCTGCCTGTAAATCTCCTCAATAAGTGTGTTGATGGAATGTAGGTCGTCTGCTGTATCTGGAATATCGGAAGAAACATATCCCGATAAGTTGCATCAAAGGAGAGTAATACTTGTGCAGGTATATAAGTGTATATGTCTCGATCAATGGTATCCAGCACATCAATGTTTTGTGGATCTTTCAATGACACAACAGTTGCTGATGATGTGAATGATACCGGTTTTGTTCTTGAAGTATTGAATGGTGGCATTGGCAAGTGTTCATCATCCTGTTCTTCAGTATGTTAAGGAGCAGTGACTGATGATGTCGCCAGTACAGCCTCTTGTGAAGTCTGTTTATTGCAAAATCTTCTGTTTTTCCACCAGTGTGCTCTTTCTGTTTCATGCCCAAGTAGAACTTCACCTTTGACAGCTTTGACATATCAAATACTTGCTGAATGGTAACATCTGATGGCATTAGTGATGCGAGTTTGTAATCAAAGACATCGACCTCGTATTCCTTTTCTGCTCTCGAACTTGTCAGAATATCCTTTGGGGAAGAAAAGAGACTTGGCCTCATGAAGAATTTCATTTCGGCGTTGATGTTTTGACATGACAATTTCTCTCACCCTCCACCAGAGACAGCCCGTACCTGCTTGTATTCCTTTCTTTTCACATCATATTTTGATAATCCAATACCAATTAAGCCTGGATGTCTTTGTTGCATTCTGGTTTCCAAATTACCAAACTCACTGTTTGCCCGTCGTCTTCTGAACTGTCGGATTCTGCTTTTCGTTTAAGTTGCTTTCTCAGTCTCTGAAATAAGCTTTGTTTTCGTTTATTTCCTGATTTTTCGGCTTTGGCACCTTTCTTTTCCCTGTTAAGGAAAGCTCATTAGTGCCAGTCGAATTAGCCGCCATACTGGGGATATCGTTGAAAGCTGATCATCTGTCATAATCGCAATACAGGGGGCATCAATCTGTAAAACAAACAGTCATAAAATGGTACTCAAACAAAAGATTTCCGTAATGTCTCAATTTAAATAATAATACTAATACAACGTGGTGGACTCAGCAAATGTGGATTAAATCATTCTGGCTTGATTCGGGCTTTCGCCACACAACCCATTACTTCACTGCTTCCAATAGATTAGTACATGCATCACGCACCTTTTCTCGTTGCAAGACATCAAGTGTTGCCGTAGGTATACCTCTGTGCGAAGGAATTCATCCATGACTACTCTTCTAGCTTCGGATACCAAGTGAAAACTACTTATTGCCATATGTACATTTCCAGATACTAGGTGGAAATTTCAAAGAAACCTAAGTGGAAATTTCAAAAGAAACCTAAGTGGAACTTTCAAAGAAACCCTAAGTGGAAATTTCCAGTTACTGAAGTGGAAATTTCAAGAAACCTAAGTGGAAATTTCCAGTTACTAAGTGGAAATTTCCAGTTACTAAATAGAACTTTCCAGTTACTAAATTGGAAATTTCCAGTTAATAGGGATATGAATTTTTTGACATGGCCTAATAGGCTTCCATTACCACGGCAGTACAATGACATCTAATCAACAAAGTCACAGTCTGACCAGCCAGCCATGTGGTCACCTCTCAATATGTCCAGGCAGGTCACCGTAACACCATAACTGCTTCTCATATATATACCCCATGTAGGAAATCAAACACTTTAGTTTCACAACTCTGGGTGAGAACATATGTGTGGGATTAAGAAGGGATGACCTGAGATCATTGTGTTGCGTAGTAATGACCTTGAAAACAGACATGTCAATTCAATCCTAATATGGTTCTATTTTAGAGATTGTGTAGAGAAACAAATTAGGTACAACAAAAAGTGACTGTCAGATACCATTTATCTTAAAACTTGTTTCAAAATGTATCGAACTTGCTTTTGCTCATTAGATTAGCATATACACATGTATGTTATTTTAGTTGGAAACTGGTTATAATTAAATGCTATCTGACAGATACCCACGTAACAACCATCTCTATGTCTTGGTTTGCCCTTATGCAGTGGGCTGGATTGACAATGGACACCTACCCATTGACTGCAGCACGAGGGTCATGTAGTTGGCACAGTACATCTTCTCATAGAAGTCTACAGCCCGACCATAGATGTCCATACCCTTCTTTTCAGGATCAGTCTTCAAAGACTTAGCATTACCTGTTCAGGAAGAGTGAGAGAGTGAGTATGGTTTTACGCCGCTTTTAGCAATATTCCAGCAATATCATGACGGGGGACACCAGGAATGGGCTTCACACATTGTATCCATGTGGGGAATCGAACCTGTGTCTTCAGCATGAGGAGCAGACGCTTTAACCAGTAGGCTACCCCACCGCCCTGTTCCGTTAGAAGTGTGAATATTAGGTGTAGGTAGAAAGGTTCATCGGAAGCCTTTCTTTGAAGTATATTGATCCAGTTGACACTTCATTCAAGCCTCATTCAAGCTACAAGACAGTGGTCTGTAAAGAATCTAGTCTGGACCTGACAATCGAGTGATTAATATAATGAGGATCAGGGTACCATGATGAGTCACCAAGGCTGACCACAACATTCACTAAATTGCCTCTTTCAATCAAAACAAGATGCTGGGACCTATTCAACGCTGGAATCCCCAGTTAGTGATCCAACCTTCGCTGGGTTTCATTATGTATTCCAAACAGATATGATCATATGCAACTGTTTGCCTGTTATATCAGCATAAAAACAAAACAGGATTGGTTTCATTAAATATTAATCAATCTGGCTCCAATGAATTCTTAGTTATAAATTGATGCCCATATCAACATGATTAAGTATCTCACCTCCCATAAACCTTGACATTGGGTGGCCCTTCTTAGCAGTCTTGGATATCAGTTCATTTACCCTGTCATTATCACTGGAAGTTGTCATCTGAAACTCTGAAGAAAAAGGTTGGACTTACTTGTGGTATTCATGGTGTTGGGCAAAAGTCACAATTTTATCATCATTACGTGTTGATGGTCATAATTTGTTTGTTCTAACAAATCATAAATCCCTAAAGAGTGAGTGAGTGAGTGAGTTTAGTGTTACACCGCACCCAGCAATATTCTAGCCCTATGGCGGCGGTCTGTAAATAATCGAGTCTGAAACAGACAATCCAGTGATCAACAGCATGAGCATCAATCCACGCAATTGGGATAAGATGACATGTGTCAAACCAAGTCAGCGAGCATGACCACCCGATCCTGTTAGTCGCCTCTTACAACAAGCATGGGTTACTGAAGATCAATTCTAACCCGGATCTTCCCAGGTTAATAACTAAAGAACCTACAGTCTCATTTTGCCCCACTCTTTACTTCCTTCCACATACCACTGTCAACTGCCTCTATCTCCCTGTCCACACAATCCTTCTTCAACAGCGGAGAGATGAAGAAATGGGCAAGTTTGTCCAGGCACTTCCGGAAATATTTACGCTGGATTTCAAAATAGAATGTTGTCTGAAAGAGAAACAAGGAAAACACATGCAATCAGAGTGTTGTACAACAGAGCTTTGTACTAATGTAATAGGCAGTTTGTACTAGTATGCCGTTTAAGTGACTGTGTGTTTTAAGGACTAAGTGAGTGAATGTATATTAAATCCCCAATCCGCTATATTCCACAAATTACAGCAGCATGCAAATAGCAGTGGCTGATAGCATGAGTATCACTCCAAGCCATCAGGTCACACTGACACGCAATCAGCCAAACAACTCAGGAAGGGTGATCTATTCCTCTCCTGAATCCCCAGGCAGTGTTATCAGACATGCATCTACAGCAGACAGAAAATATAACCTTGGACTGACTGACTAAGTTTGGTTTTACGCCGCTTTTAGCAATATTCCAGCAACATCACTGCGGGGGACACCAGAAATGGGCTTCACACATTGTGCACATGTGGGGATTCGAACCCGGGTCTTCGGCGTGACGAGCCAATGCTTTAACCATTAGGCTACCCCACCCCCCTATAACCTTGGAGATATGGTCAGTTTAACTTTTCTTTGTAATATCTTGTTCAGTTCATTTGTGGCTGGCACACGCTATGATAGTATGAAAGACAACTGTTTGAGTAAAATACAAATGCAACAAGTTGCAATGTCTAGTATTACTGCACTTTCTCACACCAGTCCACCTGCCAGACATCGTAGACTCTGAAGTATGGCAGAGGCCATCCTCGATAACTCCAGGGTATACGTTCCGATAAGCCTCCACTATACTGGAGGATGGGCAGAGGCAGGGTTAGTATTATTTGGCAATGCAGACAAAGTCTGAGGGGCTATCTCCCGAGAAATAAAAACATTCTGAGACATACTGGCCAACAGAGAAGATCAAGTCAGTTATACAACTCCAATAACACACATTTATCCACACAACTAAATCAGAACCTAATATTTTCTATGTCATCACAGGGATGGGTCAGTGTAAGAAATGGACTGGCAATAAATGTGACATGTAAAAAGGTTTGAGTTACCATTTCACAATCAGTACAAGCATTTGAATCTCCGCCATGTTTGCCAAGGTAATCATCAAAATCATTCTCCTCTGGGTAGACACTACTGCCCATAAACACCACTGAAATGTGAAAAAGATTATTGTCCAGACATTGAAAGGAAACTTCAGTATGAATTAGTAGCCAAACATCTAACACAGCCTTCATGATCTACTCTTTTGTGTATTACAAGTGCTAATGGTATGATTAGATCAGTTCCTGGAACACACACAGAGAAATAAAAGCACAAAGACTTTTAAACACAAATACTTTTCGATGATGTGCAGTGCATAAGCTAGCTATAAGAGGGCATGAAACATGACAACCACATGAATGTGCTCATTGCGCTGCAAGATTCACAAATAATATCTTGGAATTTTATAATGAAAAAGGAATCAATAATCTCAATCACATGGCCTGACTGGCTGACTGAATTTGGTTTTACGCCGCTTTAAGCAATATTCCAGCAACATCACGGCGGGGGACACCAGAAATGGGCTTCACAAATTGTACCCATGTGGGGATTCGAACCTGGGTCTTTGGCGTGATGAGCCAACACTTTAACCACTAGGCTACCCCACCGCTCCTCAATCACATGGGAGAGGGCAAACTTTAGTAATACAATGTAACTGCATAATAACAAGTCATTTTATCATGCCCTTAATTTCCAATGGCAAGTAGTTGCTGATAGTGCAAATAGCCAGCTCTGATGAAATGGTATCCACCAAATTTAGATAAACCTGTAGAGGTTCCAATTCTTTGAAGAGAATCGTCCTTGGGGTACATATATGCATTTTTTGCGGCTGAAAATGTCATGTGACAGTTGTATCAATGTTTTAATAAAAATATTGTACAATAAATAAAAGTCTTCTTATTTATTATATGGCCCCCACCACGTGGAGTTACCTCCCTGCCACGCATGCTTGGCCAACCAGGTAAGCACCTAAGCCCGTATCATCATTCCTTCTGCTGAACAAATCAGTGAACAGAATTGCGGGGAGGTGGGTGGCCCCACCCAAAGGACGGCTCTCTTCAAAAGAATTGGAAACCTCTACAGGTTTATCTTATTCTTTTTCATAGAGATCGTCCTTGGGGTACATATATGCATTAACTCAGACTCCCAAAGACCGGAGGCTAGGGAGGAGGGAATTCTGTCACAGTACAAATAAATAGCAATCACATAAAAAAAAAGTTACTTACGCCACAACACTCACCTGTCAAGTGTCCCGAAGCTTCCGCAAGAGGCATTATGGGAGGTGACACGACAGGGAGGAAACGTACTGAGGACCGACCTCAACATGTTAAGCATTAAAACACATCACATAGTGTGTACCCCGTCCACTTAGTGAAATCTCAGAGAGCACCGTAAGGGGGAAACCACAACTCACAACCAAATTTCTCAACCGAGAAAGTGAAATTTGTCGAAAAATCGACAGCGGATATGTCAATTAAAACAAAAATGTAACGCAGCATCTCTATAAAACCAAATAACCAAGACTCACTCGGTCAGGATGGCAGGACACTGTCCACGGGAGAGAACAGAACGGCCAAAGCGAGTTCGATCACGGGAATGTGTATCAAGCTGATGGTGCCGCATAAAAGTGCTAGGCCGGCTCCAAATAGCTGCAGAGCAAATCTCTTTGATGAGCAGTGCCGCTGCAAAAGCTTTTGAAGTGGCTACTGCTCTGACTGTGTGAGCCTTCAACCCCTCAGCGGGAAGCTTGCCCTCAGCCTGATAAGCAGCACAAATGACCGACACAAGCCAGTGAGAAAGTATCTGTTTGCTGGCAGGAGCCCCAGCCTTCCTGCCACCGTGACAGCAGAACAGATGGGTACCCGTATGAATCCCTTGCGTTCATTTGATATAGACCTTGAGGGTCTTACGGACGTCCAACGGGTGAGTGTTCGTTGCAGAGGTCCCCGATGTGGAAGGCTGGGTTAGTGTAGGAAGTTTGATTGGAGCTGTCACATGGAAAGCATGAACCACCAGAAAAACGGCCTTCCATGTCAACAGCTGAATGGAAATAGCCGATAGACGTGAGGAAGTAGGACCAGACAGCCAATCTAGCACGATTGACAAATCCCTAGGTGGGCTGGTAGGCCTGAGAGCAGGTCGAACCCGATCCACGCCAGCTAAGAAGCACTGCAGAAGAGGGTGCTGCCCCAGAAGAGCACCATCGACAGAGGTGTGAAAGGTGGAAATAGCGGTGGAGTAGCAACGAATGGTCGAAGCCGCCAAACCTTCTTCCAAACGAGACTGCAGGAACTCCAAAACTCAGACTAAATCCGCAGAAAAGGGATCTGCAATTCCCACCAGCGCGCATAGCGGGAACATCCAACCTTGTACTGAAGGTTTGTCGAATCCCGCCTCGAAGCCAGAATTGTGTCTGCAACTGTTGTAGGAATTCCGCGTGCCTTGTGGTTAGACCTGACAGAGGACAAGCCACCCACCTAATCCGTGGATTGGGTTGTGGCGTGCCGTTCTGAGTGAGAATGTAAGGGTAATAGAACAGGAGGCTGTGCCAGAAACCTGAGAATTACCGGAAACCAGCTCTGTGACGGCCAAAGCGGTGCCAGAAGCACAAGTAGCCGAGCTGGCTGGGTGGACAGCTGGGAGAGGACCCGACGAATGAGTGGTAGAGGCGGGAACGCCCACAGCACCTTGCGGCACAACAGCACCACAGGCGTCGGAAGCCAATGCCCTCTGGTCCGGTATTCGAGAGCAGAACACGGGAATCTGATTCGTCCCGCCGGGCGCAAACAGATCCACCTGGAACAACTGGGAGATAACTCCGAATATCTGCCCATCGAGCATGCACTTGTGCGGGGCCAGGATCCAGCTTGAGAGCGCGTCAGCTCGCACGTTCTCTTGCCCCGGGAGATAGACAGGAATCACCTGACAGTCGCACTGGTCCCACCAGTGGAAAAACTCCCACTTCTCCCAAAGGAGCGCTAGGGCCAGCAAGGTTTGCTGGGTCGCCGCCGAGTAGTATGAGGTCGACAAGCACAGCTTGCACATCGCCATGACTGCGCACATCAACCGTCGATGCAGCGGACCGTAACAAGTCCCTGGTCAGGTGGGCCTGTACCTCGGTAAGTTGACGAAGGAGAACAACATGAGGTGATACGTCACCCGTGCCTGCCTCCACTTCCAGGGCCGACCTCTGAATTTAGGAGAGGAATGCCCCATGGACCACAACCTGTACCTGTTGCATAGCATTCCTATAAACCTCCTCGTAGGTTCGGTATGCTTGCCGCAGAGGGGCGCTCGACTGGGCAAAAGGTGGAACCGAATGCCCTTGTTTGGCAGCCAGAGCTGAACCCGAGGAAGCCAAGCCACCCCTGAGGGCAATAGAGGTAAACACACATTCGTCCACCACCGGAACCAGGAAGAGGGACTCATCACACAGCTGATACCGCATCACAAGTTAATCTAACCGGAGCCTACAGCCAGCTAGCAACGAATCCACAACATCCTGAATCAGTGAGGGAAGAACACAGAGCTGCGTCTGTGAAGACTGCCGAGGAGCAAACGCCTCATCCGGCAGGCAGAACTCAGACGAGTCCTGACAGCTAGTTGGCACCGCAGCTTGGGGTAACATCTGCACAATGCGCTGACGCACCTCTTGCAAAGCTGACGAGAAGCAGAAAGAGCCTTCGGACTCCTCAACCTCCCCCACATCCATCGACTCGGCTCCTGAGCCTGAGCCTGAGCCAGAATCCAGATCCTCCCGAAGAGAGGACCTGAACCCCGACCCAGTGTAAGGCCGAGCCACGACGACGAAGGGAAGGAAGAGCTCCGCTCCGGACACTGACCGCACGCCAGGACCCCGGTCCCGAGACGCAGGAGGTAGCTCAGACAGAATTGGCTCCTCCGCTCTCAAGGGGAAAGGGTGCGCAGGGAATACTCAACAGTCCCTGCGCGAGCACCGAGAGGGGGCTGGGTGCGAACCCTCCCTCCCCGGGCTGGCCGAAGCTCCCGGACCCGAAGCCAGCGACAACAAATCAACAGAAGCCTCGAGGCTAACGGATCAAGCTGAGCCCGGCGATCCTACCCCCGAACTCTCGTTCGGATTATTATTATTATTATTATTTATCACTCCGATGAGTTTTGTACCAAACATAACTCCTAAACCAATGCTCCGAATTGCTTACAAAAAATCACACTGACTGACTGACTGAGTTTGGTTTTACGCCGCTTTTAGCAATATTCACAAAAAATCACACAGATGGGCACCAAGGTGTAGATATTCCCCTTAAAAATCTCTAGGCTCTAGGCCCAATAGCAAAGGGCAGATAATTCAAAATTAATTCCAAAATTTCAAAGTTTGACAGCAAATATCTAAAGAACTAATTGTTCCAACACTTCCAAATCTCTTGTACAAATGCACAATCGAATTCCCAACAATTTTGACTAGATGGGTCAAGTCGCTAAAATGTACCGTTTGGCAGTTATATTTGTTTTCAGTTTTTGGCCATGTTTTTCAGCAGTTTTCTGAGTAGTTTGCTCCCAAAATGTGCTGAGCTCCAACCATCAGCTCTAGACATTCCAAACTTTCCATAACTGATGTCCAGTAACCATTGTGCAAATTCTGCACAAAAAGTGCCAGTATGGTAGATAAAGTCTTAGTGATTCTTGAACACTAATTGTTTTGACCGTAGACCCAAGAACAACTGAGATACAGCCTTTTAAAGAGGGAACTATTTCTTCTCCAGAACTTCTTAAAAGGTACATCACCCCTGTGACCCCGGCTGTATTTGGAAGATCCGCTCGCCTGTCAAAAAACTGCAACCAATTTGTCAAATATGACTTCAATGAGTCAATAACGCGGGTCTTGGGGTCCATGGATGACAAGGTTGTAATCTGTTCGTGATTGCTGAGAAAAATGTGAAATTGGTGCTATCGCGGAAGACGCGAAAAACGGACCCTCATGAATGTGGTAAGCGGAAGTTGTATGGAATGAGGTAATGCCATTTCACTCATGGTTTCTTCGTTGTTACTGTAAACAGTTTTAATGAATTGGATTGAATTTAATTTAAATAAAATGTGTTTTCTGACATCATACGTTCTCGGATGGCGGTGTTTACCCGCGCAATAACGTGGTGTGTTGCATCACAGCAAACATTGTAAGCAATCGGCTTATGGCATGTCTTTATGATAAAGTTGTTTTTTATTAGTTATTACAATGTTTCGCTGTTCGTCTGATTACTATTGAGAAAACTGTGCATGTTTTAAGCAACTGAAAAACCATGGATAAGTATGATAATCACAGTTAATTGCAATCCGCACTGAATTTCACTAGTTTACAACGTGATTAACCAGAGTTCAACAGTGTGAAGATGTGTGATCACTGGGCAACTTTTTTATAAGGGAGCCGCGGATTACCCAGCGGTTTAACCGAATCCGCGGTATCACAAGAGAAATATTGCGAGGGATGACTGCAGTTGAAGACTCAGACATAGTCGTAGTACTGAATACTCTTTGTCAGCACTAGTCAACCACGTGTACACACGATGCGTGACAGCAGAAGGAATGATGATACGGGCCTAGGTGCATACCTGGTTGGCCACGCATGCGTGGCAGGGAGGTAACTCCACGTGGTGGGGGCCGTATAATAAATAAAAAAGGCTTTTATTTATTGTACAATATTTTTACTAAAACATTGATACAACTGTCACATGACATTTTCAGCCACAGAAAATGCATATATATACCCCGAGGACGATCTCTATGAAAAAGAATTTAAAGTTGGACGGAAAGTATAGTTCTTTTTGGCAAACATATCTTAATGGTCACCCTTTTGAAAGCGATTACTGTTTCCCTGGCCTTTGTATAATGGCGACAATGACCTCAGAACATGCTTATCATCACTTCATAGAGGCCAACAAAATCTATTCAACTCACTGTGTTCAAGAAAGTGAGCAAATCCTGGAATGTCGTCTGGATCACAGAAACTGCCTGCACCAACACAGAGGGCTGCTGCTGACTGGGGTACAAGAGAGACAACTTTAGTACCACAGAACATCACAGGCTTGTTTAATACAGTCATGTACATAGAAGCCAAAAAGGCTCTTACAACACATATTCTATCACTTGAAATTAAAAAAACTATTCAACAATACTTACATATATTTAGATCTACAGATTCAAGTACAATAAGGAAAGTATACAGGAGGTACCTTAATACAGGAAATCGCTTTTGGATAGAGAAACAAATATGTAACAACTACAAAAATCGAAATTGTAACATTTATGTTTTAAATAATAACCAATTAATGGCATTTTGTGAGTGCAAACACCTAAAAAGTTTAAATACCTTTATCATGTCCATTGAAGGATGTAAATTGGATAATACATGTAAAACATACACATGATGTAGTTATATCCTCCAATGTAACTTAAACATCACTGAATTCATTTAACTACTAGCCTCCCAAGCTCCTTGATTGGCAGAAATATAAAGTGAGTTTTGTCACCTTCTTCTCATTGCCCTCCTTCTTCTTGCCTTCTGGTATATCAATCTCCATCTCCTCCTCACCACTGCTGCCACTACTTTCGCTTTCACTCTCGCTCTCACTGCTAGACTCCCCAATGTCCATCAAATACCCCTCTGGTGTGGGGTGGGACACCAACATCACTCTTATGCCATTCTTAAGACGAATAATTCTAAAAAACACATGAGTAAGATCAAGTGATGAGAATACAAATTTATCAAATCATTACATAATATGCAATTTTGTATACTCAACTATACTTATACAGGTACTACGCATACATAGGCCTGAAGGTGGCAAGGTTGCTTATAGTGTCACAATTTCTGGAGCAGGGTCTCTTTGACTTTTAACCTTGTTCAGCCAGCATTACCAGATTCCCCATCATTACAATTCTTCATTTAACACATCCTCGATAATCTCCAAGGTATAGGTTAAGATCACTCTCCACTATACCCTGGATGCATCCACGGCTTGGTCCGATGATTATATTACCTCCCTTTGCTGGCGACCGCTATCTTTGTTGATACTGGCAAGCTCGGATGTAACGGCAGCTTAGCTGATTGGCTACTATGAGAATGTGGAGCCAGCAAAGGGAGGTAATATAATTATCGGGCCAAGCCGTGGATGCATCCAGGGGGCAAGGTATACCCTGGAGATTATCGAGGATGCATTTAACAGTGCCATACCATTCTCTTCCAACAGAGGTTATTTGTCATATCTTCTTACAAACCTCTGTTCTATTACGGCCATATTTCCCGGCTCTCGTAAAATTCCCAAGCATAAAAAAATCGCAACACGAATTATCTCCCTTCTTTCTGTCCAATCAGAGCATGTGTTACATCGACTTAGATCCAACTTGACTAATACAAGCAACTGTGGGGCCACAAATATCCCTCCTCTGCTGGGGACTTGTGCTGATGTGACACACAAGACATTAAATGGTTAGCTTGTCCATTGTCAACGAGGGCGATGGAGATGCGATTGATCCGCCACTACATGCCTAAGTTCTGTCTAGAAGAAACGTTTGCGCATCGCACAGGGGAAGAGGTTCTAGTTTTCCCGAGCATTAGGAAATTACCGAGGTCTTGCGACTGATCACTTTTGAAGCAACGTCACTGATTGCACAACTAAATCTGATTGCAACCAATCACGAATCCTGAACACTCGCACCATGAAAGGGACATATTAGAACAGATGTTCGCAGGAAGATATGACAAGTAACCTCTGTGGGAAGAGAATGGTGCCATACCTGTGTTTGTGGAAAACATCTAGGACTTACATGACTGTAGACTCTCTTCCCAAAACAAAGCTGACATGCTATGGTATAACTGGATACTGTTTAACACAGCAATAAAGCTAAATTATTCAACACTTGTCATGGCACGTCAACTTTGTGTTGAGGAAAGCGAAACCCAATAGATGTGATGCTGACTAAAAACCATGATACTTGTGAATCAGAGATTGAAACCCATGACAGCATGTTTCTAGTACATATAATAGACTCAACCATGAGCAGAGACTAGATAACAGGGCCACTTGCTATTGGGCCACCAGTTTGCCTTTGTACAACAGGAACCTGATATCAATTTACCATTGACGTAAATGCCAAATGTTGATTTGACCTAGTGTAAAGTACATCAGTCAAAAGGACCAACACTTCATTACCTGTAATTCTTCTTGTCATTTGCTGACTTGACAGGATCCACATCCAACACTTCCATGTTGCCAAGATCCTTCCAAAACTAACAGCTGCATCAATAAAGAATTAAAAATGCTACATATATGCCTCAAATCTTAGCTCAATAACATTGCATTAGTCAGTTTGAGTCAATTTTCATGTGACGAGAGCCTGTACACGTTATTTTAGAACTTGGCAACAACATTACATCAGAATTATGTTTACAAAGGCAAAATGCTTATCATGTGCCACACACAGATGACATGAGACCTCAAGATAAATAACATATTTATGTACAGGTTTCCTTTGGAAAATTGAGATGTAACATATTGTTATCAAAAACTTGTTGCACATTTATAAGAATTTGGGAACATATTATGATATATCACTAATAATTAAATGTTCAGATCTAGAACCATTAATATGACAACCTACCTCACAATTAGCTTGCTAACACCTCAAATAAATATTACTGTTTGGATCTGGAAAATATATACGGTGAGTTATCTCAAACACTGGCTCTAACTAACTTCCCTGTAGCCACAGCTGGAGACTCGGGTTAACAGGATGTTGCCCTGGGCAATCCACTCTATTGAAGTGTTGGAATATTGATTATGTATATCGTGCTGTGTGAATGGTTTGTCTTTTTATTATTGTCATTATGACTGAAACAGGAGAAATTGTGTGTTTATGGAAGTGCATGGTGTGAGGGGAGATATACTTCTGCTAAGTCAACTGACTGAGTAACAGGGCGACAGCTTCTCAAGTCATTATCAAAGCCCATGGTTTCATTTTCATTTTGATTATACGTACTTTTAAGCAACGTGTTTGACTCTAGTTCTGAGACAGTTACTGACTAAGGCTGTTGTGCATTATCGACATCAGCTCATAGTACACGTGTGTGATCTTTCAATCTTTGCGGAAATGAACTCTGTAAGGTCAACCGGATATTGCGTTTTGAGCAACGCTATCAGGATTTTCTCATTGATATTGTCCAAACTCTTCCAATATATCTATGTGAACACGGCAACACATCAATGACATATTAACCTGAACTCTAATCCCCAATATTGTATCACTGTAGTTTCAGCTTCGCAGCGTTCAGCATCAACTTGTGATTTTGTTTGTTATGTAACAGTGTAAGGAGCTTAAGGGAGGCACTATTAATATCTATTGTATGTTTAATGTTTCTGCGCTTAATTCAAAATAGAGCGTATCTTTAATTGCATAAAAATACTATACTATTATATTTATAATATGAAAAGCGGTTTCATGGAATATTAATTGATTTTAAAGAATATAATTTTTTAAACACTGTACACTTACAATAATTGGCCCCTAACATGGCCGACTTCCACATGTGATTGTGAAATACTGCTTGTAATTTTTGTCTGAGAGGTTGCAGTTGTGGTTTTTAAAGATGAGTGATACAATTATTGATTCAAAATCCGTTAAAGAAGTGGGATCAATCCTAGAAAACAGCGGAAAACCACTAAATGATAGATTTCGAGCACTTTTTACGTTGAGAAATCTGGGTGGGAAAGATGCGATTGACAGTATATCACGGTGTTTTACGGACCCATCAGCTTTACTGAAGCATGAGTTGGCGTATTGTCTAGGACAGATGCAGGACAAGTACGCAATACCAATTCTGACAACAGTCCTGGAAGATAAAAGTCAAGAACCAATGGTCAGACATGAAGCTGGTAAGTTGTGGCGATAATGCATTGATCAAAACGTTGCACCGTCACATGTTTCTAGCGTAAATGACACCAAATTAGCGGTATAACTATAGAATATCTAGAAGCATATTCTTTTGGGGCTCCAAATTAGCATTTAAAGTTCATATATATATATATATGTGTGTGTGTGTGTGTATATGTATGTAATGTATGTATGTAATAAGTAATAACCATGATAACATCTTGATATGTACTTCCTCACATGATTTTACTTCAAGGGATGATTAATTTAATCAACTCGCTCAGATATGTTGCTGTCTTTGTTAAATGAGTGATTCCAAAGCTTATTGTTTGTAATCAGGGAATGCAAAATACATAAAATAAGTATGTGCTGTTTTTTGCCATTTGGCTGGGTGACATTTGACATGGTGCTATTTACATAGATTAGTTGGGACCAGTTGAAAATCAAGTCCATTGAAAACTTTTGATGACAATGTCACAACATGCAGCTCGCCAGAGACTAATGACATTTTTCCCCATCAGGTGAAGCCCTTGGAGCTATTGGATGTGAGAGTGTCCTGCCTCTTCTGAAACAGTATGCTGAAGATCCTGTGATAGAGGTGTGTACAGTTTTATAAGGAAAGTAGGTGAAGTTGCCATTATATTTTATACTTCCAGTCTTACTCAAGACAATGTGATTAGTCTTTGTTTGTTTGTCTGTAATGTCATGAGTATTGTTTACAACTATTGATGACAACAAATTGTAAATAATCAAAGTCTGGACCAGACTATCTTGGGATCAATATCTGTAATTAGTTAGAGTCTATGTTAGCAGTACCCCTTAAGATCCGGGTTACAATTGGTCTTCAGTAACCCATGTTTATCATAAGGGGCGGCTAACAGATTGGGTCGCAAGGCTCACGGACTTGGTTGACACGTCATTGTATCCCAATTACGTAGATCAATGCTCATGCTTTTGATCACTGGTCCAAAGTCCATTTTTTTTTTTTTACCATGTTTACAGGCCATTGCCATGTAGCTAGAATATTGCTGAGTGCCATGTCAAACAACAAAAATACTGCCAACATTGTTTTGTTATTTATTGTAGCTTTATCAACATGATCAAAACTGCTTGCAAATGATCAAATCTGGGTCAGACAAACCAACTGATGCTTGCAGCAGCAGGAGCAAGCATAGAGTGTGACTAGAGTTAGGGTCTGATGACCTAAAGTTATTGCCACATGATCCTTATATAAGTACTTTCACATTATTACATTAAAGGCATTGCTAACTTTATACTTAAATGTTATTGGTATTAGGACCAGTAAAGAGACTTTACCGCTTACTTTCACATTCTTACATTAAAGATGGGGTTAAAATATCTCTGCATGAACAAAATAAGGATTGGAAACAAATCCTAGCTTTGAACAAAGTATCATTATGTTCCCATGTTACCATTCAAGAGCAGTTAGCTTTGAATCTTATATTTATGCATTATCATGAAATCCCCCAGGTTGCAGAAACATGTCAGCTGGCAGTTCAGAGAGTTGAGTGGCTACTCAGTTCCAAGGAGAGAAGCTCTCCAACAACCCCTATGCATCTGTCGACCCAGCACCTCCTAATGCTGATACTGATGTCCCCAGTCTACAGACAGTCTTACTGGATGAGACAAGGCCTCTGTTTGACAGATATCGAGCCATGTTCTCACTCCGTAATGATGGGAGTAATCAGTCTGTGCTGGCACTCGCTGAAGGTAGATACCTGTACTATTTGAGCAGGTCTTTAAATTTCGTTAAGCGATATGTCTCTGATTTAACTGCAACTGGATTCAAGTATTTCTGAAAGTTTATTCGGGAGAGAGTAAAGAAGCATCAAATCATTTTGTGGTTGACAGTATCATCACTTAATCATATTAATCTTTTAGGTTTTAGTTTGTTTATGGAAAAGATGAAAATTATTACATTTCCACTAATTTGTACACAAAGAAAATCATAAAAAATTGATTTTCAAGGTTTTCGTATTTTTAGTTTCGTGTATAATGGTACTTCTAATATGACAAAGAAAACCTCCTTTGTATATAATTTTGTATCATGTGTATTATTGCAGGTTTGAAATGCAAGAGTGCACTTTTTCTCCATGAAATTGCATATGTTCTGGGACAAATGCAGAATGCTGCATGTACACAACAACTGGTTGAGAACTTGAAGGACACTGAAGAGAACCCTATGGTGAGACATGAGTGTGCTGAGGCTTTGGGTGCCATAGCAACAGAGGAGTGCATGGACATCTTAAAGAAGTACCTTAAAGATAAAGAGCAGGTTGTGAAAGAGAGCTGTGTTGTTGCCCTCGATATGAGTGAGTATGAGAACAGTGACCAGTTTCAGTATGCTGATGGTCTGACCAAACTTCAACATGGGCAACATGGCTAATTCTGTGAAGAAATTAACTTTCTTTGATTTTAATGTATTAACTGTAAATAAAACGATGAATCTCTTTCGGTGTTACTGTTCAATTCACTTCTGCTAACAGGACTAAATGGTCTTGTATTTCAGACCACGTATTGGAGAACTGTTGACCTAGTAGTCACATCACATCCAGTTTTCATCCCACACTAAGCGGTCATACTGTGAAATAAGGGGCCATTCATAATTTATGGCTAGGACTCGTGTAGGAGGGGTGATGATGATTTTTATGGGGAAGCATGTACAAAGTAAGTGACCCCCATGCATGTCATGTACAAAATCATCAATGACACCCCCAAGTACAAAACTGATGAAACCCCCTACCACCACCATACGCGGATCCAGAAATTTTCAAAAGGGGGGGTTCGAACCCCCTGAACCCCACCATGGCTCTGCCATTTCAAAACACTAACTTCAATGTGGTCTTTAGTAACTTTCCTCTGGATCTGCCACTGACCACCACCTCACCAGAACAAAATGGGTGTTTCCCCCCCCCAAATCATCATCCACCCACACCCACCTCTAGCCATAAATTAGTTTGGTCTTATGAATATAAAAGAAACAGCTTGTAACCATGGTAACATAACAATTTATTGAACATATGAGAATTGATTTCAATATAAAGTTGAAAGTACAAGTGTGAACACAGTGTATAGTATATCAACAGTAACTTCCCATACTGCTTTATATCACAAGCCACAAAGTGGGACATGAGATATTTGAACAGTTGTCTGTCTGTCTTTCAATCCATCTGTTCTGTTCTTAATGGGGACAAATTTTCTCAAGATGAAGAATTGTAATTGTACACATTGGTAGAGTAAAATGAGTTAAAGAATTTATGTCTTACATAAATTCTTGTTTTAGAGAACAATCTTATTTTGTTTCTCAGCTGTTATCAACAAAATCTTGTTTTTAACTGAATACCATTAAACAATCTATTCATATTCACTATTAATATAACACTTTTGATGTTTGGGTATTTTCCACTAAACAAATCTATGCCATGCTCTTTAGCATGTTTAGTATGTAAATAATGAATGTTACATATTCATTAAGCATCACAAAGACATACACTACACGGATAATTAGTGTTCTGCTTTTATAATGAACAGTATTTCAAGAACAATGGTCGGCAGCTGACATAACTCCTTGATGAGTTTATGTAAACTAGTGAGTGGATATGGTTTTACACCGCTTTTAGCAATATTCCAGCAATATCACGGCGGGGGACACCAGAAATGGGCTTCACATATTGTACCCATGTGGGGAATCGAACCCAGATCTTCGGCATGACAAGTGGGTGCTTTAACCACAGGGCCACCCCACCGCCCCTTGTGTAAACTAATCATGACTGGATTTTACATGGTAACCAGTGAGATGCACAATGTTTATTGTGAAAAGTGCTGTTAACTATCTCCCAAGTAGGTGATGTGACAAAATTCTTCAGCATGTCCAGATAAAAACAACAGGTGCAAGAAGCATTCAGATTTTCGCATTAATTTCATTACATACTGAATATGTATTTATTTCAACATGGCGTAAACATATATCAACATGTACCAGTAATTAATATTTATTATCACAGTTCTCAGTTATAAATATATTCGGAATATACAGTTAAAAATGTACAATAAATATTTCCAGACTAAACCTATCCACTTAAAACATTTATATGTATTTGTGAATGTCCTTGATCCTATCACTTTGAACTTGATTCCAAAATTAAGTTGCCATGGACACAATCTCTCACTCACTCACTCCACTTGGGAGAGGAGTTTCTGTTAAGAGTGTTGCTCACACAGACCGGAGGTAAAGTGTGATGTTACTGTTCCCACAATTCTTGTTTTGCACAGGAAGCAGAAATTTGATTTGCAACCCCAACACTTAATGTGATTATTTCTCTGGTTTTTCAAATTCCTTTGACCACAAGTTGGACAAGCACAGACAAGTTTCCGGGCATCAGGATTTACTTGCAATGTTGCCTCTATCAGCAAGACAGCCTGGAAATATCAAAATACATTTAGCAAGGTCTTAAGGCTTTAACTCAGAATAAACATGTTACACAACTTTCAATGGGACTATCATGTCTATTATTCTTCATTCCATGATACATCAAACTTATTATTCATGTCATCTGTAACCATGGTAACGTACATATATGGTAAAGGGAAAATAGATCTTAGTATTCCTTTCAAAAATAGTGCCACAGCCTTGTAGCTGACCTTGAAACTGTTGAAAATGTCGATAAAGACAGACACATAATGAACGTTGCTGTTATATTCATGTATAAATACATCAAGTGTAAGTAAAGAGGACCTGCTGATAAAATATGAATGGAACAACATTTCAGTAGTGCCTCTTATATCTGCGCGAAAAAATACTTTTTGAAAATGACATCTAATGAAAATCATTTTGTTGAGTATCAGCAAATAAGTCTCTGAGAAGTTAGAATGGACGGGCTGCATTTGGAAGAGGTGTCTCCAGCTGCATATGCTATCAAAACTTCTACAATGTGCTTTGAAAAAGAGACAAACAAATTTGCATCAGTTTTTGGCCAAAATACTAACTGGGCTAAATTAGCGATGGCATCTATGTGAATACAATCTCTATCTGTTGATTGTTATAAAAGGTTGGAATAACACGCTAGAGTCATCAACATTTTAGGCTGAAAAGTATGAGAATCCATGCCCTGTCTTATTGTTTTGTTGTTGTTTAACACCTCGATCAGCAATATACCAGCTGCATGACAGCAGTCTATAAATACTAAAGTCTGGACTAGACAATGCAGTGACTGACATATTCAGCATTGTTCTACACAATTTAGACATGCATCATTCAAAGCAGCGAGCCTGACCAAACCAACCCAATTATTCACTAATTACTGAAAGTATGGGCTGCTGAAAAGCAATTCTAACCTGGATGTTCACAAGCATTAATAAACTAAACTGTTCTACCACAGATAAGCTTGGTTTTGCAAATTTGCTCTGAGAAGGCAGGAGCAGAGACCTGATTAGTTCAGTGGGCAACATCCATATGATAGGGTACGATCAACATGGCACTGAGGATTGGGTAGGGTCAACCAGACAACCAAGAAGCTAGTCTGTCTCTCATTCCCTGAACCACATTATTTTCCCTGCTGCCAAGCCATCCCTGCAATGCTAAAGCCCTAAATGAAGCTAGGGCTCCTTTTCAATTAATATGGGTTTAGCATTAGTCTACCAAGACTGACAGACTGAGTTTTGGTTTTACGCCGCTTTTAGCAATATTCCAGCAACATCACGGCGGGGGACACCAGAAATGGGCTTCACACATTGTACCCATGTGGGGATTCGAACCCGGGTCTTCGGCGTGACAAGCCAACGCTTTAACAACTAGGCTACCCCACCGCCCCAGTCTACCAAGAAGCCAAAACTTGTATGTTTGTGGAACTTACGTCTGGTAATTGCTTTACTGGTGTTACGACTCTCATCTGTGTGTCAGACAGTCCACATGAGCCACTGTAGAAGTGGTCGTATCCTGATATCAATTTCCCACACAGCCAGCAGAAGGACTTCCCACAGCGGCATGTCATCTTGTTACACCTTCAATAGGGAAACTTGCATCAGTGAAGGAAACAACTCAAATAACCAAGCATTTAGACATACAGGAGAGTTTGTATGGCTGCTTGTAGTTTTCAGGACTTTCTTGCAGCGCTAGCTCTAGAATTTAACTTAATATAACACAGACACAGTATTCACACTCCTTTCCAACCGACCGCCTCCGTGGTGTAGTGGTTAGAGCGTCCGCCCGGAGAGCGGAAGGTCGCGGGTTCGATCCCCGACCGCGTCATACCAAAAGACGTTAAAATATGGTACTTGTTGGTTCCTGCCTGGCGCTCGGCATTAATGGGTACAACAAAGACTTGTCGGCTCGGGAGTCAGTATAATGTGTCTGAGTGGGGTATTCATGCTTCACTGTGGCATGGTATCTCAGTGGGCTAGCACTATAGAACCAGCTTAAGTCTGGGCTAGTACAAGCAGCCGCACATACACATACACACACATGCACGTCGTCATATGAGCGAAATATTCTCAAGCACGACGTTAAACCAAATTTCACCTCACCTCACCTGACCTCTCCAACCATTGCTATAATTATCTGATCACAAGGCAAGGCAAAAGTACTATTTTGAATATCTTTTGGTATGACAAGGCCATTGACCAAAGCACTGATGCCCTGCTCCCCAGTCAGTCGCTCCATTCAACAGATCAATGGTGGAGGTCACAAAGATCTTTATCCTAGACTTGATATATCTATGCAGCATAATTCAGCTCCTGTATGGAACCCGACGATGTAAAACCTACATGCAAGATGAGATCATGTAAGACCTGACCACTCTTCAAAATGATTACTTTTGTCTGAACCATCTACCAGTAATTCAAAGGACATAACTTTATACCCATGATGCACTAATACAGGAAGTCAGACTCTTTTAGGGTTAACATTGTTTGTAGGTCAGTATGAATTTGGATTAACAATTTATATTCTTACCCGGCAATCTTTTCAATGGGTACTTTGCAAGATGGACATTGTCTTGATTTTTTTACCATCTCTAATTTCGTTTTCAGCTCTTCCGCCAGTTTCTTTTTGATTGCCTCCAGTCTCTGACGATCAGCTTCATTAGCACTGGGGCCCTTTCTTTCAACTGCATTTAGCTTGTCTTCTGCACTTTGACATGGTTCTCCCTAAAATAATCGTGACAATGGATTATGATTTGAAATGCTTTTTATAGGCAATAGCTTTGTTGTTCACCAATTGACATTCATTACCTACAGTGCTCGCAGCACCCACTCACCTAATGCCACACCCACACATGTCTACACAGCCACACACACTCACCTCATGCCACACCCACTCACCTAATGCCACACCCACACATGTCTACACAGCCACACACACTCACCTCATGTTTCACCCACTCACCTCATGCCACACCCACACATGCCTACACAGCCACCCACACTCACCTCATGTTTCACCCACTCACCTAATGTCACACCCACACATGTCTACACAGCCACACCCACTCACCTCATGTTTCACCCACTCACCTGATGCCTCACCCACATATGCCTACAGTCACACCCACTCCCCTGATGCCACACCCACACCCACACATGTCTACACAGCCACACACACTCACCTGATGCCACACCAACTCACCTCACGACACACCCACACATACACAGCCACACCCACTAACCTGATGCCTCACTGCACTCACCTGCTGCCCTCACCCACACATACACAGCCATGATGCCACACACTCACATGCCTACAAGCCCACTCATCTGATGCCTCACCCACTCACTTGATGCCTCATCCACACATACACAGCCATACCCAATCACCTGATGCCACACCCACACCCACACATGTCTACATAGCCACACACACTCACCTGATGCCACACCAACTCACCTCACGCCACACCCACACATGCCTACAGTCACACCCACTAACCTGATGCCTCACCCACACATACACAGCCATACCCACTCACCTGATGCCTCACCCACACATACATAGCCATACCCACTCACCTGATGCCTCACCCACATATGCCTACAGTCACACCCACTCACCCGATCCCACAAACACACACATTTACAAAACCTCACTCACCTGATGCCACACCCACACCCGTCTACACAGCGACACACACTCACCTAATACCTCCACGCACACACCCACAGCCACACCCACCTCACCCACTCACCTGATGCCACACCCACATATGCCTACAGTCACACCCACTCACCTGATGCCACAAACACACACACCTACAAAGCCTCACCCACTCACCCGATGCCACACCCACACATGTCTACACAGCCACACACTCACCTGATGCCACACTTACAAACACCTACAAAGCCACACCCACTCACCTAATGCCACACCCACACATGCCTACAAAGCCACACACACTTGCCTGATGCCACACCCACACATGCCTACACAACCACACCCACTCACCTAATGCCACACCCACACATGCCTACAAAGCCACACCCACTTGCCCGATGCCACACACTAGCTCACAAAGACACACTAGCTCACCTGATGCCACACCCACTCAAGCCTACAAAGCCACACCCACTTGCCTGATGCCACACACTAGCTCACAAAGACACACTAGCTCACCTGATGCCACACCCACACATGCCTACAAAGCCACACCCACTTGCCTGATGCTACACACTAGCTCACAAAGACACACTAGCTCACCTGATGCAACACCCACACATGCCTACAAAGCCACATCCAATCTCCTCATGTCACACCCACACGCCTACAAAGCCACACCCACTCACCTGATGCCACACCCACTCACCTGATGGCACACCCACATATCCACTCACATGATGCCACACCATCTCACCCGATGCCACACCCACACACATTTACAAAGACACACTCGCTCACCTGGTGCTACACCCACACAAACCTACAAAGCCACACCTAATTTCCTAATGCCATACCCACACGCCTACAAAGCCACACCCACTCACCTGATGCCACAGCCATATACTCTTTCACCTGACGCCACACCCACACCCACTCACCCGATGCCACACACACACACCTGATGCCACACCCACATCCACTCACCTGATGAAACATCCACACACTCACTCAACCGATGCCACACCCACACACCTGATGCCACACCCACACACTCACTCACCTGATGAAACACCCACACATATCTACACAGCCACACACACTCACCTGATGCCACACTTACAAACACCTACAAAGCCACACACACTCACCTAATGCCACACACATGCCTACAAAGCCACACACACTTGCCTGATGCCACACCCACTCACCTAATGCCACATCCACACATGCCTACAAAGCCACACCCACTTGCCTGATGCCACACACTAGCTCACAAAGACACACTAGCTCACCTGATGCCACACCCACACATGCCTACAAAGCCACACCCACTTGCCTGATGCCACACACACACCTACAAAGCCACACCCACTTGCCTTATGCCACACCCACTCACCTGATGCCACACCTACACATGCCTACAAAGCCACACCCACTTGCCTGATGCCACACCCACTGACCTAATGCCACACCCACATATGCCTACAAAGCCACACCCACTTGCCTGATGCCACACACCTACAAAGCGAAAACCCACTTGCCTTATGCCACACAAACCTACACAACCACACCCACTCACCTAATGCCACACCCACACATGCCTACAAGGCCACACCCACTTGCCTGATGCCACACACTAGCTCACAAAGACACACTAGCTCACCTGATGCCACACCCACACATGCCTACAAAGCCACACCCACTTGCCCGATGCCACACACTAGCTCACAAAGACACACTAGCTCACCTGATGCCACACCCACACAAGCCTACAAAGCCACACCCACTTGCCCGATGCCACACACTAGCTCACAAAGACACACTAGCTCACCTGATGCCACACCCACACATGCCTACAAAGCCACACACACTTGCCTGATGCCACACACTAGCTCACAAAGACACACTAGCTCACCTGATGCAACACCCACACAAGCCTACAAAGCCACACCCACTCTCGCCTGATGCCACACACACTAGCTCACAAAGACACACTAGCTCACCTGATGCAACACCCACACAAGCCTACAAAGCCACACCCACTTGCCTGATGCCACACACTAGCTCACAAAGACACACTAGCTCACCTGATGCCACACCCACACATGCCTACAAAGCCACACCCACTTGCCTGATGCCACACACTAGCTCACAAAGACACACTAGCTCAGCTGATGCAACACCCACACAAGCCTGCAAAGCCACATCCAATCTCCTCATGTCACACCCACACCCCTACAAAGCCACACCCACTCACCTGATGCCACAGCCATATACTCTTTCACCTGACGCCACACCCACTCACCCGATGCCACACCCACACACCTGATGCCACACCCACATCCACTCACCTGATGTCACACCCACACCCACACACCTGATGCCACACCCACACACTCACTCAACCGATGCCACACCCACACACCTGATGCCACACCCACACACTCACTCAGCTGATGAAACACCCACACACCCACTCACCTGATGCCACACCCACTCACCTGATGCCAGGGGTCCCTGCACAGAGTACAGAAGGAAAAGAAACAGGTCGTGCAGTGACCCAGATTCAAATGGTCCTCCTCTTCCCGAATCACAGGGTTGTTGCATCTGGGGCACCACTCCACATCACTCATCCTCTCCAAAGTTTTCTGAAAATAACACATTCAGAATCAACTCCTGCTTTGGTCAAATAAAGACCATGATCTGTGGGCAATACACTCCTCCATTTTAGTGAGGTATGTTTCTATTTCATGGGGCGGTGGGTAGCCTAGTGTTAAAGCGTCCGCTCATCATGCCGAAGACAATGGTTCGATTCCCCACATGGCCACAATATGTGAAGCCAATTTCTGCTGTCCCCCGCAGTCATATTGCTGGAATATTGCTAAAAGCGGCATAGAACCATACTTACTCACACACTCACTCTATTTCACAAGTAAATGGCTTCCAAAGTAAGAGATTCAAAGTTATTCAGATGCAGAGAATTATTCATTATTTAGTTAGTGACTTGGGTTTAACACCAATATGAACAGTATTCCAGCTACATCATGGCATGTCAATATAACACCATTCATATTCATTTTAGAAATTTGGGATAGATACGACAGAAAAGTAAAAAGACATTTAATACCCAGAAAGCTTAAGATATTAAGAAAAAAGAGCTGAAATTTGTTCATATGATTGCAGATGAGAACCTGGGTCAGGATGTGATTGGACCAGGTGATTCATATTTTATCTTAGGAATGATACGGATAATATTTTCCCATGCACAAGCATGAAACAATTAAAGCAAGGCTAGGTACTTTTTATCAGTTGCTCTGATAGATGAAAATGTACCTGCATACCATGATGAGAATATTGATAAGCATGGGTATAGCTTGTAAAAGACATACCTGTAGAAGCAGTCTCTCCCATCTATCAAACTCTTCAACAGGTAGGACACTCTGTATGATGTGGGGAGGAACAAAAGAATCACAGTCTGTGTCAGGACACCTGGAAATAGAGCATTGTGTGGAAGTTGAGATCGTTTGTCACTTACATTTGTCACTCAATTGGCAGCAATTATCTGAAACAGTTTAAAATATTGAGCTGAAGTATGACCAAGTTTAGGTGGCAGCAATAGCAGCTCATAAATTAGATTTACTGTCCTGGTTTTAGCATATAAACAGGATAGATTTCAGGATGGGATAATTTCTATAAGACTTGCTGTACCTATATCCGTATATGACAGCAAGTTATCACCCAGGACAATACAGCCACCCATTGCCATTGCGACCATCTCGGGTGACATGGAATCTATCCTAATTCTAGAAATAATGGGCAAGTGAGTATGGTTTGTGCAGCTTTGAGCAATATCGCGGCGGGGGACACCAGTAATGGGCTTCACATTCTGTACCCATGTGGAATCAAACTTGGGTTTTCAGCGTGATAAGCAAACACTCTAATCACTTGGTTACCATGTATGGTCTGACCTGAGATTTTCTACAGTTCCCAAGGTGACGTGATGTTCACAGTAAGCTGTCATGCAGTCACGGCAGTAGTGATGCTCACAGTCCTTCATTCGGTAAAACTGATTCCTGGTAGTTCTTCATAACAAACATGGCACTCATGGTTGGAACGGTAAAATTCTATGTCTGTCTGAACTTGATTGAATCTGAAAATATACAATATACTTTTTATATTTTTAAACAAGATACCTATATTACTGAAACTAAATGTCAGACTCATAGTGCATAGAAAATAAGAATCAGTTCATACCTGCACAAATCACTCCATAGGTAAATGTTGAGCCAGATCATAAGTCTTCCCATAGATTGTCATTCAGGTATATTCATAATCTACAACCATGATGTTGTATTACTCACTGTAACAATTCAGACACTGTATGCTATACACATGATAACAATGTCAACACTGCCTGCCCAAGGTCTGTACAATCAGACAGTGCTCTGTTATACTCACTATAACAATGTGGACCCTGTATTTTATACACCCAGTAACAATGTGGACACTGCCTGTACCAGGGTCTGTACAATCAGACAGTGCTCTTTTATACTCACTGTAATAATTTGGACACTGTATGTTATACTCACTGTAACAATGTGGACACTGTATGTAATACTCACTGTAACAATTCAGACACTGTATGCTATACACATGATAACAATGTCAACACTGCCTGCCCAAGGTCTGTACAATCAGACAGTGCTCTGTTATACTCACTATAACAATGTGGACCCTGTATTTTATACACCCAGTAACAATGTGGACACTGCCTGTACCAGGGTCTGTACAATCAGACAGTGCTCTTTTATACTCACTGTAATAATTTGGACACTGTATGTTATACTCACTGTAACAATGTGGACACTGTATGTTATACTCATTATAACAATGTGGACACTGTATATTATACTCAATGTAACAATGTGGACACTGCCTGTCCATGGTCTGTACAATCAAGCAGCGCTCTGTTATACTCACTGTAACAATGTGGACACTGTATGTTGTACTCACTGTAACAATGTGGACACTGTATGTTGTACTCACTGTAACAATGTGGACACTGTATGTTGTACTCACTGTAATAATTTGGACACTGTATGTTATACTCACTGTAACAATGTGGACACTGTATGTTGTACTCACTGTAACAATGTGGACACTGTATGTTGTACTCACTATAACATGTGGACACTGTATGTTATACCCATTGTAACAATGTGGACACTATGTTACACTCACTGTAACAATGTGGACACTGTATGTTGTACTCACTGTAATAATGTGGAGGTTGTATGTTATACTCACTATAACAATGTGAACATTGTATGTTATACTCACTATAACAATGTGGACACTGTATGTTATACTCACTATAAGAATGTGAACACTGTATGTTATAAACACTGCAACATTGTAGACACTGTATGTTATACTCACTGTAACATTGTAGACACTGTATGTTATACTCACTGTAACATTGTAGACACTGCCTGTCCAAGGTCTGTACAATATCAGGAAGAGCTCTTTTATACTCACTATAACCATATGAACACTGTATGTTATATACACTGTAACATTGTAGACAATGTACATTATACTCACTGTAACATTGTGGACACTGCCTGGCCCAGGTCTGTACAATCAGGCAGTGCTCTGTGGTCTGTTGGTCCTCCTTCTCCCTACTGGCATCAGCAGCACAGTGTCATGGATACCAAGATGGCTGTAATTGGTAATTACCAATTACTTAAGTTCCATCAATACAACAATATATGATAGCAATTCCTTCATTTATAAGTGTTTTACAATATGTCAGTTTTAATAGGATAGAGGCATTTATGGTAGCTTACAACATTCAAGCTATATGTTCATGACTTACAATGATTCAGTCAGGAACAGATGAACCAGTGAGCATCTCTAAGACATGGCAGATAAGTGTTTACTATCAGTCACTCGCCAGATCAATTGTTAGAAATAACACCCAGAGAAAGGTTATGAATCTAAAGCTGTCATTAATTCATTCTTTGCAAATAATTGTGGAGTTGGCAAATAATTGAGTCTGTTTAAAAAATAATGGCCTTTGCAAATCTGCTGTTCAAAGTAATCCATGATATCAGGTTATGGCAACACACTATATCAACCAGGTCACATATTGCAACCAGGCACTCATCATTAGTGCAACAAAATCCCATATGGAGATAAAATAGTACCTGAAGATGTTATTTTCCAGCCAGTCAACCCAGGTGAAGATGACAGGGAGGTTCTCAGACTCCTGCCACAACACATCCAGCTGAACACACAGAGCTGCAAGCTGATTGTCTGTCAACCACACGCATGACAGAGTGAACAGTGGGGAACTCTGGGAAGGGTAAGAAGCAGGAAGTACCACTTGCAGAGTAAGGGGGGATAGGTACTTCACATTGAAAGATCCAGCCCATCTTTGACCTGCAGTCAGAATGATTTCATCAAAACGAATTATCAAATAACATCATCTTATCATTCAATACCTCTTCTCAAGCTTCTGGACACCTAGCATTCATCAGGTGCATTCCATTGGTTTAGCACTGCATCATTCAAGAGACTTGCTCCATTTTTCACTGTGATGAAAATGTGCTATGTTTAATCTGTTTCTTGAAAGACTGTTTCACACAGCACAGCTTCTACAATTTCATACACAACATACCCATCATTAGTCACTGATTCTACTCAAGTCAACAATTAAAATGTCAGATAAATGATTCAATATATCCAGTGAAATAGAGCAATATTGTCTTGTATGGTCAGATTCTTTCTATGGATCGATCTTAATCTATACCTTAGCCAGGAAGCCAAGGACAGTGCTAGGTCATCAATATTCTTCTAGCATGAATGATATATCCCATTGCAAATATAACTCAGATAAAACTATTTTTTTTTTTTTAATGTAATTTTTTTTCACCAATAGCTTGAAGATTGATTAATTTGTTTACCAGAATCTGGCGCATTAAGTTAACACATTTGCCCACTTCAGGAGGGAAGCTTGTCCTGCACTGGCTGTTTCCTTGAGCATGACAGGCATAAGAATGTCTACTTTGATGTTCTGTCCATCTGTAGTGATGGGAATTGAAACCTGAATCGTAGATAAAACAAAAATGCTGACTCCCACATGATTAAAGTAAGTATCGTTTCCTCACCATGTAGAGTCGTAGTGGATTGTAAATTTGGGGCACCTACTATGTAATATAAAAACAAAACAAAACAAAGAGAGAAAAATGCTGACTCAGATGTTATATGATTTGACATTTCTGTGAACTGAACTGAAACACAAAGTATTTCATACAATCCTCATGAATGAGTATATATCCCATTATAAACAAAATTATGTAATATACCAGTATGTGTAAAAAGACATTTTTCATGCTCAGTATATGGATATTCCTTACATGTAGGGTATAGAGACCTTCACTTTCTTCAGATGGTGAACTTAAAACTTTAAGTCTTTCAAACTCCCCGCCTTCATAGATAGCCTGGAGAGCAAGCACCTGTGTATGTACAAAACAAAGTAAGCATTATTCATCATGTGCAAGCATGTCCTTTACTGTTGTTCTGTCAGGAACGAGGGACAATTAGATTCAAGATAAAAGGACCTGGTGGTTTAATTATGTGACTTCTTGTGTGTGTGTGTGTGTGCGTACGTGCGTGTGCGTGCATGCGCCTGCATGTTGGTGTGTGTCTGCATGCACTAAGCAGTTATACTAGCCCACTGAGATACCATGCTGCAGTCAAACATGAAAACCCCACTTAGACACTCTTCTTGTGTATATTCATAAAAGTTTTGTTGACAGAAAATAGCAGCACAAAAGGGGTACTGGTATATTATTGCCCAGTAACTCGATAAATTTTAGTATTATGGGCAGTCAATTTTTAACTTAATATCCGCTTATACTCGATTTCTGAAACTGAATAGAAGCTTGTGTTCATCATGTTTCAATAGTCAAGGCATGAGTACATAGACATAGGCGCCCAACTCTGATATATCTCATCTTATATATAGGTCATACTTATAAATATATCAGAGTCGTACATAGATCAACACTTGCATCCCTCAAGATCTCCAAGGACTGAGACATAACCATGAAAAGTTTATGTACTCACAGAGACTTAAAGAAATGGCTGCACAAGTGGACTAACATTAGTAAGAAAATGTATTTTATTCAAAATCGTATTTACATAACATAATTATCAAATAAGACAGCAAATCTCTGAGTTCCAACACGCACACTCACTTCAGACAAAGCAGTCCGAGTACAATGTCGGTGTTGTTTCATATAAAAGTCATTATTCAATTTGTGTGCAAAGTGCACGGGTTGACAAAACGTCCATGAGTTACCTCCCTTTATCAGTTGTTTACAAATGCATTGCATCATTGCCATTTGTAGTTTAATTCCGTTCTCACATTTGACAGATCACATCAAATCCGGGTATAGACAAACCTCATCATTCTGCTCCTCCAAGTTGCTGCTAAAGCACTCGTCTTTAAACGTGGGCGAGGCGCCACCCTCCGCCATCGCCTTCAACACAGAAACAACTGGTCGCTTCGTGGATCAGGGTTACGGCAGTTTCGTAAACAATGTATCAAAGATGGATTTTCTGTTGTCCAAGTGGATGTTTAGTTGTAATAATCACCTGACAGTTGAAGACAATCTTGATATTTCAGCAACGCCCACTTAATGGATGAATTTGTAAACACATGAACTATGTCTTGCACAACGATTGGCAAGCTGCCTTCGCGATTGAGAGGAAGGTTGTCCTGGCATTCTTGAAAGTGTGTTGTGGCGGGTATATATAAAAGTGTACCCGTGTATATTTACAATCGCGCGCAAACGAAAATGTACCTAAACAAATCATGTAGTAATGAACTCTTCCAATAAGTACAATGGGAACAGGCGGAATATACAATAGCGGGACTGTGTGATATAATTATTGACTTTCTATTAATAGATATAGAAATTATCAACAGCCTTTTGATGTCCACGAGACACGAGGGCTAGATTATCTCTGTGTGTATATGAACATAGCGCAAAAATTGAAAAACACTGTTTTGAGTGTAAACAGTACTGATAACAAGCTTCAGTAGCAGAGAAATCAGTGATGTCATTTCATTGTGACGCCATGGTAACTGATGACGTCAAAATGATCTGAGCAGCATTGTGATTCATTTTCATTGTAGCGATATCTCTAACACTTTTGTTATTATTTCCCGAAAAAGCTTGGCTAAGATGCTTCGCTAAAAGATCAAAGGCACCGACAGTACTTTACCGCCATTTTTTGCATTACGTCATGCTGTATGAGAGAGAGAGAGAGAGAGAGAGAGAGAGAGAGAGAGAGAGAGAGAGAGAGAGAGAGAGAGAGAGAGAGAGAGAGAGAGAGAGAGAGAGAGAGAGAGAGAGAGAGAGAGTTTATTCACGTGTCTAGCGGTGTATACATAAAAATTACATAAAGAACATCACGGTATTAAAATTATACATCGCCCGGCCAACATGGGCCAACTAGACACAAGAGTACTAAAAGCACTGTAAGTGCTAAGATGGTGCAAATACACAGCGGCATTTAATAATGGTGTTTAGTACATAATATACATGATAAAAGCAAAATAAAATACTAGATAGTATGCATGTCATGTGTGATACCTTCCATTTTGTACTTCTTAAGATAACGAGGGATGTTTATGAGACATTGTGATATCTACTACTCACACTTTGCTAAGGACCACAAAAATTCACAACTTTACTTAAATGTAGATTCATAATTTGAAATTGTATCCATTTAAAACTGGATAAATAATAATATGGTAATCCCTCTTTAGGCAAACAGTCACTTTAACCTTATGCACTTGATACGTGAGTAACCATCAAAATACAATATCACTTACAATTAGCTTAGATATTTAAACCAAATTTGACCCCACATCATAGTTTTCTGATGAATCCATGATTTGATCCTTAGTAAAGTGTGAATAGTAGAACGTACTCCTATACAAGGATTTAATTAGTGCAGCGTCGGGTTTGGATAAGAGGTCGCACTGCATAAGAAATATGGCTTGATCTACGGGGGTCAATGGCAAAAAATTTGGATTAATAGACGAGGCACGGTCCCAAACACAGTATCTTAAGTCTGCATAGAGGTTACAAGTTGTAAGAAAGTGAACCTCGTCTTCGATGCTATTTGCATTACAATGTTTACAAATACGACTGATTAATGGGATTTTTGGCCTTTGTTTGTTTTTGTTTTTGTTTTTTGTTGTTGTTGTTTTGTTTTATTGTTCTCTACTGGTTAAATTTCTAAGAGACGTTTTAAACTCTCGATAGGTTCTCAGTTTATAACCATTATTAATTAATCCTCTCTCATCCCACATTTGTTTCAATCATAATTCCTTCTCACTAGGTATATGAGGTATATCATTAGGTATACAATAGTATTAGGTTAGCAACACCGTTGACTTCCTGGTTGTTTTCTGCCTAGATCAATTCCAGTGTACTAAATGTGGCATCTTTGAAAAGAAATACAGTTCACTCTACCTCCACGTATAGTGTAATAAAGTATGCTGTTTGCCCTGAACTATTATAACTTTAACGTACCGGACACAAGCGTCCTCGTACTTTAACTATAAGAGCGAACTGCATTTCTTGAAATACGGATATAATACGATCATATGTGTCCCTGTGATTTTACGAAACGACTTTCAAAATTCTGATATTTCACAAGCGAGAGCCATAATGAGATTTCAGTACAGATGTACATGAAGTTCTCAAATTATACATGTATGAGTTAGTTCAGTGTGTGCATTGTTGCGTCTTTTAGTAAACTGTTTTTGTGTCTTTTTTCTGAATAAACATAGATGGAACGAATGAAAAGTCCTTAACTAATCTCTCTCAGCCACTGAACCTGGTTAGCACCGCTGCTACACTTTTAACACTGGCTAATGCATTGGTTTTGATACCAAATATAAATCATACAATTTCGTGGAAGGTTCAAATTTTTATCGAACTCGTATTGATATATTTCATGTCAAAATACGCTCGAGATTGTTGAATAAAACTTTACAAAATATTAACAATATGCTCTGCTTCATTTTAGATAATAGTCCAAGGGTTGTGTTAACGACGTGTAGACTTTCCCATGACCCTAAGAGAAGGATTAGTCTACTCTTCGTCCTTGTGAGGAGCGTTACTGCAAAACATTATATTCATCGAAGCAGTTTATATATACTGAGGACTGTGTTATTTAGCACAATTATATCAGATATTATCACAAGTTTTATCAATGGTAGGTTTTGTTTTTATATCCTTAGGAAGATCACATATCATTACATAATGCGATTGTTTGATGAAATATTGCTAGATCCTTTACAGTAACCTGTGCTACATGTAGTCGTCATGAGTCGTGATAAACGTCACTGGATTGTCTGGTCTAGTTATGAACATTCGTGTACGTGTATATATGGATGAATGAATGAGTGAATGAATGTCTATATTTTCTCCAGATAGGTCCGAAGATCCTCTAAACATCATGGTTATATAATTATATAATTAACAGAATACACACATACATACATGTACATACATAGAATATGGGAACATTTCCCAAAATATATACAGGTTATTTACAGTCAGGTATTGGCTAGATTATTACCACAGGTAATTGAGGATATCTTTTAGTTTACAAATATATACAGGTTCTCTTTGCAGATGATATTGTTACGTTTTCATTCATGGTAAGCGGATTTAGTTGTCTTTAGAAATACAAAATGTCAGGTATTGGCTAGATTATTACCACAGGTCAGCTTGCTTATTGAGGATATCTTTTAGTTTATACAAATGCTTTGAGAATTCTAAAATAGTAACATGCCTTGTTATTTCATCAATATCATTGTTATTGGCACCAAGAAAGAATGCCAGCATGTCATGCTCTTCCATCATCTCTATTTTGATATACATGTCAATATCAAGATTATCTATTAGAGTTGAGAAAAATACATCTCTCTCTGAAAGTAGATATCCACAGGTTAGGATACCATGGTGATAGTAATCATTAGCGAAGGTATTACATTTTTTACATTCTTTTGATAGTTTGCTTCCGCATCCAATCCTTATTACATATTGCAATTCTTCTCTCAGTACTGGATATAACAATGCCATGCTGTATAACACATGAGGTGAAAGTGCTGTATTGATTTTGGAATATCGAGACAAGTCAGCTCTGCATGATAGTTTATATTTCCATACTTCTTCCTCGTGGTTACTTACGTATTTCATTTACTACAATCTTTCTCCACTTATGTTTCGCCGGGAATTCTCCTGTGCAGATGTAGTCAAATACATAATGAAGTAAGTTATATTTCTTAGCTGTTGAAAGCAGTACTCTACATAAACTGTCTAAGTTCTTGGTATGAGAATAATAGAGAGAGGTAGATGCACAAAAGATTGTTTTACACATTTGGACACATGATAAGTTACATAGACGCCCAAGCAGCTGTAGTCTGCATTTATCTATATAGCCAACCATGCTCCAGAATCCTAGATCAGCTATGGTGGCATCAGTAAGAGAGCGTTTATCAAAACCTTGTACAATCCTGGCAAAGTAGCGCTGAGTGCTTTCAGTTAGTTCAAGGTCTTTACCATGGAGAGTGGATAGTAATTCACAGCCATAAAAACTCTTGTTAATATCATTCTTTTCCATATCTTAATACTTTGAATACTGATGTAAGTCCCTACTGTTTAGACCAACAGAGAGGAGGGAATTAACAGCGCGCCTTGCTTTAGTACAGCTCTCCTCAATATATAGTTTAAAAGAAAGATTACTTTGGAGAAGTATGTATATGTGTATGCGCGCGTGTGTGTATGTGTGTTTGTAAGTGTTTGTGTTGTTTGTATGGGTCTGTAATCATGTATTTATGCACCAATATATACTAAAATATATATCATCCCTAATGCTCTACATATTTTAGGATGTCTCTCCGATTGTCCCAATAAAGTTACCTAATGACAAGCTGAAAAGCAAAAACGGATAAAGCAATTTCTATGTCAAATGACCATTGTACCACACAAACGCACGCGCGCTCATACACACACGCACACACACGTAATTCCCCAAGCAATTCGTCTACAGCTTTAGTCACACGTTGTGTTGTCGATCAAAGTGACTTCTGTCTCAGATACATTTCTGGTTTGAGAGACAGTGACAAGCTTTTTACCATTAATCACCAATGCCTCTTCTTCCCTAATTTCCCCAGAAGAGCTTCGCGTTGGTCATTTTCGTAATTTCCAGGAATTGGGAAGCAATTCCGATGTTATGCTAGACCTAAGTACTCTCCCTATATGCAGTGAGATACGCGTTCGCCGGAACTACTTAAGTACTGACGTATACGTTCACGTGTCAAGTTTTATTTATCTAGTTAGCAATGCAACCGCTATCTAAATAAATACTATGTAAAACTAAAACTAATAATTTCATTCCTATAATAAGAATTGGCGTTGAGCACCTATGCTTGTCGCAAGACAGGACTGGGTAGCCATGCATGATCTCTGATTTGTCTGATCATCGGATATTCAATCCCGCACAACGATTCTCATAATGCCAACTTGAGTGTCTGGGCCAGATGCCACCATTTACAGACCCGCGTCAGCTGAAACATTGCGACGTTAGAGAAACAAACACACAAACCTATATCGTGAGACAGAAACAAACACACAAACCTATATCGTGGGACAGGTTTGTGTCTCATCAGTATTTGACACTGTACAAAGTCGTCAGAAAAGACACAGGTAAACAAATTTTTTTTATTTCATTCTGCCCCGTGAAGATCCGGGTTAGAATTGGTCTCCAGCAACACATGCTTGTCGGAAGAGGCGATTAACGGGATGGGGTGGTCAGGCCCGCTGGCTTGGTTGACACGTCATCGTATCCCAGTTGCGTAGATCGATGCTCATGCTGTTGATCACTGGATTGTCTGGTCCAGACTCGATCATTTACAGACCGCCGCTGTATAGTTTGAATACTGTTGAGCGCGGCGTTAAACAACAAACCAACCCTTTCATTCTGTTTCTTGCAGCGCTCTCATCGACTTGGTCGTCTTCGTAAGAGTTCTGGGGGCGGTGAGGTAGTCTAGTGGTTAAAGCGTTGGCTCGTCACGCTAAAGACCCGGGTTCGATTCCCCACATGGGTACAATATGTGAAACCCATTTCTGGTGTCCCCCGCCGTGATATTGCTGGAATATTGCTAAAAGCGGCGTAAAACCATACTCACTCACTCACTCGTAAGAGTTCTGCGACCTAGACATAATTATCCAAAGGCTGTGATTTAGCTGGAATATTGTTGACTGTGAGTTTGGAAAACAAACAAAAATATAATGTAGCATCAAATGCCTCTTCGTTCAGGTGTTGTTCCTAATTATTAACATGACTATATAAAAATGGAGAAACTATGAAGGGCTTCAATAATACAAGGCTTGTTCATAATCAAAATCTTTATTGTCTCATATGTTGATTTTTTAATTGAGCTGTGCGTCATAGTGTCCCCTGACACGCCGTAACGTTGTAACTGAACAAACAGTCGTTATACCCAAATCACTCACTCACTCAGCTAGGAGTGTTGGGGGCAGCTGGCTTTAGAGAAATGGGCAGTAACGACCCCCGTAATCCTCATTCCGCACACATAACAGAAGTTTGTGCTGCAACAACGACATCGTATGTGGTTGTTGCGATCAACTTTGACGTTCTTGTAACGACAGTTTGGGCATGAAATTGTTTCCCTAATCTTTGCACCAACCAGAGCCTGTACGTACTCCACGTTCTGGAACAAAAAGAAAGGAAGATAGATAATATATTTGTTCTCATACCGTATTTCACCTAATAATCGAATAAACGTGTACGAAGCTGCGTTTAACACAAAAAGGGATATCTAAATTACTCTAATTCTGTACTAAGAACTAAAATCTCTCTTGATAGTTTATTTATGGCTGCCGTTATGCAATACCGTAGTTGAAATATTAAGCGCCGGGTCCCGATCCACAAAGAATTCGTAACGCTACGACATTCGTAAGCCTATGGTAAACTGTAGAATTAGGACAGGTCGTAACGTAACGAATGCTTAGTGGATTGGGACCATGGGGGGCCGATCCATAAGATGTTCGTAGCACTAGGTCATTCATAAGCCTTTAATAAACAGTATAGTTACGATAGTTAGTAACGTTACGAACTCTTAATGGATCAGGGTCCAGACGTCCGATCAACAAAACGTTCGTAGTACGACATTTCTTAAGCCTATGATAAACAAAGAGTTACGTATTCTTTGGGGATCGGTACCTTTCCGCGAAGCGGTAAAGGGAGATAACCGAGGAATGTTCCCTATTACGACCCGGCCTCCATTACCTGCCCGTTTTGGATGCTTGTTCAAGGAATAGGCGCAAGAGTGTTTATTACCGACATATGTGTACGCGATATATGACAAAACAGAGCCACGGCACTGTAGCTCACCTGGACATGTATAGGTAGTCAGCAGTTTACATGTCAACAAAGTCATTATTATTCAAATAATATGCACTGAATATATACCGAAGACTATAAATACGGAACACGGTGCTACATGTACCAGCAACTGAAGTTATTTTCATCAGTTTCTAAAAAATGTACTTATATATTAATTTAAAGTATTGTGTCAGCTGATTTTGTTCAACAGGTTCTACTTGATAAAGTCAGACATTTTGGACAATGATATATCATCACAAGAAAAGAACAAATACGAAAAATGAACTTTCTCTATCTGTTACAGTCCAGGACTGAAGATGAATCAAACAGGGTGTGAGTTGAGTCTAACACCACTCCAGAAATATAAAATGTCATTGCGAACAAAAATGAGTAATGCCCAAAACAGACGTGTTAATGTAGTTGTGATTGAAAATAACGGTCTCATCATGGTCCAGTAGTTTCCGACGTTTATTCACGCCGCTTGACGTTACTAAAGCTCTTTAGATTTTCAGTCAGGACAGCAGAATTGGTGCAAAGATAATGAGTGAGAAGTTGACAAGGAAATCTTAGGGAGGCAGTGAGACCTTTCATGCAAAGCTGCCATCTGAGAAAACATCATGATAAATTTTACAATTATAGGTGTGGTGAAAATGAAAAGTCGTGAAGACTTGCTTGAAACTATATACGTTAAGCACTCACGTGACATAAGCTTCAAGGCAAAACGTGATCATATTCAGTTACGTCATAAGTTATTCTTATACCGAAGAACGTATTTCTGGACACTTGTGTGCAAGTTAAACCCACATTTATACCCCAGTAATTCAAAGCATATTTAAAACTGTTTCAGGACATCAGGGGTGTGATTTGTATTTTAGGAAACATTTCCAGTTCGGCTTCTCTTAAACTCACATCGTTGCTGCCAAACTCACGTGTCATACCTGAGGTGTGATGGTTCCCACGAGGGGAGTTAACTCCGTCATGTCCATGAGACTACAGCGCGAGTTGCCCACCATGTAGTGGCGATAGCTGTTGATCACGAGGCCGCACAGCCAGCAGAAGCTGATACCACACCTACACTTCATTTTGTTGCATCTGGAACAAGGAGGGTCCGGGTTAAGACATTTACACACCACATATTGGTAACGAGTAACGATGAAATAACGATGACGTTATGCCATAAACCTTTTACGCATACAGGGTGGCCTAGTGGTTTGAGGCGTCGCAATTCCATGTACAGAGTTGTCCCCCTTGGGCCAAGCACGAACCTGTGACTGAGGGCGGGAATACTGGTTTCGCACATTAATTTATGATTCCCAGATTGTCAGTGTTAAAGGTCTAACACCTGCATCACTAAGGATTTTCCACCCAGAATAAGTTCACACGCCGTAAGGTAACTGAAATATTGTTTAAAGGGGCCTTCCACTCATTATAAACCTGATACAGTGATTCTTTACATATAGGATTGAGTATGGTTATATACGCTTTTTCAACATTCCATCAATAAGATAACGGGGTATACCAAAAATGGACTTCACACATTCTACCCATGTTAGGAATCGAGCCCTGGTCTTCGGTGTCACAAGCGAACGCTTTAACAACAAGACTAACCGATCGCCCCTTTATTATTGACAACAACTCATTATGAGGCCATGCTGCATGTCTGATTGATTCAAAGACTTAAGAATGAACACAATTAAGCAACATTTGTTATACATTATATTTAAAGAAATTATTATAATCTCAGTGCGCTGACATTTTCAAAGTTAATGTCACATCATTTCGTTAATCCAAATGGTACATTTTTTTAAAAATTGGAAATTGAGAAAATCAAGAACCTATTTGTGGTGAAAGTTCGCTATATTTCCGGTCCCATTTTAAACCATTTTCCAACCAGTGAGGTTGCAGCCTACATTTTCATTCACTTTACAAGTCTGAACGGCTGGATTCCGGAAAAAAATGCCTGAGGATTCACACCACATTTTCTGATCTCTGACTGGGGATCAGTAAACAATATATAAACATGTATATGCATTACTTCTTGAAACAGCATCCCCTCTCCCAAAGTCGAAAACGATAATAAAGTCTCGGTTTTTAAAAGAAAATTAGCCAACTCACCCTCCTGCCTTTTCTATCTTTGCGCTGCATTTCGGACAAAGCCTGGTCTTTCGATGCAGCCTCGTCTTGGTTCTGATTTCTTCCTCAAGCTTCCGTCGTTTCTCCTCAAAATGACGCCTCTCACCAGCAGACGACAATAGTTCCTTCCGGTTCACAGTCTGTAGTTTCTGTTCAATCGTCATGCAGACGTCTCCCTGAAACATTATACCTTTGTTGTGTTGGTAATGTTTCCACACAAAATTCTTCACTCTGCAGGCCACGTGTAAGGACTATATTATCTCCACTTAACTTGAGATCCAAGTGGTTTAGGAAGAAACAGCAAAAGGTAATGTCCCTGCCATAACCTCCTGTTAATGTTCCACATAAGGTTAGGTTGCATGTATTTGGATACTAGCATTACTAGCAAACCCCACTAAAAGTAAGCACCTATACATTGTGTAGCCGAGGTCGCCTGGGATTTCGGCTCTGGGCCGTTGAGTACAAAACAAAACAATGGTGATGATGTTATGAGTTTATTAAGAGGCTGTTGCTGAGGTATCTTAATAAAGAAAAGATGTTTTCACCTCAGCAACAGCAATTGGAGTCATTAAAATAAGTCACTCAATATTAAATTAACATTAAATGCATTGTAAACAAGTATCACAGTTAGCCAAAGTAATAAATAAACTTTTTGCAAAACAAATCTATAAATGTATTGAGAGAACATGGTCAATGCACATGGTCAATACAATGTATACAAGTTATTGCTTAGTTTAAATTAAATATTACCCTTAATAGTTTTAAATTACAGTTTGAATTAATTTAAGCACCTTTGTATAGAAGTTAAGATGAAGTTGAGGCAGATGGAAAAGGATTAGAAAATGGCCATACCTGAAGAAAGAAAAGATGTTTCCACCTCAGCAACAGCAATTGGAGTGAGATGGAAGACAGGTAGGCCAAAGGAAGTAGACAGAGGGACACAATAGTCAATTAGAGGACAGATAACACATCAATGGAAGCCTTTGATGTGACTTATAAATAGAATAGGGAAAGCTTAGAGGATGGGTACTGAATAAAAAAATAGAACATAGGTGAAGGGAAATCCTTGTTGACCAAGCTCCAGGAAACAGATAAAAAGGTGACAATTAAGAGAGGCGGCATTCAACGGCAAACACGGACAACATATAACAAATGGACATTTAACATATCATGATATGAAAGATGGCTGATACAACAAATGGAATCTTGATGAACGATGAACATATACTCTCCCAAAAAAGAAACGCATATAGGAATTTCAACTGTATTTTTATGTTTACTTTGAAACATCTTGTAGGCTTTATGAGTCAATGAAATATAGCGAAATTGTACACTGGGAATGCAGACTTATCCGCTTTGACACCAACTCGAGGAAAGTCTGTTTGAGTGTCACATGGAGACGTATGGTGGCGCTGAAGTCAATACCCTCGTGTGACCACCGTGGGCATCCAGAACTGCACGGCATCGCCTCGGCATCGAACGAATAAGTCTCAGAATCTCGTGTTGCCCAATCGCAGCCCACTCTGCCTGTAGTGCCTGTGCGAGTTGCTGAAGTGTCTGGGGCTGAGGGTTACGGCGTCGCACCCGTCTGTCCAGGGCATCCCGAAGGTGTTCGATCGGGTTTAAGTCCGGTGATCTTGAGGGCCAGGGGAGCACATTGATGTTGTGGTTCTGGAGGAAGTGACGTGCCGTGTGGGGCCGTTTGGGGCCTGGCAAAACAACTCCCTCTGGCGATCAATGATTGGAAGGAGGTGTGGGCGTAGGATTTCGTCACAGTACCGTTGAGCTGTCAGGTTGCCCTGGATCATCACCAAATCACTTCTCCTACGGCAGGTGATCGCTCCCCACATCATAACACTGCCCCGGCCGAATCTGTCCACCTGGGGAACGCAAGCGTCGGCGAAACGTTCACGTCGACGTCTGTACACCCGCATTCTTCCATCGCGTCGTTCCAATAGAAATCGTGATTCATCACTGAACCAGCTTCTACGCCAATTCGGTAGGTTCCAGGCCTGAACGTTGGTGCACCATTGAACTCGATGTCTACGATGTTGTTGTCGAAGCACAGGGCCAAAAAAAGGTCTTCTGGCACGTAAACCAGCCTCTCTCAACCTCAGTGTTCCTGACGGTCTGTGCAGAACGCCTCCTCAATCTGGGTATTTGTCGAGCGGTACTGGTCGCCGTAGCTGTTCGATGACGCAGGTGATGTACCCGGATGTAGCGATCCTGCGCCGCAGTGGTCGCTCGAGGTCGCCCACTACGAGGGGCATCTGCTACCGAATTCTGCAGGCGATATCTCTCCCAGAGCCGTGAAATGGTGCTTTGGTAAACATTCATGCGTCGGGCAACTGCACGTTGAGTCTGGCCAGCTTCAAGCAAACCAATGGCGATATGACGTTTGGGCTCACTTAGACGTGGCATTTTGCGTTCGTCAACAATATTCCAAATACAATGAATAATCGACAGACAGCGATCAACCTTTTATACCCATCAGTAAGACTATCTGATCCCCAACTTTCACGTGCATTGCATGTGAATTGTGTATTCTGTGACACTACACGCCGAAATTGAAAATCAGGCTGTTAAATACGGGTATTTTACGGATGGTGCGTTTTGTTGTGATGTTTGAAACATAAACACCATAGGACTCATAAACAGAGCAAAACCTTTTGTAAAATGAATCACGTTTTAATTCATTGCTACATGAAATTGCTATTTTCATGATGCGTTTCTTTTTGGGGAGAGTATACAATTAAATAAAGAAAACATACCAAGATATATACAAAAGGTCAAGTTAGTTATCCCTGCTACAATTGCATGACGAGAATAAACAACTGCTGTATGGGTTGTAATCCACATGGATGCTCACCAACAATCAAATAAATTATTCAAATCCACGTCGCATGTCTATGAAACATGAGAAAGTATAAGAACTGCGGAGGTTTCCGGACTGGTGCAACCACATGCATACTGCAGTGGAATCTCCAATACCGTAACAGGTTCTATTCTACTCCACAGGAAGACCTAGTGTCCAATATTGCAACCATATAACGTCTGGGATGTCCAATATTGCAAACACATAGGGTCAGAAATGTATAATATTGGAACCGTAAAACGAAAACCAAAATTTCATCACTGCAGGCTAAAAATACCACGGAGTCGCCCGTATTACTACGATATACTTATACAAACTATGTATATAGCAACCATATAATGACTGGAAACGTTAAATACTGCAACCATAAAATGACTTAATGCTCAATACAGCAACCAAATCATGACGTAATGTTCAATACTGCAACCATATGACTTAATGCTCAATACTGCAACCATATCATGGATTAATGGTCAATACTGCAACCACATCATGGGTTAATGGTCAATACTGCAATCAGGTACTGACTGGAAATACTGAATACTGCAACCATGTACTAACTTAATGCTCAATACAGCAACCATATCATGACGTAATGTTCAATACTGCAACCACATCATGGATTAATGGTCAATACTGCAATCAGGTACTGACTGGAAATACTGAATACTGCAACCATGTTGTACAGAAAATATGTACCAAGATAGGCTTCAGTACGTTGTGCACATCAATGTTGTATGCTTCTCCAAAAGCAGCAATTCTTTTTAAACGGTTTCTTCTAGCCGCCTCTGAATTGTTGTACAAATTTTAATGAAATAAATGTGAATGTACTTTTTGGTCGGATTTGTTTCTTCTTTGCTGCTTAAATCGACTCTGGGCCAACCAGTGATTGATACCAGGAGCAACGTCCCACAGTGGCACACTCTTTCAGTCCTAAATCGCACATCTACACAGGAACACTTAATCTCCTAATGCCACACCCAGACACCCACACCCACTCACCTAATGCCACATCCACAAAGCCCACAGAGTCACAACTACATCCACCAACACCCACTCACCTGATGCCACACCCACACAACCACACCTGATGCCGAACCCACACGCTGAATACTGCAACCAGTTACTGACTGAATACTGCCAATGGGTAATGACTCGATGCTCATTACTGCAGCGAGGTACTGGCTGAATACTGCAAATAGGTACTTGCTGAATACTGCAACCAGGCAATGACTAAATAATACTGCAACCAGGTACTTGCTGAATACTGCAAATAGGTACTTGCTGAATACTGCAACCAGGTACTTGCTGAATACTGCAACCAGGTACTGACTGAATACTGCAACCAGGTAATGGCTGAATAATACTGCAACCAGGCAATGACTAAATACTCAATACTGCAACAATGTACTTGCTGAATACTGCAACCAGGTACTTGCTGAATACTGCAACTAGGTAAAGGCTGAATAATACTGCAACCAGGCAATGACTAAATACTCAATACTGCAACAATGTAATGACTTAATGGTCAATACTGCAACCATGTAATGACTTAATGGTCAATATTGCAGCTATGTGATGACTTAATACTCAATACTGCAACCAGATACTGACTGTGAATTTTGAATACTGCAAGTAGGTAATGACAGTGCTCCGTCCTGCAACCATTTAATGGCTGAGAATGTTAAATACTGCAACTAGGTAATGACAGTTACTGCTCAATACTGCGACAACGGGAATGAATGTTGAATGCTGAACCATGGAATCGCTGAGAATGTTATACTGTTGACAGCAGTACGAGGACCCCATGGGACTCGGTACTCGTACTGCTGTCAATCGCTGTTCAGAAGTTTTTTAGGCTCTAAACCTTTTGATAGCCCCTCGTACATTAAGCCTTATTACCATACGTGGCCTCTGGCATTTTACGTCGTTATGAGGCATATGGATGCGATAGAACTGGCCCCAATTAGACACTCTTTATAGGATGTGTATATACCTGTGTAATATGTCGTAGAACACGTGTAACAAGGCTCATATATCCTTATATGGCATGTTTCAGCACTCTCTCTGAATAAGTTATTACTCATATCTTTTATACTTCTTTGGGGGATCTCGGTTGAACCAACCTCTTTTGGGCTTCACAAGCTACTCCATACTCAGAGCATGGACGGCTTGTAGCCCCCAAATATCATCAGGTAGCGTCCGGTCAGCACGAACCCAGGACCAGCATACCGTAGGATTCACCCGGGTCATCGGACCCCAGGACCGGTATATCCCTCCCACTTTACTTAACTCAAGTCAGGGTCCCTAAGACCCCAAGACATTCACTCTTCCTGCCCCGGTCACCACGACCCAGGGTTTCACTAAACCCGGTTCATCACGACCCCAGGGTTTCACTATTCCCGGGTCACCACGACCTAGGGTTTCACTAAACCCGGGTCGACACGACCCCAGTATCACTATACCTGGGTCACCACGACCCCAGGGTTTCACTCCACCCGGGTCACCACGACCCGGCAACCGAGGCAGCCCCCATTTTATGCCAAACATTTGTATGTGAATAAATGTTTCTTGTTTATGTTGTCTGTTGCACAAACCATGAAATCACTGGAAATGTTAAACACGCTGCGCACAACCTATTCTAATCCCGAACCCACCACACTGGTACACCATGCATGAAGATGGATGTATACAGAGAGATGTTCTGAGAAACGGAAAGCTTTCAAATCGCTGGGAAATTTCAAATCAGGAAGTAGACATGCGGAAGGGAAGACGATACAGAAGAACCGGGTGAAGTTTACATACACACCCTGAAACAGTTTATCCAGTAACGCCCCTGCAAGTCCAATGATACTTGTCAGGTCTAGATTAATGCCGCTTCAGTCTGAAAATGTCATGGGTTCAATTTCATTATATTTTTTAAGATAATGTAATAGTTGATTTTCTGTAATACATGTTCATTTCAGTGACAGAGTCTAGGTGAAGTTTAATATTGAGGGATTCGGTATACGGAATATCACATAAGAATATCACAACTATCTAATTCTGTGTTTCCAATGAAAATAAGACGGCCACCAAACACAATTCTTGCGATAATGTTTTGCATTTATATGTCACAGCACAAAGTGGACGTATTTAAAACATATCGTATCAGCGCAATCAATAAACGCGGAATGGTTCATCACTTGATTGTCCAGTTTGTTGAAACCACCCCGCCGCAAGGAAGGGGTACTGGCTGTCTTTACAGACCATTACTTGCTTAATGCTGAATTAGGGGCGGTGGGGTAGCCCAGTGGTTAAAGCATTCGCTTGCCACGCGGTACACATGGGTGCAATCTACTACAATATATGAAGCCCATTTCCGGTGTCCCCCGCCGTGATATTGCTGGAATATTGCTAAAAGCGGCGTAAAACCAAACTCACTCACTCACTGACGGTTGCAACCAGAAGGGCAGGACATGCTTTCGCCAACACCCGGTGTCATCATTGATGTTCAGTCATCCATGATATTTCCACCGCTGTATTACCGAAATTACGCCAAACAGAAACTGTTTAACCCCCTGGATGCCGAGGGTTTTTTTCAGGCGCCCATTTTCATCAGGTTTGAAAAGTGAACGTTGTGCGAGATTTGCGCTCGTGTGGTCCTGCATCTGCGTACGGCTATAAAATTACACAGAAATGTAGAATATTAAATTTCCTACCCGTTGGTATAAGGTATATAAGGTGACTTATTTCTCTAAAATGTTTTCTCTAACATTCTGATTGATAATAATATATATTCTGTTGCCGCTTTGAGTGGACAAACTACAGCCTAAATGCAACACTGTAAAAAACATCTAGCATGTTCAACTTAAGTGTAGTAAGAGTAAAACTTTTCACATTCATTAACATTTCAAACCTCACATGTGCAGCAACACACTGAAGCTTTGTAGAATCAGCAGCTGGGTGACTCACACGCACGTTCGAGACGAAAAGCGAGAACATTTCACATGCATATCTCCCAAAATTAAAAATGGATTGGAAGTAAAACAAATTATTTAAATCGAGGCTGTTTGGTGGTCTTCTTTATTTTGCTAGCACGTAAATCTTTTTGATCTGGTTTAGTGGCAAAACATATCCCAAATATTGCAAACTGTATAGATTCTGTGCGTCAGTCACGTCCCAGCATCTACACAAACACATCGTGAACTGGAGTCAGTGAAGCAACATTAACTGCAGAGAGCAATCCTTCCAACTGGAGTGGAGACATGGCATACTTTGGACTACCATTTGCAACTTTTGTTTTCTTAGGGTGGGCACATCATAATCATGGCAGTACACTGGCCATTCCAGCTTCCAGGTGGAAATCTGACTTGGATGTTGCCAGATGTGCAGCAAACTGTTTAGCCCAAGGAAGGGACTTCTTTAAAGTGCCATGCACCGATGTTAATGGAGATATACGACCTTACCACAAGAAACCTGTGACATATCAACTACAGATTCCCTGGAACCGTGATCCTTTGAGAGGCATATGCACTGGTGTCTTCCGGAGGATCGGTGGTAGTGAAAAGGAACCGACAACTGGATTGGCAAAACAATCAATTCCGGACATAAACAACGTAAAGAAAGTACCAAAACACAGAATAAACAAGGGTTTGGGGAAGCAATCAACACCGGCCAATAACAAGGTGAAGAACGAACCAGGGAAGATTGAACACAAGGGTTTGGGGAAGACACCGGCCAATAACAAGGTGAAGAACGAACCAAGGAAGAGTGAAAACAAGGGTTTGGGGAAGACACCGGCCAATAACAAGGTGAAGAACGAACCAAGGAAGAGTGAAAACAAGGGTTTGGGGAAGCAATCAACACCGGTCAAAACCAAGGTGAAGAACGAACCAAGGAAGAGTGAAAACAAGGGTTTGGGGAAGACACCGGCCAATAACAAGGTGAAGAACGTACCAAGAAAGAGTAAACACAAGGGTTTGGGGAAGAAAAAGAAACCAGTTATAAAAAAGAGGACAATTGTTATTAAGTTTTTTTAGAAAGTGGATCAAGATAGGCTTCGAGACGCCTCTGTTGATGCGTAAGTTTCGTACATGACTATACATGTATGTAAGCTATTTTTCATGAATCCATCAAATGAATTATTGTACAAATTTTAACAAAATATATGTGATTATACTTGCTTGTCGGATTTGTTTGTTCTTTGCTGCTTCAAACGAAACCAGTGATTGATACCAAGAGCAGCATCCCACAGTGGCAGGATACGAGGTGGGGTAGCCTAGTGGGTAAAGCATCCCGGGTTCGATTCCCTACATACGTACAATGTGTTAAACCCATTTCTGGTATCCCCTGTGACACCCACTCACCTGATGCCACACCCACACACCCACTCACCTGAAGCCACACCCACACTCTCACTCACCTGATGCCATGCCCACACACCCACTCAACTGATGCCACATCTACACAGCCACACCCACTCAACTGATGCCACACCCACACACTCACTCACCTGATGAAAAACCCACACACCTGATGCCAGGGGTCCCTGCACAGAGTACAGAAGGAAAAGAAACAGGTCGTGCAGTGTCCTAGATTCAAGTGGTCCTCCTCTTCCCGAATCACAGGGTTGTTGCAGCGAGGGCACCAGTCTACATCAGTCATACTCTCTAAAGCTCTCTGATAGAAAATAAAGAAACGAACTGCAGGTGAGTACATGGCCATTTCATCAATTGACACCTGTAAAAGACACCAGCTTCGTCATTCTCTGGAAAATTCAAACTAGAGGCGAGGCCGACCATGGGTATTTCATTGTAATAGTGGGACAGTGCAACTATTCATCTGTGTAATTATTTCCTTTGGGTGGTTTGGTGGCCTAGTTCTTAAAGCGGTGGTCTTGTGATGTTGAAGACCCGGGTTCGATTCCCCTCATAGGTACAATGTGTGAAGCCCTTTTCTGGTGTTCCACGCCGTGATATTGCTGGAATATTGCTAAAAGCGGCGTGAATACTCACTCACTCATTATTTAATTTTGTTAGTTTGTTTTTAACCTGTGAAGAGACAACATTTGTAATTGTAGCTTATTTTGATATTATACGTGCGCCTCCAGACATAATGCGTATTTCGCACTGGGTAGCCGCGTATCTGAATCATTCGATCGTAATTTTATCACTTCATACCTCATGTCATCCTTGATAAATCTCCACTATACCTTGCATGCATCTACGGCGGATGATTTTATTACCTCCCTTGGTTGGCTTTTTATCCAATCAGGTGTCTACGCTGGGAAGTTGAGGGTACCAATCACAACTCACTTTCGCTTTTTAAATTATCTAAGCGATTAAACTTGGCAATACAATAATATATTGGCAGAGGTACTCTGAAGAGGTAGAAGGAGTTCTTGCATATATTTGTTTAAGGTTTCAGAACTGTGAAATTGTCTGTATGTTTCCCCTCCAAACCTGAGTCGCACTGCGAACTAACTTTCGCGGCTGCGATCGCTATCTTTGTTGACACTGGCAAGCTCGGTTGTAACGGCGGCTTATCTGATTGGCTACTGTCAGAATGCTGAGCCAGCAAAGGGAGGTAATACAATTATCGGGCCGAGCCGTAGATGCATCCAGGGTGTATAGTGGAGATTTATCGGAAGGTATACCCTGGAGATTATCGAGGATGACCTCATGTCAAATTTTAAGGTTCAAATTCTGAACTAATACATACTATTACATACATACAGTACAACCAGAAATTATTGAGAATTTAAAGATTGTAATTTTTTTTTTTTCACTCATTACTCACGTATTAAATGTGAATATTAGCAGAACATTACTCCAGATTCAAAGACAGGTGAACAGTTAGTATTTTGTCAAATCACCATGGGCAGCAATGCAGGCTTCAATGCAGCAGGGCATACTACTGATCAAAGAAGTTAGAAAGTCGTGGCCCATGCTGTCCCAATATCGGACCACCTTTACTTTCATTTCAGCAATATTTGTAAGATTTTTCTTATTGACACTTTCCTTCATAAGTCCCCAAACATTTTCTATTGGATTTAGGTCAGGGCTATAGCTTGGCCAATCTAATAATGTCATATTTTGGGTCCGAAACCAGGCCTGTGAATGCTTTGAACGATGTTTTTGGTCGTTGTCCTGCTGTAAAATCCAAACATTTCCATAGAACACGTGAGCAGATGGAAGTAACTGTCCCTCGAGAATATCTGTGTACCGCTCACTGTTCATATTCCCTTCAAATACACAGAGGGGCGTTGCCCCTAACACAGATATGCCACCCCACACGTTAAATTTCGGACTGTACTTTGGGCGCTGATACAAAAGTTTTTCACTTTGTTTGGTCCAGAATTTCAGTGTATTAGAAAACAGCCACACAGAACCTTCATCTGAGAAAATCACTTTGTCCCAGTTAAAATTTCTATGCTGTAAGCACCAGTTCAACCTTCGCTCCTTTTATTCAGGTTTCATGATCGGTGATGGAATTCCTCGACTTTTCTGCCAACCCATTGCATGCAGATCAGTTCTAATTGTCTCCTTACAGACAGCCACAGTTCCTCTATCAATCATATCCAGCCTTAAATTTTCTAAACTCCTTCGTTTGTTTTCAGAAACAAGAATACCAAGCCGCCTCCTTTTCACCGACAATCAATTTTCTGGGCCTACCTGCGCCTCCCTGGTGCTCAATGCTATATCCATTTGCAATATTTTCAAAACACGATAAACAGTGGACAAAGAGATACCTGTTATACTTAAAATCACTTTAGCTGATCTGATGTCCTTGTTATAATACTCTAAAATCAACTTCCTCATCATCCATACTGAGGATCACTGAAAATGTCGTCTGCTAGCAAGTAAACAAAGGGGGATAACTCTTCACAAACTAATGAAAAAGGATTAACGGAGTTGTCTCTCTTGAATGAAACCAAGCACTTGATAGCTGGTCAAGGTTGTTTATACTAGAAATCCAATTAAACATATTCCTAAAATTCTCAATAATTTCTGGTCATACTGTACTAATACAATACACGCCCGTCTGGTCAATACCCTCGACGTAATTTGTAAGAGTAGTAATGTATTGGTGACGCTGAGAAATTTGGTATAGGGAATTTCTATGTTAAATTTTTCGGAAAAAGAATTAGCATGCTTCTGCTGCACTGTGCACCAACCTCCCACAGATTAAACACATCGCCACGTACGACGAAAACCGACCTTGGGAAGCTCCGTAAAAAGTACACAGACGACTGTCTTCAAAACGTAGGACGTACGAACACCGAGTTCATTATACTTTCGAGATGGCTACGAAACAATATCAATGGGTTATTGTAGCCTAGCCACCACCACGACATAGACCACATTTCGACGATGAAGTCGTGCTCGGATGCAGTGAAGATTGGTATCATTCAAAAGATGAGTGTTTACGCCATCTGGAAGAGAATCTCCGATATCGACCCGTGGACATAGCAGACTCATGGGGAAGCCAGCAGAGTTTTATATATTCTCGGACTGTGTACGCTCACCATAGACCATACAACACAGACAGGAAATGAACCTACCATAACATATGTTATATTTAGGATTACACTGTCTTAGTAAAGTACAGATTCTACTACTTTGTGTAATCAATGAACCTACCAACGTAGGTGAACGAAATAGATTCCGAGAGTTACAGCATATTTGGAAACTATCTAACGCGCGCCTATGGTACAGTCGTACGGAAATCCATCAAAAAGTATATGAGCAGGGGACAGGGTATAATTTTGATACACAAGTCAAAACATTGATTACACAACAGTCTCGTTTCCTGCTGACTGGGATGCTCATGCTGTTGATCACTGGATTGTCTGGTCCAGACTCGATTATTTACAGACCGCCGGGGGCCATATAGCAGGAATATTGCTGAGTGCGGCATCAAACTAAAACTCACTCACCTGCTGACTGGGTTCTGGGCGCAACTTCGTACAATAACCAGTCCAGAATATTGAGACCAATTCATTCAACTGGATACATACATATTAATTAGTTATTATTTGATACATCTAAACACTTGTATATTGCAATACTACGCTCCTTCTCATCCTTGCAAACACAGCGTGCTCAGTCGTACAGCGTGCTCTGACAAACGGAAATCTCAAAACGAGGCTCTGCCGCTAGAAACGTTTTGCGGTCTGGTACAGACTTAATATTATATCAATCACATTGTGCGTTACAACACTAGACTGAATAAGCGCAAAAACACATAACAGTTTTAACCAGTGAGCCAGATGAATTGTGAAACATTTTACGACCTCATCAAACAGGAGCAGTCTGTGACGTCTTAGTTAACGACATGCTGCCTACACCTCGCTATAAAATATACAAATACGATGTTATTAAACTTTATAATTAAAAGTTACTTGTAAATATCATTTCATATGAAACAAGGAATTGGAATTCAGTGTAACCATAGTTGTTCGTGGTGTCTCTCTTCATTTTCACAAATTTTCAGAAATTCGGACATGCTGAAAAGTAGGTCATTGTCTGAATAGGTTAATGAGATTCATGTTTCGGCCAGGCTTTTCATACGACTATGAAAGCTGTAGACGAAGACGCAGTTATTCTGAATATCAAAGTAGAGACTACCGTGACACCAGTGTCAAAACTGACCAGTGGATGAACCACATCAAACGGACGGTTAAACGTTGGAGTTGGAAAATATAGTAGATTCAACGAGCCGTCATGAAGGTTGATTATCAACAGGAATACTACGATCCCAGGAAACCGAGCGCTTTCGCGGGTGAACGAAAATTTTACGCCAGTCTGAAGCGACGTAAACCTAACGTCGATTCTCATAGCGGCCGAAGAAGGATGACAACGCAAGACGCCCACAACCTACATCGTTTACCAAACAAACGATTTTGAAGAAATAAAGTTATCGTGGGAGGAATGTACGTGCAAGCAGAAGGAGACTAATGCGACGTATCTAAACTAGCGGAAGACAACGATGGAGTTAAGCATCTTCTCGACTTAAGTATCAACTGCTTTTCGAGGTATGTCTGGGTCCAGCCAATGAAAAATAAAGAATCAAAATCGTCGGCCGATGAGGGAACTATTGACAACCATGGAGAAACCATCGTAAAGTCTAAGAACGGACAAAGGAGCGGAATTTATTAACCAAACAGTGTGACGGATTTATACTTGATTTAACGTCAAACATTTTTTTACGCCAAACTCCGACATCAAAGCGAACTACGCCGAACGTTTCATTCGTACTTTGAGAACTATGACGTATAGATTCCTCACATACCAGCATACCCATAGGTCTATCGATGTGTTACAAGACCTCGTTTATAACTACAACCATCGCCCGCACAGGAGCCTGAATGGAAGATCACCGGTGGAAGTAAAACCATCAAACGAAGCTAGCATATTGTTGGATATATACGCGGACAATGCAAAAACCAGACCTCTACGAAACGGCAACTATGCATTTAAAGTAGATCACGTCAGAGTATCATTGGTCAAGAGAAGGTTCTAGAAGGAATACGAACAGAAATGGTAGGAAGAAGAATTTAAGATAGGTCAGCGCCAGCTCAGAGACAATATGTCTATTGACTAGAAGACCTCCAGTCCGATCCCATTAAAGGAGTTGCAGAAATATCCTCACGATCCCAACGAAATGAATTGGCGCATTGAACACATACTCCAAACGAAATACGTTGGTAAGAAAGGAAATAAGACCAAACGTGTCTCAGTGACTGACTGACTGAGTTTGGTTTTACGCCGCTTTTAGCAATATTCCAGCAATATCACGGCGGGGGACACCAGAAATGGGCTTCACTCATTGTACCCATGTGGGGATTCGAACCCGGGTCTTCGGCGTGACGAGCCAACGCTTTAACCACTAGGCTACCCCACCACCCCTCGTGTCTCAGTAAAGTGACTGGGATATCAAGTCGTGGATCGATGCTGACCAGATCGAGAACGTACACATATTAAGAGGATGACGTCCACGGAATGGATTGTGACTAAGTGTGATGACAGCGTCAACTATTTTCCCCAAAATAAACCTTATACATTTTCTGTGTACCTGAAACAACCGCTCAGATTGAACGGGCATTGGAGCATATCAATACCAGAATTATACGCCAGAAGGAGAACGCAAATAAGAAAAGTGATTTTGGAATGGAATGTTGTCTATATTATGTTCCATTTGCGAACCGATCATAGTCCACGGACAACACCAGCCTCCGTTGAGACGAGCGGAACAGTCAACCGCAACGACATGGAAGGTGACGTTCTCAGAACCTTACGACATTGGCGTGAGAGTGATTACCGATAGCGTGGAGAGGTTGGATATCTATATAACAGACGCCTGTGGCAATCCAGCCACATTTCTGACGTACGTTTCGTCTATCACCCGGCAATTGAAGCGTTACCCTTATATTATATAACTGTCAGTGACATGGATATCAACGACGCTCTACCAAACGCATCCAACAGAATGTATATTCCAGATCCAAACACGTGGAAGAAATACTACGGCGATGCAGCGCACGGGAAAATTAACCCCTGTTTCCAAAAAGGTGTATTTAACACAGGCGTACAATCTGTGTTTGGACGGATTGGCTGGCCGTAAGACAGTGACTCAAACTCTTCACGGCATTTGTTGGAACATTCGGTTAAATATATTATGCTAGGACAACTGACTGATGTAGTGCTGTTGCAGAGGATAGTGCATTTTATGATGTCATGTATTTTACTTGAATGATTACATTAATTTTATAAGTTAGGTTCAAATGCGGTAGTGCTGTTGATGATAATATTGTTATGACTTGTTAAATAAATACATTATCAATACTGACCTTTCTTGAGTTTATGACTTTATTTCCTATGACTGTTTTTCCTACCCAAATCTATGACTTTTTTTTCCATGACTTTTTTTCCTACAACCGATGAATGGACGCTCGAGGGACTGGTTTCTTTGTCACGAAAAGTGACCGTAGTACTGTAATCAACACCCACTTTGGGGATTCAATAGTTCCAAATACGATTTGAATTTATGGAAGAGCAAATTAGCCAGGGCATTGAACATCATCGATAACAACTTTGTCATCAAGAGAAACAATCAGTATATTAGCATCGTGTCCCAAAGACTTGAAAATTTTAGATATCTCTCGGAATCTATTTCGTTCACCTCCGTTGGTAGGTTCATTGATAACACAAAGTACTAAAATCTGTACTTTTAATCCCAAATATAACATGTTACGGTAGGTTCATTTCCTGTCTGTGTCGTACGGTCTATATTGGTCTATGGTGGGCGTACACAGTCCGAGAATATATAAAAATGTACGGGCTTCCCCGTGAGTCTGCTATGTCCACGGGTCGATAACGGAGCTTCTCTTCCAGATAGCGTAGACACTCACCTTTTGAATGATACCAATCTTCACTGCATCCGAGCACGACTTCATCGTCGAAATGTGGTCTATGTCGTGGTGGTGGCTAGGCTACAATAACCCATTGATATTGTTTCGTAGCCATCTCGAAATGTATAATGAACTCGCTGTTCGTACGTCCTACGTTTTTAAGACGTCTGTGTACTTCCCCGCGGGCAGTGTTTGCGGTGGGCGGTGGGTGCACGGTGCGACAGAAGCATGCTAATTTGGGGACCTTTTTTCCGAAAATGGAACCTGGAAAATCCCTATTAACTTTCTCAGCGTGACTAATACATTACTACTTGTAAGCAGTTTCCCCAATCATCGAACGATGTGAATATCCTTATCAAAAGTCCACCATGCTCACCTGTAGAAGCAATCGTTCCCACCTGTCGAACTCCTCTGCAGGTAAAACGTTCTGAACAATGTCTGGGGGAACACTGACGTTGCAGTTGGTGGCAGGACATCTGCAAGAAATACAATATAATTTCAGTTGACTTTCCGGATTGGGTGAGTGAGTGAGTATACATCTTCGATAATCTCCAGGGTATACGTTCCGATAAATCTCCACTATACCCTGGATGCAGTTACGGCTCGAGCCTTTGCTGGCTCAGCATTCTCATAGTAGCCAATCAGATAAGCTGCCGTTACAACCGAGTTTGCCAGTGTCAACAAAGATAGTGGTCGCAGCTGCAAAAGTTCGCAGTGCGACTCATGATCAGATTTGGGGGGATAGCATACAGACAAATTGACAGGTCTGAAATCTTAAAAATATATATGCAAGAACTCCTCCTACCTCTTTCAGAGTACTTCTGCAACAACAGTGGCGGATCCGGGGGGGGGTCGACCCCCCTGAAAGACCACATTGAAAAAAAAGAAATTGCGTTGGCGGAGCCAAGGGGGGTCAGGGTTTTTTAACCCCCTGGACCCCCCCCCCCTTTTTTTTCAAAATTCCTGGATCCGCCCATGAACAATATCTTATTATGTTGCCAAGTTTAATTTAAAAAGCGAAAGTGAGTTGTGATTGGTACGCTCAACTTCCCAGCGTAGACACCTGATTGGATAATATGCCAACCAAGGGAGGTAATATATACGTATATGCATCCAAGGTATAGTGGAGATTTATCGGAACGTATACCCCGGAGATTATCGAGGATGGTGAGTAAAGTGCTACGCCGCGTTTAGCAATATTCCAACAATAGCGGGGAACACCAGGAATGGGCAAAACACACTGCACCCTTGTGAGGAATGGTACTCGGACCTTTGGAATAACGAGCGAACGTTTTACACTATTTCTCAATACATTGATATTACAGTAAGGATAAAAAACATTTTTTTCGCAGACATGTTAAAATACTCGTTCCCAGGAAGCTACAACTTGAAGAGAACAAATTCTAAAAATTGTTTCAAGTTAACTTAAACAGTGAAATATTAAAGGGACAATTATTCAACTTAGTCTGATCTGACCTTTAAGGCCTTGTAGCATACGTTGTTTCCATGTTCAATAGGTTTCAATGTAAGTATCTACATGTATTTTGATATCAACTTGAAAATTGAAAATACGCTATGTTACGCGTAGGTATCTTCAGTAAAGTTAGTTAACTATATACGTTGGTTAGTGTGTTATCTTAAACATTGTTACTAACTGCATTAAAAGTATGGTTTTACGCCGCTTTTAGCAATATTCCAGCAATATCGCGGCGGCGAACACCAGAAATAGGCTTCGCAAATTGTATCCCAGTGTGGAATCCAACCAAGGTCTTCGACGAAAGCTTAAGAGGTTACCCGATGTCCTTTTGAAGGAGAGAATGATGGTGACGGGTCAAGGTCGCTTGTGTGTAAGCGTATCAGGACCGTGTGGCGTTTTTAATGACCCCCATGACATATCGTAATATTGCAGGTGGTGGTGCTCGCGAGTTCGCATGCGCAAGCCCTCCCTCCCTCACTTACTGACCTGAGCTCCTCTACAGTGCCTAAAGACACGTGATGGTGACAATAAGCCTCCATGCACCGTCGGCAAGTGTGATGTAAACAGTCTCCCAGCCTGTAAAACTGGCTACCAGGAAATTCTTCAAAACACACGAGGCATTCGTGATTACTTCGGCGGAACTCGGCGTTGTCCAGAGTTCGGTTGTACCTGATAATGCAAAGGTTACTTATACATTCGGGAGGTTTGGAATAAAATGACTAATGAGTCAATACTATTTTCTGTTTTGAAATCATATTAGGCATTTCATCCTCCATAAAGGAAGGTATATTTGTAACCTATACAGATGAGTCGAGACGTAGAGATCTGACCCCAGCCACGTTTGACGTTAACGTCCATACGCGGATCCAGGAATTTTCAAAGGGGGGTGGGGTGGGGGGTGTTTGAACCCCACCTTGGCTCAGCTAATGCATAACATTAACTTCCCCCACGCCCACCCTTCCTCCCCACTGGATCCGCAAATGAATCGTCGATATGGCCAAATCCGTGGTCCCTGGAGCTAAGGAAATCTAGACTTTCCAAATACTTCTAGACTCCAAGGATGCGTTTCAAATAGCCAGTCCCTTGCAAGGTGGAGCAATTTGCCTTACCCATACAACAACGCGCTAACGTTCAGCCGCTTGCAAACCAAAATGGCGGCTGAGGGAAATTCGACGCCAGAACAAGAAACGTTTGACTGGATCATCTGGGAAATGGGCAAAGGCAACTTACAGCCCAACATCCTCAGTTTGTTCCACATCTACAAAGTAGTCGTCAACAGTCACAAATTCATCGGCTAGTTATCTCATCTTTTATAACGTTCTTCATTATGGCAAGGCGAACGCCGCTATTTTAGAAGCTTTCCGAATCCGGGACAAGCAGGGGTTTACTACTGATTAGTAATAGAAATAGACAAAAAAAAAAGAGTTATCCCCCTTATGTGTTGACGTAGACTATTTCATCTTTTGGTCGAATATGATGTGAAAAAAAAGATAATAGGCAAAACCACACGACTTTTTTAGTGTCGCACAACATGACTGACTGAGTTTAGTTTTACGCCGCTTTTAGCAATATTCCAGCAATATCACGGCGGGGGACACCAGAAATGGGCTTAACACATTGTGCCCATGTGGGGAATAGAACCCGGGTCTTCGGCGTGACGAGCCAACGCTTTAACCATTAGGCTACCCCACCTCACCTCCCCCGCACAACATGACGAATCAAACAGTCATGTTCAGTCCATCGATGGAAGGATGACATGCAGTTTAATGAACATCTGTAATCACATATACTGAACAAAAACAGAAACTTCATATTTACCAATACGAATGGGTCTGTAGCTCACCTTGATGTGAACTAAAATGAATCGCGTATAAGTGAAAGATTTAAGAGTTACTTGGAAAATTGTCCTAAAAACATCACAATCATCTTTCTTACTGTATCATTGTGTTTATGGCCTGATGAAAGTCTGTGTTGATCTCAATGCGACTTTCATCATTGTTGACTTCGCCTAAGGGTACATCTAAATTACTGCCAAGCTCCAGAAAACTGTAACAGAGGTAAACAACATTGTGATGATTATACATACAAAATGTTACATATTAACTAAGATATTTGTATTGCCATCAAACATATCCAAACAATGTTTGTGTCTGTTCTTTTATAGTAGCAGTAGTGAGTGAGTGAGTTGGGTTTTACGCCGCTTTTAGCAATATCACGCTGGGGACACCAGAAATGGACTTCACACATTGTACCCATGTGGGGAATCGAACCCGGGTCTTCGGCGTGACGAGCTTCCACCATTAGGCTACACCACCGCCCCTATAGTACCAGTAAATAGACCTGCCCAGTCTTAGGTCCGTAAAAGCAAGGTTATAACAACACTCCGCCCCTCATCAACTCATCTTGCCGACACACAGACACTCCTCGTACATTTCCGTCGTAAGTCAGACGTCCGCCAAGGAAGGACATTTTTACTACGCTTTGCATTGTTTATTTTGGATAATGAGAAAATGTCACCTGGCTCGACTCACCTAACAGGACCTCCGCCAACACTGGCAAGAAACCACTGTTACAAGCCAAACCAAAACTGGAGGCTGTCGTGAACTAAACAGAACTATTTCGGTTGTCTTTTGACTTCAAATCAAAGTGTATACATATTGTCTGTTATAACTGTTTCAGCCTGTCCTCGAAACTGGCCTAGTCGCGTTTTACGAACTATATCAACCGGGAAATACTGTTTCATATTTTACATTGATATCATGCAATATTCCGAATCCAAGGTTGCCCTGGATAGTATGCACGTAACGGAATAAGCCGAGTGGGCCTAAGTGGTGTTAATGCAAAATGATGGGTTATGTCCCATGAAAGAAACCCATTCACTTACATACAGAAGGTGACCAAAAGACTATACGATGTTTATGTTAGATTACACACCAAGACAACGTTTATATATTACAGGGAATGTTTAGCTCTTTGGTTGAAATCATGAGGAATTTACATCTCCAAGTCATGGTAGGCAAGCGTACCTGAAGATGTTATTTTCCAGCCAGTCAACCCAGGTGAAGATGACAGGGAGGTTCTCAGACTCCCGCCACAACTCATCCAGCTGACCACACAGAGCTGCAAGCTGATTGGCTGTCAACCACACGCATGACAGAGTGAACACTGGGGAACTCTGGGAAGGGTAAGTAGCAGGAAGTACAACTTGCAAACTCAGGGGAGGTAAGTACTTCACGTTGAAGGACGCAGTCCAGGCACCATCTCCTGTAGGGAAAATACAAAGGGTGAATACAACTGTGCAGAGTTTCACCCCTTCGTAGTTCAAGGATCCGATGAGTGTGATGTCGAGATTTTTAACGTGTAATGGACGCAACTGCAAAATGTATGGTGGTACGTTATACATACCGGTCGTCTCGAGCTGAACATCCTTTCCAACACATGGGGGAGTTACTTCCCCTGCTGCTGCGTTTTGCTTCACGCCATCGTCTGTGACAACAAAGTTTACTGTCACCAGCTGTCCGTCTGTTTGCACAGGAACAGAGATCTAGAGAAATAGAAATATGGTTAAACAAGGCTAAAATTCCAGACCGAGTCCTAGCCGTGAAAATCAAATTGAAATTAGAATGATAAACTGGAGCCAATTCTATAGTTGGCTCCTTCACCACTGTCCACTCCGTTGATCTTAATTATAATATGATGCAACAGATGTGGATGTTGGCTTTATCAAATGATATACACTCGTGAGGATTTCGGGTTAAACATGATCCCCTGTACGCATGGTTCAAGGCAGCCGGGCACGATGACACCCAAGGTTCAAGGCAACCGGGTACGATGACACGCAAGGTTCAAGGCAGCCGGGTACGATGACACACAAGGTTCAAGGCAGCCGGGTACCATGACACCCAAGGTTCAAGGCAGCCGGGTACGATGACACCCAAGGTTCAAGGCAGCCGGGTACGATGACATACAAGGTTCAAGGCAGCCGGGTACGATATGACACGCAAGGTTCAAGGCAGCCGGGTACGATATGACACGCAAATTTCAAGGCAGCCGGGCACGATATGACACGCAAGGTTCAAGGCAGCCGGGCACGATATGACACGCAAGGTCCAAGGCAGCCGGGCACGATATGACACGCAAATTTCAAGGCAGCCGGGTACGATGACACGCAAGGTTCAAGGCAACCGGGTACCATTCTGTGATACACCCAACTCTAAATATTAACTTAAGCAACCTTACAAAACAGTTTTAAAAATATAAGTTTAAAATAGCAAAATGTTAAAAAGGGAAGTAAGATAAAACTTACATGAAGTACGAAGAATTCCCCATCTCCGTCTGTGGGTGAACTGAGGACCTCTATCCTGTTTATATCAGACCCATCGTATATGGACTGCAGCGCAAGGACCTGGTAATCGTTAAGATAGCTTTGAGTGGAATGTACAAGATGCTTATTCACTGATGGCTGGTGAAAGTGGAATGGTAACGTGGCGTCCCGGAATATTTCCAAAAGAAAACTTATGTCTGCGTGGATGCCATGTGAAAGTGGAATGCTAACTACTGGGCAAAGAAAACATACACTTGGAAATCTGATTCGACCTAACATTATTAACTTGACTGAAAACAGTCGTGGGAACACTGAAAACGTCCAAAACAAACGATCGCCAGTTTCAACTGACTACATGATACTAACTCCGAGCCTACAAGTCCTTGTTTTACCCCTGGGTGCTGAGCAACAAGCATGACAGTTTGGAACCAGGCTGCAGGCAGGTAACAACAAGTGGAAGTGTCCAGTGCAAAGACTTTCGCTCGTCACGCCGAACACCAGGGCTCGATTCCCCAAATGTGTAAATTGTGTGAACCCCATATAAGTATTTCGGTGTCCTCAGTGCGTTAGGCCGCTGTGACGATTTTGTTATTAAGTTTTCATTTCTCGTAAGTCTTCTTAACGATATGTATTTACATAGAATGCTGGTGGGTGAAAAATACCTTTTAATGCCTGCTGATATCGCATTTAGGGCACGCGTCGTCAAATAGACTGCCATCTAGTAACATTGCCTTGAGATGATGTACTGTTTATTTTGTTTATTTATTTATTTATTTATTTATTTATTTATATATTTATTTATTTTATTTTTTTTGGGTGTGTGTGTGTGTTATTGTTATGTAATAGAAAACTTAAATCGCTATTATTGGTTTTGTATTACAAGGGGTATGCACATTAAATGAAACCCCGAGAACAAGAAGTGTTGCTTTCTACGGTAGTCTAAGTTAACGCTCATCACGCACCGCACGTGCGTTTGTTTCACTGTTCTAACTACTGCGCGTACCCCCTTGTAATACAAACCAATAATAGCGATTTGAAACTATGATCGTTTGTTAAACAACTTTTATCCTAATTTGAATAAAATTCTGAGAGTTAAATGTTCAATTGGCAACGTAAAATTATGAGGATTCGCAATCTTAATTTCACTTTATTTGATTTACTTTTTTGTTTAAAGTGAAATTCATCGGTACGTTTTCACTTCAAACACTCCATAGTGATTCCAATTTGCTTAGCTCAGATATTTAGTATTTAAAATCAATCACAGGATAAATCATCAGAGATATAGTTTCTACTGCTACTCAGTATATATGTGTAAATTTAAAATGCAGACATAAGAAATGAAAATGTATTTCCTTTTTGTAGCATTACTACGGCATTCTACGAAAACACATTTCAACAAAATATAGGATCGACATCGAATGTTCGTACCTCGTCACTCTGTTCCTGAAAGTTCTCTTGTGAAAAGTTGTCATAATGATTGCTTTCATGTACACCTCCTTCTGCCATAAACCGGAACACAAACAAATTGTACAGATATATTCTTCACAGTTGTATTCACCCCAACCTGTATCACCAGTATACGTCCATCTTGGTCCAGATATTCTGTCCAGATTGTAAAACGCTCACGTTCCAGGATAACGTATAGGTAAGACAGGTGTTGCACAATGTTTTGACATACCGTCACATAACCGTACATGTGCTTCGTGTTGATAACAACATGACGAACCAATCAACTTAAGCGAGGCGAGACACGTGATGGGTGATGAGCTCTGTGCAGTGCTGGTACCCTTTCTTTACATGGAGTTCAAGCCATTGAGGGTTATTATTTTATCGTAGACTGGTTTACCTGCCCTTGAGCGCTATCGCTTCACGCTGCTCTTTGAAGCCGTTAGGAGAGACTAAGGGCAGATGACCACCGTGTTCGTCGTTACGCTTACAAACATGGAGAAGCGATCCTCCCTTTTTCACAAGTTACTGTGTTTTAACTAGCAAATTATAGTCCACTAGGTTATGAATCATCGCTAGGTGTCAAGTCAACATCTGAAATGTTTCATTTTATTTAACCTTTCACTAGTACAGTTTTGTTTGGTAGGTCCGTCTGCTTGTAAACACGCCAGTTTCGTTTCGTTGCATTTCTTGCATTTGAGTACTTGTGAAAGTCTGGCCAGCCTCCTGATATTGGAGGGAGATTTTTGTTTGGTGATATTTTTCAACTATATAATTCCAACATAATTCCAACTTAATAACTTCCTACTGGGATTAAGGACCACCAATAATATTGTTTTCATGCTGAATTTAGACAGGTAAATATTTTCTAACCAGGAAATGAAAATACGAAATTGTATCTAAATAAAACCTGGCCTATATTTAGTTTTGTTCACGGCAATACACAAACACTCACACCAAATTAGTGTGTCTTAAAACATTTTTAAGCGAAATAAGCGTCTGTGGAAAAGGACATTTGACACGTCATAAATAAACATTATAACCAGTTATATGTAATAAACTCCTAATGGGAACCATTAAACCCCTGGAGTAATAACTTGTGTTATTTTTTGTTTGTTGGTTCACAGATATTACAGCCATATGCCGGAGATCTATAATTAATAACTTCTGGATCAAACAATCCAGTGATTGAAATCGTGAGGATCGATCTACGCAACTGGGACAGGATGACAAGCATCAGTCATGTCAGAAAACTTCCCTGAGAGGCTGTCCGCTGTTATGGCAAGCATGGGTTACTGAAAACAAGTTCTAACGCCAGCATGGGGCAATAACTAAGTGTCTCGGATTAGACATTTCCTTTGACGCGACCTTTGGGAGAAATAGTCATGTACACACCTGGTCTGGTCTGATTTTAGTGAGACTGCCTGTCAACTGTGGGCATACCGAGACGACACAAACTTGTCAAGTAAAGAAATAACACAAATATGCCTGGCACCATGGTACTATGTCAAATAAAGAGTGAGTGAGTGTGCTGGGTTTTACACCGCTTTTAGCAATATTCCACAACCAACACGGCGGGGATACCAGAAATAATCTTCACATATTGTACTCATGGGGAATCCGACCCAGGTTTTCGGCACGACGAGCAAACGCTTTAACCACTGGGCTACCCCACCGCCCTGTCAAGTAAAGAAATGACACAAACACGCCAAGTAGGTACCATATGTCATGTTATTTGCAAATCATATATTTCACCTTCCTTTGATTGTTCAAAGTAGAGTCTGTGTTTCGAAATATGTCCATTCGTAGCACAGGCCACTTATCAACCGTTCACGTGACAACTATCTATAGGCCCGTTCACCTGGTATTCAACTGGTGAGTTTACTGTTAAACACGATGCCCTGTAATCTCTTATCAAAGCACAGGCCCGTCTGACTCTAATGTGTACAGGGTATTAAATGTAGCAGCTCAGAGGTCAAAGATCGTCCGGCAGGCTATCGAACTAAACCGATCGCTTCAAACAGAAGTAACGACCTTGTTGACAGGCGCGACTTGACAAACCGGTTTGGCTGCAGCTGCTTGCAGCCATTTCTCATCTAACAATGACAAACCACTCTGAAACCGATATCGCTACACTGAAACCGGTTTCAAAAGAAATTGACGTTCGGATACCGGTTTGAGTCGAAGCTGGTTGCGAGGGAAGCGATCTGAAATGTTGAGGACTTGATCAAGTCATTTCGCCATTAGGGGTCCACTTTAGGTTTAGTATATAGACACTTGACGGGATGTTGCTAGTGTCTGATTTACAGCAGTAACTGGGGGACTATAAAGCCTTCGAGTGGAGACAAACCCGCCGCCGGCTGAAACACCACAGCGTTTCAACACCTGCACAGGTGAGATATGTATTTTTATTCAACGGAAACCCTGTCAGCCGTACATTTGATTCATGTTTTTCTATAAGACTGTGTGTACATGTCTACATGTTTGGCGACCTCTTGCCCCTCTGTTTCAATACAAGGCATATGGTCGTGAGTGCTATGTTGATCAATAATGTCGCGGTCCGTTAATACGCATCCAACACCATTATGAATATGCTGGAGGAATACGCTCGCTTACCGACTGCGTACCGTATTTACCACAAGAAAAGTATCAATATGTCATTGAGATTAATATATGTAGATAAATGCACGTTGTGTCTTTACCTAAGATAGTTTTCAGGAACAGGGAAGATACGGGTCATATTCTGTCTTCAGCTACCCATGCTTCACGTTAAAGGCAACTATAACGGGATCGGGTGGTCAGGCGTGAAGCATGTGTTGCCCGCTGTGATACTGTTGGAATATTCATAAAAGCGGCGTAAAATCATGCTCATTCACGATCTGTTTAAATGTACTCACTCATACATTGGTCAACCAAATACATCTAATCCGAATATATCGACATCAGTTCGTTATACCTAAAGTTATATGTTATTCACACTAACAATATAACGTAGATTTAAAGTTCAACATTTGTTGACGAATATTTACGGTGATACATTAGACAAAGTAGGGGAACTTCAATTTTAATTAACGATTGAAAATATTGGGAGTCAATCAATGTTGAATTGATAATGATGAATGTTTTGAGAGTGCATCACCGCTTGCACTTCCTTATGACCATAGTTGTTTGTAAAGTAATCGCTCTTGAAAGATGGTGTATCACGTGAAATTTGCATGTGTACGATTTTCATTTTCAAGCAAAGCAAAAAAAAAACCCGGCTAGAAACAAACACTAACAACTGTGTGTTGATTTTCAAAATTTAGGGTCTACAGTGATTTATCCACCTCCTTGAAAATCGTCAAAATCCAAAATGACACCCCATGCACGTGTATGGATCTACAACGTGCATCCCATGCGTTGTGTTTAGGGGTGGTGATAAAGAGAAATGATGGTGCGTTCATAAGCTGTGTGTCTTTGAAAAGTTTGTTAACGCTTATACTTCCTATCCAAAATGAAAGTTCGGGTTCCCCTAATTTTTTTTAAGAGTATACTCGGGACATACAGTTATACAGTACTGTTGCTACTACTCTCTTAAGTACAAGGCAGGTCAATCAAGATCGATTGGGATTACAGCGATAAGCAATTCTATATTCTTCGAGAGGCATTTTAGAAGTTGTATAGGTGAAGGAAAACCAAGTTCTATGGATAGTCAACTTCATTATTGCAATGAGTGCGACGTTTCGGTGTAGTACTAACACTTGTTTGATAAAGGTAGATTGGAAGGTGTTTTGAACGGGATTTTTTAAAACAACCTTTTTTGTAATACATGTATACACATGTGACATGCCAAGTGAGTGAGTGAGTTTTGTTTTCCTCGCACTCAGTAATATTCCAGCTATATGGCGGCGGTCAGTAAATAATCGAGTCTGGACCAGACAATCCAGTGATCAACAGCATGAGCATCGATCTACGCAATTGGGAACCGATGACATGTGTCAACCAAGTCAGCGAACCTGACCACCCGATCCCGTTAGTCTCCTCTTACGACAAGCATGGGTTACTGAAGATCAATATCCTAGTCCGGATCTTCACGGGTAGACATGCCAAGTGACATACGTGTCTATATGCCGTTATCACGTAAGCGGTTTTATTTCGGTTTGGGTCCTTCAAAAGCTGTTCGAATAAAGTCGAACACGCTACTTCTTTCAAACCTACGTACAGTCTGCAGGTTGTATCAGCTCCGTGGCGCGTGTGACGTGACAGGGGTAATTTGCTGACCTGTGCTGCACTTTACAAACACTGAAGGACTCCCGGGTGACTAGCAAAGTCATAAATAAAACAAACAAGACGAGTATTTCCCCTTTGACCAAACACTACTTTTGACTGATAACTAGTGATATCTATTGGTGCACGTACCCAACGTATCTGAGTGAACACGGTCTGTTGTGCTTATCGTGAGAAACATGAGGATTTGGAGGCAACCACCTGTTGCCAGTCTTACGTATACTGTGTCAGTGTATCCACCTGGTGCAGATTGGTGTCCATGCTATCAGTGTTATACACTGGTCTACCTTCCCGAAATTTACACTGACTGACTGAGTTTGGTTTTACGCCGCTTTTAGCAACATTCCAGCAACATCACGGCGGGGGACACCAGAAATGGGCTTCACACATTGTACCCATGTAGGGATTCGAACCCGGGTCTTCGGCGTGACGAGCCAACGCTTTAACCACTAGGTTACCCCACCGCCCCCCGACATTTACAGGTCACCAATCAAGGTTGTTTCAATAGGGTTACAACATTCAAGGCTGTAGTAAAACTTTAAACGATGTAATGTAGAAGTGTGTAGGACATTACCAGATTTGGCAGTTTGTCAAGTCTCGATTGTAACTTGTATCATAATTTACCTTCCGCTGTCCTTCCCTTGTTGCTGATATTACGCTAAAGGTGGCGTAAATACCGACTCACACACTCCTATTTCCCTTGTTTCTACAGGCGAGCAATTGTCTTGCCTTTGCATGTGTTTGTGACGTGTGTCATCGCCGGATATGGTTGCTACATGGTATTGATTCATAAACACTTCCTCGTTATATAACCGGAAAGGTACAATGGGTATTTCTTATGAATATGGAAATGTTTTATAGTTATTACTTACATATCTGGGATATTTTAACAAATGTATATGCGGTTACAAATCGTTTAACCATTCATTACACCGTCACACCCTGAGTTGTCTCCCCATAATAGTAGGTCAGCTTGTATAGCGGATCGATGCTCAGCCATGGGTCAGGCTCTTCGTGTTGGTGGTGATGCCAGAAATAAATCGATACCTACACCAATATTGATCCTATGCAGACAACTCAGCTAAGATCAATGCTTGTCCAATGATATGCAGTCCTTCGTGTCCGTTCGTGAATATTCGTGGCATTCCGGGAAGTCATGGAAACAAGGTTCTTCGTCACTAACCTCATTCACTCCATAGACATTCGTTTGTAACTTGGCCACCAGTAAACACCGATTGACAAAGTAAAACGGAGGTTAGAAGGCCGGAGGAATTAAAGAGGTCATTACTTGGATTGATGGCTCTCTGTTCTGGCATCGTTGGTCCACGGGCACAAATAAACCAATCTTAGCGTTGAGACTATCTTAACTTTTATCTTATCCTTTCCTTTTCATCAATTGGATCTTTGTGAGAAATTACCCTATATGACTGGGGCCTCCGTGTATTACATACCAACCGGGAAAATCTAGTCCCTTTTGTTTAAATGTTTTGCAATGTCATGTTTTGTCCAGAATTATTTTTCAGCCCTATCCTCACTTTTCAATTCCCAGCACTACACAGATGGCCCGGCTGTAGACAAGATGGCGGGCCTGGAGCTGCACGAGGCTGCGGCAGTGAGCGACTATGACATGCTGGAGGAGTACCTGCGCAGCGGCAAGTTTGACATCAACTTGAAGGACGAGGATTGGCACAACATGACTGCCATGCACTGGGCCAGCGCTAAAGGTGCAGCAATAATTTTATTGCAAGAAAACATTTTACCACATCAATTTTTAATTGTTATCAGTCATTTCCCCTACAAGTATTATGATATTAGTATTATAGATATCAAACATTCTTTTACTGATATAAACTATTTAATAATTCCTCAAATCGATTCATTGTTAGAAAATCATGGTATCCTTATGTTCCAATGGTTTAAATTGATTTTGTTATATGAATGTATCTGTTATTCTTGACCATAACAGTATTTATTTTAATGGAGACTGTAATCTTATATCTGAATTTGTAATATATAAAAAAATTACTTTGTCTTTGTACTCATTTGCTTCTCAGACTGTTGGGATTGATACACGTAATAGCCAACAAAGATTTGATGACTTGAATCAAACTGGCTGGGACTCAGAACGAGCCCGAGTACAGTCTCCCTTTAAATAGTATATCAATCTCTCTCACGCTCCATGAACCATATTAGTTTCCAAACCATGCAACACTTTATGTCATGTGGAAGCCCTAAATGAAGCAAGTCTAGAAATTCGTCAGATTCTGGTTTTGAATGTCTCACCTCACTGTGATTCTATCAGTTTAAATGTTTTTTTGTGTTCCCATCAATGTAAAAATTCTTATTATCAGAGACTAAGCATTTCAGACTTATGGTATACATGCTTCGAAGGGATTGAAACATAATCAGTTAAGCAAACAGTATACACTTGAACAATCAATGTGACCAAATATTTTCAAGAGTAATTGAGACGAAAATTGTCCCCGAAATACAGGAGACTTAACGTCCCAAACACAACAACGACGCCCGTATTAAGCACATAAACATCGAAAAAAGGAACCATAGTTCCTTGTTTGTTTCCCTTTTAACCACCTACACATGGTTGTATATTTTCTTTATGTAAATAAAGGGTAGCCTAGTGGTTAAAGCATCCGCTCGTCATGCTGAAGACCCGGGTTCGATTCCCCACATGGGCACAATGTGTGAAGCCCATTTCTGGTGTCCCCCGCCGTGATGTTCCTGGAATATTGCTAAAAGCGGCGTAAAACCAAACTCAGTCAGTCAGTCAGTCTTTATGTGTCTACACGAAGCGTCCTTCAAATCTCTTCAGCGATTTGTTACTGTCTACCTGCCATTGCGTTGTCCAGGGTTCGGGGAAGGGATCCGCCTCCTGTTGGAGCATGGTGCCAAAGGTTCTTCTCGCACTGATACAGGCTGGACTCCCGCTCACTGTGCAGCAGAGACTGGTAAACTGACGTCGTTGCGAGCTCTACACAACGCAAACGTTCCAATTGACAGGAAAGACAAGTATGGCGACACCCCCCTGCGGATAGCCACGATATACAATCACAAAGACTGCATCAAATACTTGAAACAGTACGTGTTTTACCTTTGAGGTCGTGGCGCATCAATAAATCGTTTTCACATTTTCTACGCTGCATATTCAGTTACCGTAATCCCAGAAAAAACGCAAATGATTTTGGCTATCCTATGAGCTTATTAGTCTGTACCGTGTTTGTTATATATGAAGGTTAAGCGGTTATCAAGTGTGACGGTGTTGATACTATCAGTCACCTGTGAGGTCGATCAGCTGGTATAACTGGAACATTGTAGACTGGTGTATAAAATAGGATTTATTGACTCACAAACACTGATTAGTGAATAGCGAACATTCATTCACTGTTGGTTCCGGTTCCTTGATAAGGCCATGTAGACTCATTTCGTGACAAACGGTATTAACTGAATATTGATGTGTCTTTAAGTATCAGTAATTGTAAGGGTCGTTTGACTTTAATGAACATGTCTGGATGGGGCCTCCATGTAGTATATATTCTAAATGGGAAACGGTAGTTCCTTTTATTTAAATTGTGTTTCAAATTGACCCAAAATGTCTGATGTAAGTACAGGCTGATTACATTTCTCAATGGTTCTGTTACAGAGCAGAAGTGGAGCAGAAGGAGAGGAGAGCTAGGTTGGGTATTGACGAAAACTCCGATGACGACTACGACGACGATGACGAGCGATGTCGCAGTGGCAAGTGAAGACGTTGATAACGTCACTGCTGATGCTTCCATGTATAAGTTATCCACGGGGTGAAGTGTGGTTACGCTGATGATACACTAGCGGATCCAGAAGGGGATGCGAGATTGGTCACACTCCCTTGTTTCAGACACTGAACACCTTAACTGCGTCCTTAGTCAAGTCGTTGTTTCAAAAATATAGCTTGTTTTACATGATAATTTCTCGGGAAAACGGTTATGATGATATGTATATTGGTTTGCCTCTTATTATTATGAAAAGAAAGTTGTACACATGAATGCTCTGACTGATACGGTTGGTATTACAAAAAGGTTTATCTTAAAGGGACACTTCGCTCTTCAATCAGGCAGTCCTTCGTCCCCCAGCTCATCGACGTATGAATCTAGTTGTCGCTTATCACAATGTGTAGACCTCACTGCAAGACCGTTGAACATACACACTTTTAAACAAATACCTTCTGCCCCGGCCTTCTCCTTGAGGGCCATCGACAAAGACGTGACTAGGATATATTTAAACAGGTGTCATATCAAATGTACCGTTGTGTCTTTTCAGCTGTGCTGTAAATGACTGTTCGTGTTAGCTTTATCCAGCTTTCAATCTAAATACTAACTGCTAGTCACGAGTTTATGAATGTTTGCATGCATGTACACATGAGCCCATATAAATCTTACTGCAGCTACACGTATATCCCAGGCGGCTAACATTTCAGTTATTGCCTGTCCTCACAGTTGTTATCATCAAAGAAACGTGTTTACACATTGATTGGTAATATTGGAAATGTATGATTGACCATTGCTGAACTCGAGTCTCAGAAACCTTCTGTTCCAGGACATAGATGAAAAAGTAATTGTAGTGTTTGTGTAAGTAGCGTGAGAGAATATCAAAGTGAGCATTTCTTGAACCAAGTTTTCTTTAACCTCCGCAAATACCAAATCCCCAGCGCCGACCAAATATTGTGTGTGCGCGCGCGCGCGTGTGTGTGTCTGTCCGTGACTGTGTGCCTTTGGCCTTTAAGTGCATTTATCCTGAGACGACCTCCCTACCCCTGCAGCTGACCCCGGAGTGAACGTCTTTGCCTTTATCACATACTGCGGTAGTAGATGTTGCTGTGAATAAATAACATCGGAATTGTACGTGTACGTTTATGATGCTGAAACATTTTTAACCATTCTATGTGAACAAACATGACTCACTGAGAGTACTGTGATAAATAAACTATACATAGATCTTATGTATTCCCTTTGTAACTTGAGTGCCTCACTCGGAGAGTGCGGGTTGGTTTCCGTGACGCAAATCCGACAGTACTAGAATCTGTACTTTACGGGGGAAAGTGTAGTCACGTGACATGTCATGACGCCGATCAGTCATGTTCCATTTCCCAAAAGTATTTTTCTTCGACAGGTTTCGTTGAATACATTTTGGAGGCACTGACCGGAGCTTTGGCCTTATTGTAGGACTATGTGGTAGTCTTGTTGTCAAAGCATTGGTTCGGGTTCGATTGCTAATGTTCATGTGTTAACCCGATTCTTGGTGTATGGAATGTTGGACTTTATTGTTAATACTGAGCTGTGCAAAAGCTGGAGCACGGAAGTGAAAATCGGCGTTCAGACTGAACCGAAATGCCGGCGTTAACTGAAGGCAAAAATATGTACATGGTATTCTTGGTTCGTATGCATATTTCGCGAACTATAACAATTAATATATGCCTACCGCTAACCCGTTGACCAATTTTAAACTTTATAAAAGGGAACCTTTTTTTCTTGTCACTGTTGTATAACATAAACTCACACGTCACGCTAATAATAACACACAATAACTAACCTATTTGAATGACACTGTTTGATACATCAGCATATGTTCAATTTCTGGTGTACTTTATTGTCAATATGTTAATGTTAATAATAAGATTCACAGGACATATTTTTCTGATATTATCAATGTACTTTCAATTCTATAACTGAAGCGGTTGGAAACCAATACATGGGTCGACATGTGTGACCGAGGTCAGCAGGACTGCGGGATTATCTCGAGGCTACTGTTGGTGTCATGACAACCGAGAGGTCATCAGTTATACAACATGTCATTTGTACTCGTTATATATATACCTGACCATAACCTTTATTTCCACTCTGGTTCACCAGTTGTTATCAATAGTTACTCTGTGATACTCTATGACCACTCTCAGTTACATTTGTATAAATATAAGCTACAAAACCATTTTAATAAAAAGATTCTGCTTTAAGGAGAGTCGATTGTACGATTGAGTGTGTATCTAGACATACCCGTGGCACCCGTATGCTTTAAGGAGAGTCGATTGTACGATTGAGTGTGTATCTTGACATACCCGTGGCTCCCGTATGCTTTAAGGACGATTGTACCTTGTACCCGTGGCACCCGTATGCTTTAAGGAGAGTCGATTGTACGATTGAGTGTGTATCTTGACATACCCGTGGCACCCGTATGCTTTAAGGAGAGTCGATTGTACGATTGAGTGTGTATCTTGATTGAGTATGTGTATTGTACGATTGACACATACCCGTGGCACCCGTATGCTTTAAGGAGAGTCGATTGTACGATTGAGTGTGTATCTTGACATACCCGTGGCACCCGTATGCTTTAAGGAGAGTCGATTGTACGATTGAGTGTGTATCTTGACATACCCGTGGCACCCGTATGCTTTAAGGAGAGTCGATTGTACGATTGAGTGTGTATCTTGACATACCCGTGGCACCCGTAATAAACACATGCAAGGTATAGGAAAATATGGTAAACGTCAAGTAGGGAATGGCAGTCTTTCAGAATCAGATCTTTCTGTCATGATTTCCGCATGACTTCCACAAAAGAGTTTGATAAACCTTGATAAACCAACTTCGGTTCACTGAGGGCTTTCATTAAACGACATCCAGCATGTTTTGACATATATTTGTTGACTTGACGAACAGCATGATTGTTTAATTGAGTATGTGCAATCACGTGTCTTTTAATCTGGTTGTAATGTGTCACTGATAATTACCCTCAACACGCTAACAGTGATCCGCACTGTCCTGTTATGGCTGCAGCAGTTAGTGAAATAGACAGGCTGTGAGGACAGTTGAAATGCCATCTGCTGGTGACTAACAGAGCTGATTGGTCAGACTCAATATTTGCTCTCTGTGTTACAAGAACCCAGTAATATATATTGTAATATTCGGTACATCCAGCATACCATCTATTCCATTCTTCTTCCTTTTTGTAAAATAAGAAGCGACATTATGCTTTAGACATTATGTTTTATTAAGACTTTGTTATTTACAGGGCCCATGATACAGCTCTCTCTCTCTATATATATATATGTCTGTGCGTGCGCGTGTGTGTGTGGCATATTCGTGATGTTGTGTGGTATTACTGGCATACAGCAGTTGCATGGCTGATATATAGCTATGATATATATGGAGTATAGCTGTGGTATAACAGTTGCATACCTGGTACATAGCTGTTAAATATATATATATATGTGGCATAGCTGTGATATAGCAGTTGCGGTATAGGTGTGCTGGTGCTGACTCTACCGTACAACATTTACTACAGCGCGAACATATTTACATGTGAAGTTTTCGATCAGGACATGGTACTAGAAGCAGTACCCTACCAAATTGGATGCGTATACATAGGACTTACAAAATTGAAATCGGTTTTGATAAACCTACCAAACAATGTGTGTAGCATTTTGCTGTTCAGAAATTCAGAAATTCAACGTTATTTTAACAAATATTAGCGAATAAAACATATAGATTAAAATGTTCAACTGAAAAAAACTGATTTCTTTCACACCTCGTTTTTTGACTGAAGTCACTCTAACCAAGCAGATATTTGCCGTCGTAAATAAATAATGACAGTTTATCGCTAATACAATGCAATACTCAAGAGTACCGGACACCTGCACGTGTCCTAGGTGTTGAACACATGATCCGCCTGATAGGAGGTCATTTAATGACTTTACTGCTTTGTATTCTGGCCTTCAGTAAATGATACACTCGTCTCTCTGTTATGGAAATGGTCAAGTGGACAGTCCCTGTTTCAAGGATACAGATGAATCCGCCTTTAAACAGTATAAAATGTCTCGTAAACGCGACGTGAAGACTCGAGATAGTGTCTTGTAACCTACTGGTGCTGTGTAAGTCGTGAAAGGGCTTGCACCAAAATTATAAGTCCAAGAATCTTTTGATTAGTGTATACACGGACAGCTGAAGACGAGTACTTCCCAAGAACATTGTCCTCGACGTAGTTGACGAATGGCGTAGTTGGTGTGGTGGTGGTGAAGGCTGCGATAGGTCGTACTGTGCTGGCTATACATTTGGGCGTGTCCATCTCCTTGAGATCGACCATGACGTCAGATTCCACGCCGACCCAGAACACCTCCTTCTCCATCACAAAGGTGGCGCTGTCGTAAAGGGATAGAATCAAATTATCCATCGCTTACTTCATAACTGTGTGTGTGCGTGAGTGGTTGGTTTAAGGTTTAAGGTTTGAACAGTATTTCAGTTGTATCACACAGAGTATCAATTTGGGAAGAACGTGTTAATGGATTCAGGTCTTTCACGTTTACCCCCTTAGTATAGCAGGAGACGAAATGGCAAAAACTAGTTAGTATGACGGTGAATGATAACCAATCTACCGGGCAAAAGAGAGTTAACACTTTTTAAAATAATTGTATAAAAAAAACAACGCTGGTACAGGTTTGAATCAAAGCAGAAAACATTCGCCCAAACGCAATAACAGCGCGGCTGTCCTAAAACTTCGTACGAATCGTGCATTTTTCAAAACGTAATTGTGGGACATTGGTCCAAATGCACGTGCATTATTGTGGCATAAATAGTGACGTTGGACAGAGCAAGCATGCGAAAATATTTAAAAATCCACCAAGAAAATGCCAAGACTTACGCAGGCGCATAGGGACAGGGCGATCGGTATCGCCAGTATGGGGGTTTCACAACGGCAGCTGGCAAGAACCTTCAACTACAGCCAGGCCACCATCAGCAAATTGAAATCCAGACTACCAGCAAACAGGCTAGACCCAAGACCGCCCAAGACAATGAGTCACGACACCGGCCGAAGACCGCTGCATCCGGCAGATCACCTCCGGAACAGATTCGTGACGACGGCGTCAACGGCGGCGACAGCACTAGGATACGCAATCAACAGATGAATCATCCTTCGAACCCTCGGTTAGGCTGGTATACGAGCCTACCGCCTTTTCCGTGAAATGGCCTTGATCCGTCCACACCGTCAACGAAGACAGCAATGGGTACGAACTGTGCGTCTGTGGCAGCAATGTAACTGGGAGCGAGTGCTCTTTACAGATGAACGTCGGTTCAGGAACGATGGCAGGGTTAACGTTTTTCGACGTAGAGGAGAGCGACTGGCGCCAAACTGCGTTCAAGAGGTTCATCCAGGATGGAGGAGGGTCATGATATGGGGTGGCATTTGTGGCTAGAGAACAAGAAGACTGGTTATCAACTGAGGAAATCTGAATGCCCAGCGACACAGGAGAGAAGTGGTGAGACCTTTTGTGGTGCCCTTTATTCGACACCAGCCAAGAGGAGTCATTTTGCAGCACGACAACGCATGGCCTCACATCGCCAGAATTGTTCGACAATACCTGCACATCGTTAACGTCAACGTATTGCTGACGCCAGCATGTTCTCCAGACATGAACCCACTGAGCACCTCTGGGATAATCTCTAGATCGTCAGCTGAGACAGCGTGTACAACCTCCAGCGAACCGACAGAAATTTGAACAGACTCTCTTGGACTTATGGAACAGGATTCCCGCTTACGTCATCCGCCGACTGACGACGTCAATGAAGAGACGTGTGTTGGCGTGTATGGCTGCCCAGGGTGGTCACACTCGCTATTGATAACGTGTCTCATTATGTGACTCTTTATGGACTTTTTGAATGAATTCTGATTTGTGGAATTTCTAATGTTGACCTCTTGACCCTTTCTTAGTGAATTGCGGCAAATGCAAGACAAGCATTGCAATGATTTTTCAGTCAAATTATTGAAAAATAACATTTGGTTGTAAAATAATTATCATGAATCTCACATACGTCTTTGTTTCTATTTTTTGGTCAAGTGAAGTTGGTGATAACTTTCTTTTGCCCGATAGTTTAGTATAGCATGATAGCGTATGGCAATTAGTATGACAGTTCATAGTGAATACATGATTTGTTAGCGACAGTGTCCGATGAC